TGTTTAAAAAAAAAATATACAATCTATATAACAATGGGACGTAAGTAATGTTTTTTTTTTATCACATCTCCGTAACACAGAATATTATTTTAAATTAAGTTAACTCTAATGCTCTTGAATAAAAATAATAAATTAAAAATAAATAAATATTTTTTGAGCAACATAAATGCAAATTAAATGCTTTGATTAAAGAAATTGCATTAAGTCCAAAATGATTTAAAATAAAACCAACGTATTATAGCTCAAAAAAAGATTCATCATTCAGTTAGGATTCAGTTTAGTATATTTTAAGCTTTAGGACATTTATATTTACAGGGTGGCTACAAAATACTGTGATAATACAAAAAATAGGAATTAGTTTTAATCATTTAGAAAAACAATTTGTGTATCACTATTTCTGTGAGAGGGGCTTCCTGTAAGTGCAGACGATTTTTGCTTAAAGCAAAACATTTAGAATAAATTTAAAGATGGAATCAAAAAGTTTGATGGTTAAACAGCTTTTCGATTGCGAATTTTCTACAGGTAGAAACTTGAAGTAATTAAGATCTCTTGGGTTTAATAGAACATTTATATATAGAACTATAAATCGATTATTGGATACTAATAGCTGTAACAATCGTCCCAGGTCTGCTCGTCCACGTGCACGTTCAGTTCAAATATAAGAGGGCGTTAAAGGAATTCGTGAAAAGATACACTCCACAATGCTCAGTTAATAAAATGGCTGCTGAAGAGAACGTAAGTCGGAGAGCTATGCAAGAATGCAAGTTATATTAAATGAAGACCTGGGTTTTTACCCTTACCACAAAGGATAAGTTCAAGGTTTGACAGCTGCACAAAAATTAAAAGGTTTCAAAAATGTAAGAAATTGCTAAACCGGCAAGGTATCAAAAATGTTGGCGGAATAATTTTTTTCTGATGAGAAAATATTTTGTACAGAGCAAAGTTATGATGCTAAGAATAATGTTGTATAAGCAGCAACCTTTAATGATGTGCCTGAAAGTGTACGAACTGTGCTACTCTTTCGGAACAAAAATTCTGTAATGGTTTGGGCTACAGTGTCAAATAACGGAATTTATTGTTACCCGCTGACAGATCGTATCCAAATATCGATTGGATATTGCAGCAAGATCTGCACAGTAACACCGAGACAAAACAACACAGGCTTGGCTCCATGTCAATTGTTCGATATTTATTAAGCCATAAGAGTGGCCCCCTTCTTCACTGGATCTGGGGATTCTAGAGTCTATAGTTAATTCTAAGCAGCACTGAAGTTCGGTATGGTACAAATTACCTCTTAAAATGATTCGTGCCAGCATCGGACAGTGCCGTAAGAAATTATCTTTAGTAATCGATGAAGATGGTGGTCGATTCGAATAAAAGTTTTTTAAAGGTAAACTTCTATTTATAGTGTTCATCATAGTTATGTATTTATCATTTTCTGTTTAATATCTGTACAATAAAATGATTCGATATTTGTAACAGTATTTTGTAGCCATCCTGTAGTGAATTATAAGAGATTTGTGAATGTTTATTACAACGGTTTTTTAAGCTACAAAAAATTAGAAACATAGCTCCAAGGACAGTAAACATTTTTTAAAAAAAAACCTAAGTTCGGATTTCGCGTGTTGTAATAATATTATCTTGAAAATATCGAGATTTTCTTTCAAAAATAAATGTGGAAATAAGTAATAGCAACCAGAAAAGAAAAAAAAACTCAGGCTGACGATGAAACCGGCCCAAATAAAGTAAGTGAAAAGGGATGATTAAAATTCCTGATTCAAAAAAATCGCCCCCCCCCCCTGTGAAATAGTGTAGTAATAACTACTAAAAGAACGACAATAATAATAATAATTAAAACTGTTTGATTTGCGATGTAATCTGCGCAAATAAAGCGCACATTTAAATTAACAATTCATGTGTCGTATTAATACATATTAAAAATATCGGGATTTTCAAAACCATGGGGAAATGCGTAGCATTAAGTGACGTAAAAACAATAGGGAAAAAATACGATACTTAGAAAAATGAATAATGTCCGACCTTCACCTTGGTTACGAGTTAAACTTAGATTAACGTATTAGAGAAATGATAGAGAATTAGTACTTAGAGATAGAGATTATTTAGAAAATAGTATGATAATATTAGCTCAAATAAAGCACGTAAAATGTGATTACCATTTGCACAATTTGAAACGTGCTCGTCGCTATATTTTATTAAAAAGATTAATATTTAAAAAAACACGTAATAATCCGATATTAACCTCTGAAAATGAGATCAAAATATCAATTGAATTAATTACGAACTGGACTCAAACAAAGCTTCAAAAGTGATTACTTAAACTCGAAATTCATGCATCATGATTTTGTCAATTTAAAAATATTTGATTTTTAAAGCTTTGAAAATACGTAGAAAAATAATCGGAATAAAAAATTTGATTCGGGACGCCAAAAACTTAAAAGCATAATTCAACATCTCTGATATTTTTTATTTTCAAATATATCGTATATATTTGAAGTATATATATATCGAATATATATATCGTATATATTGAAGTATCGTATATATATATCGTATATATTGAAGTATCGTATATATATATCGTATATATTGTATATATTGATTACAAGTAATAGTTTTATTTTCTTATTATGGTCAGGTGCTGCAGTGGACGACACATAAAAAGCTGGCGAGCCGCAAATTGTACATCCCTTTCACAGTGTATTATTTCTGATTCATGTACCCTCAAACCTAGAGTGCCCACCGTTGTGGAGGCACTCTAGGTTTTTTTACGCCACTGTCCAGTTTTAAAAAGCTTGTTATTATTTACATTCAGTCTCCTATCCATCCTGTGTAACAAAGAGAAATAGAATACGTATTTATCTCTCCAGATTTTTACTTTATATAAGCTCACTCTTCCTAGTTAAAATTGAAAGTGAAATTTTTTTTAATAAAAAATAAAAATAAAAAAAATGAAAAGTTAGCCTTAAAATGGACAAGGCTTACCAAAATTGTTATTTTTCAACTCATTTAATAAAAAAAAATTATTCGGAAGGTATTTACCATACAAATTCTATTGCGAAGCAAAAATAACTTAAATATTTGCTTTCAAAATAATAATATAGAAAACAAAAATTCAAAAATAGCTAAATATTTAAAAATATTTGGCAAAAACCGCATTTTAAGTAGGACATGATTGTTTTAAAAAATATTTATGCTTTTATAGATCAGTGATCAATGGAGGCATAAATTAAAACTTTCGAACAATTCATTGCGATTGCAAAACTAGAGGGGAAAAGCATTCTGTTCATTTCTACCAAAACTGTCAATTAACGAAAATGAGTTGAGTATGTTACAAACATGTTTTTACGAAATAAAATGAAGAAATTTGAACACTAACAAGTACAGTAAGTACGTAGATTATGCACGATACTTAAGATCATAGCAAATCGTTGTAATAAAGAATGCATCTGTACTTTTTTTTAGAGAAGACATTTGCGTTACTAAACATGAAAAATTATTTTGCAGAAAACCACACTGCGTTAAAAGTGATCTTCGGTGATATGGTAGTTAAACACAGAATAAAGTCTTGTTAACGTTGTTTTATAGTTTGCCACTGTACTCCTTGTAAAGGGATGCTGCCTTATTGTTCAAATGTTGTGGAAGAAGATGTGTTTATTTTAAATGTTTGCCATTATAGATGGATTTAAAGTTACATAAAATATATATTGAATATAAAATTTAACTGCATAAAATTATGAATAAAAGTTAAAAGCAGATTAACTTTGATTCATAATCTTAGGTATATAATTTTTTATTAACAATCAGATTCTTAATATTCATCGACGGTGATCGGACGAGCGCTATCCGCATGCAAGAGTATCAAACGAAAAAAGGACTTGAGCTCCATGGAACGTTAACATATGTAAACCTAAGTTTAACTTTCTTGGTAACTAGTTGCAGTTAACAACTCTAAGCGAACATCCCTAAGCATGATCCGAAGACATAATGTCATTACAATTTTGATCCTCAACAGAAGGGATGACTCCCCCACTTTGGTAGTCCGATGACCTACGTGCGACGTCGAGCAGTCGAGGACTTAAGTCTGAAAGGAATTTCATTATAATTTACTCAATGCTCGGTTGTCCCATTCACTACTCTATGTCAATTTTTTAAAGTTAAATGCTATTTTTCGGCATTTCGTACTCTACATTCAACCCTATTTGTGTATTTTTATAATAATTTACTTCCATTTGTTGACAATAAGCAAAAAAGTTGAATAAACTGAAATTTTGTTTTACAAAAATTTTTTAATTTTCTAAAAAAAAAAAGAAAAAAAAAATGTGCATACATGCATGAAGAAATGTTAAATTTAAATAAAGCAGCACCTCATCCATAATGTTCTGGGATGTATTGCAGCTATTGTCGTAAAACCGAGAACATATAAAATATCATTGAGTATGAAATATTTTAAAATAAAATCAAAAAAGTAATTCCATTTCTCAAAAGTGTTAAAAAAGAAGATTCTTTTTTTGAGAGAAATACCAATTCGCGATCAGAACGCTCAAATACGCCATCTAGGCAGAAGACCAGCTCCATGGTTTGGCCCTTTCCTCCTCTCAGTTGTATGGGAATGTCAATATTTTATGACCGTCGCCAATAGCCCATTGTGCAGCTTTAGTGCAACGTAAATGAACAAGCGCAATGTTTTATGATATTTTCACCTTCGGTAGTATTTTTTTTTCGAATTTAAATGTCAAAAATATTTCTCTAAAATTTCTACGAAGCCCTCTTTTAGAACTATGTTTAATTCAGCTTTCAGTACCATACAGTTTCCTAACTTAAAAGTTTTTAATCTATGTGAAAATCCTGACAGAAACTAACGTACTTCTTTTCGTGCTAAGTTTGCCATATAGGTAGAGAATTCTGCTCTGCGCTACCTCTAGTCCATTTCAGTTGCCAATACCTTTCTTGAAACTTCATTTTATCGCCAGAAGAGAGCGGATTGATATCTGTTTTTGTAACTAGTAACCGTCACATTGAATGTTTATTTACATTTTATTGCATAAGCCAAATGTGAAATTTTGAAATATGATAGCGTTTTATATATCTTCTTTCAATTAGTAAGGCATGATCAGTTTATAAATATTAACATAAATAATATACATAATATAATTTACCCTAAAAACATTTATTTTTATGAAAAGTTGATTAATTTGAATGTAAACCAAAGATTGCAAACATGGTGAGTCAACTTTTTCATAACCAAATTTGTTTTGTATGTCTTTACGAAAAGTTTTATATCATCTATATTTTTGGTCAGTTTTATGCCTTTTCTAAATAAACTACTGTGTGTTATTAGATCTGGTTTCTCAGAGAGAGATCTTACCTTATCTTTATCTGTTGGAAAAAAAAAAAAAATGTGGTTTTCCCAGGGGAAGACTGCAAGTTATACCTGATATTTACCCTTTCTGTGCTTTTTTTTTTTTAAATTTCTCACTCGCAACTGCCTTGAAGTCTTTAAAACTGGGCGATTATTTCAGCGTACATACTGGTGCGGAAATCTTCCTGTATCAATCGATATGAAGTCAATTAGATAGATTTATTTTTAAAACAGAACCCTTTGTGGATATCGTGCCTAGCCACTCTTGGGCAAACCTCTAAATGTTTTTTTTATTTTTAAAAATTGCAAGTTTAAAAGCCATTTGGTGGTTGTAGTTGGCGCAATGTACTATCTTCATTTGGAAATATCCCCGACATTAGATTCTGTTATGGGTGTTTTAGTTTCCCTTGTGTCGCTGCCCGTAAGTAATGAAAACTTGGCGATTATTCTACTGCAGATCAAAATGTGAAAAGTTTCCTTGTTAATAAAAAATTATGTGTGTAAAAATTATTGTATTGTGTGTGATGTATGTTTTGTATTAATTGTGGCTATGACAGATTATATTGGATCTAGGACATTGACAGTTTCACATTGGAAAACCTATGTTTATTGTCCTTGTAACATTGTTGACAGTTGCAATAATTAATATTATTTTTAATTAATTATATATTTTGATAATTTAAAGGAATATTTCTGTATAGTGATCTACATTAATGTAATTGTCAAGTCTCGGTCACTTTCAGACAGGGGCCCATAAAAAAAATCATGACAGAAGAGAATCGACTCAAAGGATGTAATGCCTAGCTACCACTGGACTAATGTCTATTTTTTAAAAATACATTTGGCACCTTGGCAATTATAGTTGGCACAACAAATAACAATACAGAAGTAGCTCCTGACTGAACATCCTTCCATTATTATTGTAGCTTTGCATCATGCATAAACTCTTACTTAAAATTTTTTTTTTCTCTCACTTTTTCATTTTGTCAACTTTTCAGTTTATGTTTACTGCCTTAATTTTCTACTGTTCACCTTTTCCGTTCTTTGTGCTGCAACATTTAAGCAACTTTTAATTTATCAGTAGTTGGAAAAATTGATTATTTTTTGTTGTTAGCTACAATTACAACTACCTAATTGCAAATTTAGTAGCAACAAATACAACTATTTTGTTTGTAATATAGTTATAACAAGCTATTTTTGAAATGCAGCCTTTGCTTAACTAGTTTTGGGCCGCAAATTTTAAACGAGGAATCTGTAGTTCAGTGTAACATCAATTTCAATATCAAAATGTTCAATTAATATTTTTCATTTGGTTATTGTATATGATTGACTATATAATTTTACTTGCAATTATTGTTATATGACAACTTTTTTCTATTAATGCTTCTGTTTCTTATCATACAATTGAAATAAAGATGTGTTACTCTTTTTTATGATATTTCTACTTTTTTTATTTTAGTCCTCTGGTGTAATAATTGCTGGAGTTGCTTTAGCAGCTGCTGGTTATACTGGTAATTCTTTTATATAAAATATGTTTTTTAATAAATTATGATTATACAGTTAACTTTTTCCAAATTTGAAGATTATAGTATTATTTAATCAATTTATATAAGTAAAATTTAAGTAAATCCAACCAAATCTATTTCATAGATAAACTTTCAGATTTTAAAGGTTTATTTTTCTGGTTGGTCCCTTTTAATATAAATTCTAAAAAACCGGATGCATATAGTATAAGAAATCAAGTACTATGTAAACCATATCATCAACAGAACATTAATTCATATTTAGTTCAAGTTCTGAGAATTGGAATTATCCTCTAACATTCCTATGAAGTTCAACTCTCTATATTAAATATGAACAATCAATGAAGGCATATTGCTTAGAAATGATCAGGAATGCAATAATGGAAATCTTCAAATGACTTCTTCCATTGTCGATAAACAGTTGTCAGTCATCCAGAGAGCAAATTTCCCACATTCCATAAGAAAAGAAAATACTAATGCGCCTGGAAAGATTTACTGTGAAAAATACAGCAACATTTCAGCTACTTCCCAACATAGTAACCACCTAAATCGTATAAGTTGTCATACTGTTTAATAAGTTTTTTGTAGTCTATCAGCGTGAAGTCTGCCACTTGATAATGCTTGCACAATTTTGTTTATGTGTCAGTGATGCTCGAATTGGAATTTCTTCAGGGGGAAAAAGTAGAAATCACTGAGAACAAGATCAGGACCAAAGGGTGAAAATCAAAATCATCCCAGAGATACTTCTACTGTAGATTTTTGTCAAATTCCTTGCATTGAGCAACACAACACCAGATCTGGCAATCACTGGTTTCTTTTTTTGAGTAGTGTGGCAAAAATTCTTAGTGTTTTGCAGTAAAATTCTGTGTTTACTATGGCTCCCCTTGGCTTGTAAATTGTCTTTTCTGTTCAAGAAGATTATGCACATCAATTTTTGTTTAGATATAATCTTCCTGAATGTGATCTGGAAGAGAGCTTCTCTGTGACTGCAATACATCAACTGTTGCTTACTTCCTGGGGTGGAGCAATTCATACCTCATCACTGTTCAGACAGCTGTGAAATGCTGGCTCCATTCATAAGTGTTATGATTCCCGTGGTTCTTAGGATGGGAAGTAGCATAAATATTGCTGTATGTTTTGCAGTAAAACGTTCTGGGTAATTATGTTTCATTTCTTTTTACTGGCTATAAAATATATAGTTTCCAGATGATCCTCCTCTATTTTGGTTTGTGGGGCGCTTTTTTCATTTAGGAAGTTAAATTATTGGTTAATTATAGAGGAAAAGTTGTTCTATGTGTTTATGAAGGGAGAGGGAGCAGATAAAATCGAGCTTGTTTTAGCTAGTTGAAGTGAGACTTGTTATAACCATACTCAACTGAATTCCTTCTACTAATGAAAATCATTAATACTAGACTAGATAATATATGCTATTTATGCTTGTGATGTCATAATTGTTACCATGCTCTTTTAAGAAAATTGTTCAGATTTATTTTTATTTTGGTTGATGTGAATATGAACCTATCAAAATTTCTCTAACAATAAACACTAGATAAATTTTTTTCTAAATATTTCAGATCATAATGTATTAATCAATTTAATGCAAACTTTTTTTGATGAATTGTCAATACACTTATTCTAGTATTACTAATCTGATTTTATAACAGGTAGATATATTGCCAGGAATTCCAAACTATGGGCTGAAGCTTTAGAAAAACAAATGAAAGCATTTCCAACATCATCTGTAAGTATAAATAAATATATAATTTTGTCTTTGCCATAGTCAATAAGCTTGAATACATAAATTGTGTCTAAAATGATCTTTTAAAATTTTAGTTTTTTCATATTTGAATATTCAGTTTGTTTATTGTTAAGTTGCATTTTCAAGGGTGGGTAGAAGTATTAATAGAAATATTTTATTTTGATTAATTCATTTAAATATTTTTTGTTAAATTATTTAATCAAAATATTTTTAGTGATCTTTCTTTTTGAGGACTTAGGAAATTAAATATTTAGACTATTTAGATTAGAAATAAAGGTAACTTTGGTTAGTTGAAAATTTTATATTTCATTATCTACATCTAATTATCTTTTATCATTATTATCTATCCACATATACGTTATTTCTTTTTATCATTATTTTAGACATTTGCAAATAGTAAATACTATAAAGGAGGATTTGATCCAAAGATGTCGCGCAGGGAAGCAGGTTTAATTTTAGGTGTAAGGTGAGTTAGTCAAATGTTTTAAAATTTATTTTTAAACGGTTGTATCTTGATAAGTATTGTATTTAAACTTTATTCAAATATTTTTTAGAGTTAGTGAGTCTTTATTTTTTTAGTTATTGTATTTATTTTTCAACGGTAGAAATATCGCACCCTGGCAAGAAAAGTGACACAAGTCAAAAAACAGCAATTTTTAGGTTATGTCAAAAAAAATAAAAAAACAATTACATAAAATATGTACGAAGTGCCCCATCAAGCTCAAAAAGTATCTCCTCACTAGATTGTGTTATTTCAGAATAAGTTGATTTTTCTCAAATGCTGTTATTTGACTTGTGTCACTTTTCTTGTCGAGGTGCAATATCTTAGATAAAAAAATTAATTAAATGTGCTACTTTTTCGTGTAAAGTTAAAATTATTTAATGTTGACTTTTAAATACATATTGAAACGGCAAAACAATTTTTAAAAAGATTCTCTGTAATGAAGGATAATTTTAATATTTGACATTATGATTTATAAATTAAATTTTAATTTTCCTTCACCTACATTATAATTTATTTTAGAATCTATTGACTTATAGCTCATGGTTTATGAAATGATGTGTGCAAAAAATATACAAGTAAAAAAAAGTAAAAAAGTATAGGAAACTCTCTGTGAGGTTCAATATAGAAGTAATTTTTGCTTGGCAAACAAGATTAAATACAATCTCTCCTATGCCAGTATAGGATTTAGTTACACTTCATATGGTTTAAAAATACTCTTCTACTGACAAGAATAATAATTAATAAATAATTCTATGTATAATGAAAATCCATTTTTCTTTAAATTAAGCATGCAATCAGCATTTTTATTAAAATAACCTTTATAATAAGTCAAAAATATAAATTATAATTCAAAAAGTATAAAATTTTCAACTTGAACTAAAAATGAACAATAAAAAACCTTCTGTGTGGTATTTCATTTAAGTGCACTCTGTAATGTGTTTATACAATTATTATTTCAGAGGATTACTTTCCCTAGGAATAAAAAAGAGTAGGGTGCTTCCTTACTGAAGGGGCACTCACTTACCACCGTTAACATTTAACAAATTGTCTAATATTAAATAATTTTTAAATTACCCTCTTATACTATTTTATGTGTATGTTTACCATAGAAATTCTCATTCATTATCAAAATAACAGAAAAATTTGAAACTTTTGAAAAATAATTAAAGACAATCTCAGTGTATAAATTTGTTTTCAAAAAATGCAAACTAGAAAAAAAAAGGATTAATTGATGATCAAGTTGAAAGATTTTTTTTATGTTTTAAACTGAAAATTATGAGAAAATAAACATTTAAAGTTGCTGTTAATTAAATGAAAGGTATTTATTAAAAAAAAAAAAATAACGGTAAAATTTAAAATCAATAAAAAACTCATAAGCAACACTCCCCCCCCCCCAAATTAAAATTGTGAATATCTCTGGCGAATTTTAACTATATAGCTGGATAGCATAATAAGAATGCCACTAAAATTAAGGAATGAAAATAAAAATATAATAGAAATGTTACAAAATTAAGGAACGGAAATAAAAATTAAATAATTATCGATAACTAAATAAATCTGAAATGGACTTATGATTAAAATAGGTGGTTAAAAAGACAACCTTTTCATGAAAAAATAAAATAAAAAGGCAGTGTTCTTAAAGGATAGCAACATATTTTTACAAAAAGGGTGCATTTATAGGAATCAAAGGTCAGGCGGTAATTTTAAAAAAAAAATGGTTTCATTTACTTGATAGTATGCATTATTGGTTGCAGATTGTGGCATTATTTTTAATAGTTTATTGTCACTGACATAACATTTATCTTGTATCATACAATCATTTGTTTCATTAACTTTTTACTATACGACAGTCATTACAATAAAAATTTTATTATAGCCCTGCTGCAAGTAAAGTTAAAATAAAAGAAGCTCATAAGAGAATCATGTTATTGAATCATCCTGATAGAGGTATGTTTAGTTTTTTTAATTTATACATTCCCTCTTTTTTTGATAAGAAAATGGGAAACTATATTATCGAACCTGTTTCTAGTTAGCATTCAATTTTTACATATTATAAAAGTTTCGTTATGAATATTTCAATTTCACTACACCAATTTATCAATATTTTTAACTTGGGATTCCACATTTTCCATGTTACTCAAATTAGGAAAGGTGTATAACAGTTAAGATTTAAACAAGTTTTTCATATATCTCTACACATAAATAATTTAATATTACAATTGTTATATAAAGTATTAAGAAGTTTCTTTTTTTAATAATGTGGTTCAAAATTTTTTTGATAAACATATTCTGAAGCTTGATTCTGGTTAAATTTTAAACAATAATAGATGTTTTATTAAAAGCTTTTTTTTATCTTATTAATTCATTGCTCTAATATTCAATGTCAATTGTTGTCCAAATAAAAATATTTGTCTTTTATATTAACAAAAATAAATAATCATGATCTTTTTTGCTTATTAGATAAGAATTTTTTACAGTTAACTTTAATATGCCAGGTATAGCAGCAGCAACAAAAAAAAAAATTTTTTTTTTTTCTTCACCATCATGTCTTCATTCTTTCACATCATTTTATTTTGATCTGAGCATTAATTTTATTTCGTCAAATTTTTTTTCTAATAGGAAGTTAAAAGTGTTTTATAATGTACTTTATTTGTATGAACAATTAAGAATGAAACAAACCTGCAAAATCAGTAGTAAAATTAGAAGAAATTGGAGAGTTCTGAGTATTTTAAACCATCTTGCAGAATTAATATTAACAAAACACGTTATGAAATAAAAATTTTCACACATATTAAACATCACTTAGTGTAATTACTGTAAAAATTTCATGAATTTTAATAAAAAGAACAGTTCTATCAATAAAGATGTATGAATCTCTGTGAATAAAGTTGTGTTAATTGGTGAGCACTTCTTTTTTACTAAAGCTTTTATGAGGCCATACTACTTCGTGTAAGAAAATTAAAAATTTTAATTTAAATATCGTAGTTATACAATCCCACAAAAAATTTAAAAAAATAAATTATTAGTAAAATTTTAATTGTTATTATTTGCAAGGAAATCCCCATTTTAAAAGAACTTACAAAAAATTTTACAACTGCCTTAAGTGGGTCATATGGAAAGATCTCCTATTTTTACAATCTTCTTTTTTTGTAAGAGTATTTATTTTTTAAAAGCTGCAGCCTTTAGAATTTATTTTTTAGCTATGTATTTATAAAAATTATATAATAAGAATTTTGTATTTATGAACATTATAGGACAATAGAGGACAATGAAATTTAATTTAAAATTTGAGCATTTTATTATTATTGTATTATATCCTTCCTATCCTATGCATATTCAGATATTATGTCCTTCCTAAATAATTCTTAAAATCATGCAATTATTTGTATTTGTGGATACAATAAAAGTTGAACTAATGTCTTAGTCTTATTTATTTGAGAATATCTTAAATTTTTATCACCTTGAGTTGATCATAATACAGAATTAAAAATCATTATAAATTTCAAATATAAATAAATGCATGCATTCAATTATTTTAATGAAGGTAAGTAAAATAGTTTATATTTTAATTACAGTTAGGAATATTTATTTTTAACTCTTCATAATTCTATTATTTATTTCTTTGCAGGTGGTTCACCTTATTTAGCTGCTAAAATAAATGAAGCAAAAGATTTATTAGATAAAAACACATAATATTTTATGTGCCCATGTAGTTTTATTCAATTAAATGTTATGTTTTGATTTATTTTCGTGTTTATATTTTAAGTATCAATTACACTTTGTTGGTTTAAATATTTCTATTTTATTTTAGTCTAAATAACCATGATTTACTGATTATGAGCATCAAGTTAATAAAAAAGTAATAAATTCCGTAACAGTTTAATGAAGCAACAGGGTTTTTATGGTGAACATTAATTCTTTACATTTGTCATAATTCATTTAACTCACACACATGAATAAAATAAATTTAAAGTTCTTTTTTTTAAAAGTTTACAAGGTCTGTTTATATACAATCAAGATCATCAAGCTATAGTACCTCAAGTTTTATTAATCTTTCTTTTACCAATTCAATTTAGAACTTGCACTCATAGGTATTCGCTTCGCTTGACTGGGATTCCTCTATGTGTTGAATTTTAACTATGAAATTCAGTATAATGAAATCACTGATTATTCGGTTCTGCCTGAGAAAATCTCCAGCACCATTCTATTTGATTCTTATATAAAATGCCTTCATGATTCCTAACATGATTTTCACTTCTGCCATCACCTACTGTTTTCTGGGGAAGTCAATCCTTTTGTTTTATCATGTTTTGATTACTTTATGGCCATTAATTTGGAAGGAGAAAGGATTATATAAACAGTTAGGAGATGGAGAGATTGAACAGAGCAAAAAGGGAGATTCTAGTGTATCTTCCTTTTTAAATTGTGAAAAAATCATTAAAATAAATCATTTTTGTCCTCGGGATTATTTTGTTCATGTTAACTTATTTCCTATAGATTCTAGCTGCCCTTTTCCTTCCAAAAAAAAAAGAAAAAAACAACTCCTAATTATAAATTTTTTTAGAGACAACATATTCAGATACTAAAATAAGTTTAATATTATCAATCAAACTAACTTTAGTCCCCATGAATCTACAAAGAAAATTTAATAAGAAAAAAGAACTTAACAAGCAAATATGATTTTTATTAAGAAAATATATAATTTTCATAAGTATTTACAAGAAGCTAGATCTATAATTAAATAATGAGACATTCATAAAGATACTTAAACAGGATGATGAAAATCTTTTGTTTGTAATATTCTCTAAAAAAAAAGAGAGAGATTTGAATTTTGAAGATTGAATAATTTTGATTTATCATAGGACCACTAGATATATAAGTCAACAATATTAATATAAAATAGATCTAGGGTTTTATATATTTTTAGATAATTATTAATTGAATTTCTTTTTCAAAACTAAAAAGTATGTGTGAAGCCTAAACTATAGAGCATTTAGGATTTTTTTGTTATAGTAAAAAAATCAGCAAAAATTAGATCTCATTGCAGGACCTAAAAATAAAATGAAAGTTTTTCTTTAGCATACTCAGTGCCATTAATACAAATATATTATCACCCAAATTAAACTATTTTTTATCTCTAATTTGACATAGATAAATACACATCTTACCATATTGACTTAGATGTGGGTTACATACAAAAGTATAATAAATATTATCCCATAAATTAAACGATTAAGTTCTGTAGAATTTAGAATAATGTTAATGATAGTTAATGTGATTCATAAATATTGATTGTTAGACAAGAACTAATTTTTGATTTCATAAAGCTGGAAAAGTTATAAAATCTTTATCTGTTTGCAATGTTTTTTTTAAATTTTTTTATTCAGTGTCTAGTAGTAAATTTTAAAACTAAATTTTTAATATCTTAATGGATTCACATATTCTAAAAAATAAGTTTGTTTATTAATAAAAATCATGAATAAACTTTAATACTAACACACCAATATTATTCTTTCAATATTATTGAAAGGGGATTTAAGAATAAGAAATAAATGAGCAAAATATAGCATAAATAATTATTTTAATAAAATATAAAAGATCAGCTTTACACATCAAACACAATAAAAGTTTAATAAAAGCATCAGCCAAATGTAAAATAAATACTAATTTGAAACTATGTATTTGAATAAGCAATGTATAATAATAAAAATAACTCCATTATCCATAACAATATGTATATATACATAATGCATTATTAACTATACAAAGAGCATGTTAACCTCATTTATATATTAAGCATAAATTTTGTACTTTAACAAATGCACTTAAGTATTGCAACAGATATAATTACATGAGTGAAACATGAACACTTTTTGAGGCAGTGGAAACATTTTCACACTTTAACTATCTTAGGATAATGAAATAACATTTAATAACAAACAGTAGTATATATTTATATGTTGGTATCACATACTGGACAATGAGTTTTTCGAGTTTTGAAGTAAAACTTCAATATCAATCTAAAAAAGAACAATAAAATAAAATTAAATACTAAAATATGTAATAAGAGTATACAGTTCGCATTAAAAAAGTAATTCAGAATCTGATAAACAATGTAATACAGTTTTAAATTTTTTTACATAGTAAAAAGCTATTTTTATAATTTATAAAGATAGGAAAATTAAAGTATTATTCTTCTTAAATTTAGGTGGCAAATTTCACTTGAATTCAGAAGGGGAAAAAAAAACAGACCTTTTTATTTTGCTTTTTAAGCAAAACCTAATGATTTTGTTCAATAAATTTTGAAAAAGCCCACCTTGGAAAGAAGTGAGTTTCTTTAAGTGGGCCAACTCGAAAAAACCCCTCTTGGGTTTGCAAAATTTGCCCGAGCCCACTTTGGCAAACGCTGATAATAAATACAATTATATCAGTACTTGCATTATGATGAAATTATCTTCTTATTATCATATTTATTTATTTGAAAAAGTTAAATAATTGGCACTGTCACTGGGGGTACAAATATACTTGAGGATAAGCAATTATTATAGTACCATTTTTAAAGTCCTTAATTTGCTAAAAAAATTCTTAATTTTTTTCAAAAAAAGTCCGTAAGAGTCCTTAATTTTTGCTTTCTTGAAAGAGTGAGAACCTTGTAGAATGAACTTAGAAGCTTTGTAAGAATTAAAATAAGATAAGACTTTCAAAATAATAAAATTAAAATAAGACTTTCTTTACTGACTTATTTGAAAAGAAATACCACAAAATATTCTTTCGAAAAGTTTTTTTGATACCTTTCTGAATTAAAAAAAGTATATATTTACAATGGATTATTGAAAGAAAAAAATCTCCCAACAAAAACAACTTGCAAAATTATTCATTTTTACCTTAGCAATAGATACCTTTTATTTAAGTAAAAGGTATCAACTGGTAAGATAACATATAGCAACCATACAGTTTTTTTTCCAATTTCAATTTTCAAATAGTATGCAGTAAGTTATTCAACTTATATTTAAAAACAGTTTATAAACTAAACAATTCTGTTTCTAAGCTATGTTAGCTAAATAAAATATTACTTTTATAATTAACAAAGAACCCTTAAAGCAATACTGATAATACAAAATTAGTACCAAAGCTTTACCAGCTTAGCATCAGCGCACCATCACAGTTTTTAAATTTTGGGAGCATTCTGACAACAAATTCGTTGAGCCACTGCAAACCAACACACTTTATATCATTTCAACTTTTCACTGCCAACTTTTTGAACAATTGAGTTCATAATTCCTTATACAGTAGAGCGCCGATTATCCGAACTGCTCGGGACCGAACGTGGTTCGGATAATGAAATGTTCGGATAATTGGAAAGTTGCTTAAAACCTAGTTTAAATGATTATTATTTATGCACCAACTTTCCTTCACACTTTTTCTAGGCTTAGGACTGGCAGTACTATCTAAAATAGCTCTGGCGAGTTTAAGACTTTTTTTTTTCAATTTTTAAATATATTTTTTTAAACTTTTTTTTCCAATTTGAATCATTTTTATCATATTTCGGCTTTTTGTATAATTTTTTTTTGTCAATTACTAATTTTGCCACATTTTTATTTATTTTCCATTGCAAAAGATATCCAGCAAAGACTTTTGTTTCAAAGAACATGTTCTTTTTTGTGCAGCCATATCCTTTGTTCTTTTTATATAAATCAACTGAATTGGATCAACATCATTTTGACGTTCTAGGCAATTCATTGCAATATCTAATGAATTGCATGCTTTTTATGAGAAGGTCCACGATCTTGAACTTGATCACGTACTTCTTCCTCTTAATCTGAGGAGTTCCGATTTTCATGCAAAATTTCAGAAACAATTTCATGATCATTTAAAATTTGAAATCCTGAGTCGTTTTCAGTGTCTCGACACCAGTCTTCTATTTCTTCTGCTGTATAACATGGCATATTTTCACCTGAAAGATCTACCGATTCACAAACTGCAGTTTCGTTTGCTTTTCTGATAAGAATTTTATTCCAAGATTTAAGATTCCAAGCACTGTAATCACTAATCATTAACCATGAGTGACAACTACCCATCCCCCAATTGTAGAATTTCGGCACTTATCTATTCATAAACACATTCTGCTTTCCAACAATTGTAGATTGTCAAAATGAAGCTCGCATTCTTTGATGATAATTTTCAGTTGAAGAGGGCTAAAGGGGTATGTAGGTTTAACTGTATAACAATACATGTATGTATGGCTACTATAAGAAAACTGCTGAAAAAGGTTGTAAATTAAATATGGTCTTCAGATGTAGTGGATATTATCTATTCCTCTAAATTTAGAAAAATTGTCGATAAGTAAAAAAAAAAATTCTAAACTTAAAAAAAGAGAAGAAGAAAAAAAAAGCGAATTCGGACATAGTTCGGATAATTGGACGTTCGGATAACCGGTGCTCTACTGTACTTTTTTTTTTTCATTCATTATTTTCAATAATCTTTTTAAAATAATTGTTATTGAAATTCGAACTTGATCAGTACAAAGCAAAATAATACAAAATATTTATTTCTAAATTGACAAAACTATCTTTGAAAGAAACATGCTTAAAAGCAGCAGAATTTTCAAAAGAAAGAATAAATATAGTAATAAAGAAAACGAAGGAAATAAAAATATGACCACTGAAGCCGATGTCTCCAGGGGGTACCGGCCCCTTTGCATTTAGTTTGCTTGTGAAATCGCTGTTTGACCGGTTTAATGTGAGTTTTTATTTTCTCAAGTTTTTGTTTGAATTTCTTTTTTGAATTGGTTTCATATATTTTATGTATTTTTTCCTGGACTTATACAAAACCTTCAGGGTACTGAGAGAGTTAATTTCGCTTCTCTCTCCATAGAAAAGGTTTTGTTTTATGGCTTCCGAGGCCGGTACCCCCTGAAGACGTCGGCTTTGGTGGTCATATTTTTATTTTCTTCGTTTTCTTTATTGCTATATTAATCAGTACATATTAATATTCATAAATTACAAATAAACATTCACAAATATTCAATTAAACATTTCCAAAAACTTAAGTATAATTTTCGATGCATTGAATTCGAATCATTCACACTAAATGCACAATTTAAATTCTTAGTTCCTTAATGTACATTTGATTTAAATTTTTACTACAATAAATAAAAGCTTTAAAAAAAAGCCACTATTGCTATACAATTTCTGTCACAAAAAAAAATCTATTGAGAAAAAAGATATGTTCAGTTGTAAGTACTCGTTTATAAAAATGAACAGGTAAACGGAACTACTAGCTCCAGTTTTTAGAAAATACCTATAGCAAAACTAGTTGTTTTTTTTCTTTAACGTTTTCTTTTGAAAAAGCTTAACATTACAAATAGAACACATGATATTTTTAAAACCACATTTAAGAAAATCATTCTAAAATTCAGTTGCCATATCTATTTTATTAGATAACTCTAAATCTTTGATCTGTTTTATTATTAAATTCATAAATTAAAAGTTAAATGCTAAGAAAGTTACTGAAAAAAAATTAATGTTATCTTACTTCTCCACTGGAATAATCAGATTCTTCATCATCAGATTCATCACGATAATCTGGAGGAATTTTAAGTATCCGCATAATATCGTCTCTTATATGGATATGATTTCTCTTCCGTAATGCCCATGCCACACAAAAAGCTGTTTTCCCAGCATAATTCTGGACATGAGGATCAGCACGGCACTTCTTAAGTAATAACTCGACTAGTCTGTAATTACCATTTTCAATAGCATAATGAAGTGCTGTTCGTCCAGTTTTTCCGTCCTTTAATAGAAAATTCCATTGAAAATACATTCAAACGAATAACATATATAATAAATATTGCTACATTGAGGCAATATTATGAGGACCTGTATTTAATTAATTATTTAATAGCTATAAAAAATTAATACTCAACCTGATCATCAATGTTGGCATGATGATTATTAAGGCATTCCATAACTTTCAAAAAACCTCCAGCAGCAGCAAGATGGACACATGATTGACCTGTGTAACATATAAATGAATGTAACTAAATTGTAAAAATACTACAGGTAATACAGTCCAGCAGTATAAAGAAGAGCTATAGTATAAGTTTGTTATTATTTTACAAAAGATGTCTTCTTTTAGAAAGTAAATATTGCTCTTTATATAATAAAGTTAGTCAATGCAAAAATTTAATAATTTCTCCAATTAATAAAAAATGTAAGTGAGGAATGAATAAAATATTATCTATCTTAACATAAATATAAATGTTTTGAGCTTAAATTCATATTTCATTACAGTCGGACCTCGATAATTTGACACTCGCTTAATTCGTCACTCTGGTTATTTCTACGCTTTTTTTCAAGTCTCAATTGATTTGCATTGGATTCAGTGTTAAACTCCGTTTAATACGTCATGGGGGAAATTATGAACTCCGGATAAAATGACACTTTAAAGAACGTTTTCACTGGAAAATTGCTTTTCTCCAGTCAACTTTTGCGGAAATTTTCACTTGGCTAATTTTGCTATTCGCACTAGGCAACTGGTTCTTGGAATTCGGACACTGGAAGCGTTTTCCCCTGTCTCTTTGTCTCACCCCTCCTTCCACCACCTCTTGCAGAAAGAGTTGCAATAATGCTTCTTATCTCTGATCTTATGAGGGGGTAACGGCGGGGGGAAGAGGTGGCAGAAAATGAACATCTTGGCGTGCCTTTTCTTCTCTCTCTAGCAAAACTTAGTATGGCGTACCCGTGCGGTGGTGTCTCGAGTCTCTCTAGTCTTTTGTTTAGTGCCATGGTGAGTAAACTTGGATACAAATCTTGGACATAAGAGGAAAAGCTCCAAATGAAAAGAGAATTTGAGCAATCTGGGATGTCTAAGGCTGCTTTTGCAAAACGGAAAGGAGTCCCTCGCGCAACGTTCATTGCCATTTGGTCCTTAATAGATAAAATTTAAAGTTCTTTGCGTGTTCAGGGTGGTGAGAAGAGAATGCGTGTTTCGACCTTCGAAGACGTTGAAAATGCCCTTGTTAAATGGTTTAGAATGGCCCAGGCCGAAAACATTCCAATTTCAGGACTTATCTTGAAAGAGAAAGTTTTGCAACTTGCAAACGAACTGGGTGTTTCGGAGTTCTTGGCGAGCAACAGCTGGTTTGAACAGTTCAAAGAGAGACATGGACTTTCCTTCAAAAAGATGTGCGGAGAAGCAGTGGCCGTTGATATGCGTCCAGTTGAAGAATGGAAAAATGATCTCTTAAAAGATGTTTTCTAGAGTTATAACCCTTGTGATGTATTCAACCTTGATGAGACAGGTCTCTTTTTTCGACTTTGACTTTTCAATCAGAGGACTGCTCAGGTGGGAAGAAAGGCAAACAACGAGTTACCGTTCTATTAGGAGCAAACATGGATGGTTCCGAAAAAAACTTAAGCCTCTGGTCATAGGCAAAAGTGCAAAACCAAGGTGCTTCAAAAATGTGAAGTCTTTGAGTGTATCATATGAAGCAAACTCAAAGTCTTGGATGACCTCCAATGTTAGGGAAAAAACTCTGAAAGAGTTTGACAAAAAATTCCATGCAACAAATCGTAAAGTGGTGTTTGTTGTGGACGATTGTACAGCACATACTGAGGTAAGAAATCTTCAATCAGTGGAGTTAGTTTACATGCCGCCCAATGCCACTTCAGTTTTACAGCCCCTTGATCAAGGAATCATTTCCAGCTTCAAGAGACAGTATCGGAAACATCTTGTAAGAGACTGGATTAAAGCCATTGATGAAGGCAGAGAATGGAAACTAAAACTTAGATGGCATAAATTACTTCCACAGGAGTTGGGCTGATGTGACCGATAAAACCATCGAAAACTGCTTCAGGCATGCTGGATTTGTTGAAAGTCCAAACTCGCCAGAAGATGTTGATGATGACGTCCCTTTGTCTGAATTGTGCAGGCAACTTAAAGAACACAACAAAGATGTGATGGATGAAGAAACATACCTTGGAATTGACCAAAATCTCGTGACATCTCCAGAACTGTCTCGGAAATCGCGAACGAAATTCGTGAAAGACATGTTCCAGCATCTCAAGAGACTGAAAGTGAGGATGAAGTGGAAGTTCCTCCTTCCAAAAATGAAGCTCTGCAGTGCATTGAAGTTCTAAGAAAATATTTTTCTTCAATATCTGGTACCGAGGAAGATTTGAACTCTGTGTACAAACTCGAAAAAAAGAATTATGCTAAGTAATCCCCATACCAAACAAACCCGTATTGATGGTTTTTTCATTCCTAAATAAATAAAAGTAAGTATGTAAACGATACTGTTTGTCTTTCTACTGATGCTATGTTTTAATTGAATTGTTTTAATGCAAATTCTTTAAAAAAATTTTTATTTTAAGAAATTGAAATTTCTCTGCTGTATGTAATAATTGTTAATTTATGGGTATTTTCCAAATTTTTTGAAAAACACTGCAACTCCGGTTTATTTGTCACTACGCTTAATTCATCAGTTTTTCAGAGGTCCCGAGAGTGTCAAATTAATGAGGTTTGACTGTATAATGTAATGTAATCTTAACTAAACGTCATTGTTAAATAAAAATCATAAATATTTCATCAAAAGAGGTTTCAATCATTAGACATATTAAATATTATTTTAATTATATATCTAAAGCTATGGTCTTGCTTTATTCATATATTTTCATGCTTTATTCATAAAAATGTATTTATTAGATTACATGCTTTTAATCTTGAGTATTACTTTAATCAACATAGTTTACTCAAAAATTTAAATAAATCAATCAATAGAATAGTTATAAATTTTTTTTTTTTTTAAACAAAATAACTGATCCAGCAAAAACAATTTATATTATCTAGTGCAAAAATAAAACAAAAATTTTAAAAAATCATTGGTCAATCAAAATACAAATTATTTTTTAAATATTACAATAAATCCTCAGCAAAAAATATTAATTTAATTTTTGAAAACCTAATAAACTTCCTTTTCTATTTATAGTAAAACATTCAAATAACTTACTTAATATCAAAATAATATAAAAAGTTACCATCAAAATTTTTCATGTTAATGAGATATGACAAATCTTGATTTTGCAAAAACATCTGATATGAACATTGTGCAACACTGATTTCAGCTTCTATAACTGGTGTAAGCATTGCTCGGACACAGTCCAAATCCCCACTTCTACAAGCAATGTGCAGTGGAATATTCCCACCATGATCTTGAACATCAAGTGTTGCACCAGCAACTACAAGCCTGCGGACAATGTTTGATTTCCCAGTTAAAACAGCAAGATGTAGCATAGTCTAAAAAATAATTTGAAAATTTTAAATGTTAAAAAGATGTAAAATACTACAGGTAAGATTTTGGAAGAAAAAAGTGTAGACAAAGCATTTTGCAATGAGTATTTGCTGTGATATTAAATGAAGAACAAGAAGTTTTTTTGTTTGTTTTGTTTTCTACAGCATGAGATTTTTTGAACAGATCTCAGATACTTCCGTATCGCTGATTTCTAATATTTCACTCTCCAAGCTACAGTTTTTTAAAATGATACTTTTGGTCTATTTTTGTTGAAATGTACAAGTTTAAAAACTTTATCTAGGGGAGCTAAGGCATATCATTAGGATTAAAATTGCATAAGAAACCATGCTCAGAAATTTTATCGGACGTGGCTAGGTGCACTACCCTATAGTGAAGTGCCCCTAGTCGTGTTAAATGTCACTTTTTAAAAAAACTAACTTTAAAGCAAAATTTATTTCACATTTGAAATCTCCACACTCAAATTAAGATAAAGTTTATTTATATGTAATATATTTTTTTATTTATTTGTAACTATAATAAAAATAGCTACTTTTTTAAAACATAGAGTAATTTTGATTGTAACAGCCAGTATTTGATTTAATTTCTAAAGCTCCTTTAAAACGTATATTTTACGCTTTTTTAAATCAAATCTTGCTATAATCTAGAGATCAATAAAAAGATGGTTGGATGATGTAACAAAAGATTTAACCACAATGGAAATTAGGAGCAGGAAATCCAAGGCTCAGAACAGGAAAGTTTGAAACAACATTGTTTTCTATTCATTAAGTATAAAGATATTATTACAGTTTAGATAAAATATCTATAATAGTCATATACAGGGGTGTAGTTAGGCGATAGTCTTAAACAATAAACCTAGGGAAAACAAGATATCTCAGGGTATCTGCTACATTTTAGATTTTCAAATCCATAACTTTCCATGACTAATTCCAAGAATTTTTCATGACTTAACGAAGTTACTATTTTCTCTAACAAAAACGCAACAATAAATTTAAGCAATATAATAACATTGATTGAAATGATAGGTATAACCAAAACTGTTATACTTTGGATCTTTATATTTGTAGATTTTAAATTTAAAAAAACAGAGTAAAGAAAGATTTGAAGCAATAAAAAAGTTGAAAAAAATACAAAAGCAAATATATTTTTTTCTGCAGAATTATACTCTAAAGATACTTTTCTTGTTCATCCGAAAGGAAAGTATTACTCCAGATTTTTCTGTTCTCATTTCGAGAAAAAAAAAATTGCCAACGACAGGATTGCTTCAGCATTTTTTTGAAAGAGCACCAAAATTTTTTAACTCTATGAAATTTTTTAAATATTATAATTAAATATAACTGTGAGTGGGAGTTTTGTTTTAGAACTCAGATATTCGGAACACTGTGGTACTTGGGGGGGGGGGGTAATTTAATTTTAAAAATTAGATTTTTCGGCGACCAAAATCCATGACTTTCCATGATTTTTTTTAAAAAAAATAGTTAAAATCATGACAAAGTTTGTTCAATATCGAAATCCATGACTTTCCAGATGCGCAGATACCCTGTATTTTTAAATGAGTATGTTAAATGAGCAATTAAAATGTAAATACCTGATATAAATCATTGCTAATGTCCAAGAAATCTGGATGAGGAGCTAAGCGTATTAATGGAAATATAATATCAGAACGAGCTTCAACAATTGCAAGGTGAAGTATGCTGTTAAAAATATAAAACAATGTAATTATTAGAAGAAAGTTCATGGTTTAAAAAAAAAGCATAAAATATTAATTAAAAATATTCCTCATTAACATAAATTATTGATTACATTTAAAGTGTTGGCTAATTGTAATTATAGTACACGTGTTGAACCTTATTGTTGTAGTATGGACAGGACATGTGATTGCCAGAAGAAATTATCTACATTTTTTTCTCAATGTGTAGTTTTTTTTAGTACATAACAGTAACGTTTATAATTTATAAAGAGACAAAAGAAATTTTTTAAATTTAATAAATTTTTTTCTTATCAACACATGGAAGAAAATTGAAAAAATTGCCTATTCCTCCTTTGCTCTTTGCAAGTTGTTGTCCCATGAGTGATTTGAGTTTTTCATATCATAATAACAGGATAAAAAAAAATATATATATAAACAAAACATTAAAATCAATGATTCAAACAAAAATGATCGAGAAGCTGCTTATTTAGTGCTAATCAAACGAGTCAAAAAGTAATTACTCAAAGAAGCAATTCCAATATCTCGTTTCTAAATAATATCGTACGGAAATATTGGGATTTAAAAAACCAGGAGAAAAACAATTGCAGGGGTCTGTTCAGACATTTTGTGAAAGGTCCAGTTTTTGTAAAATTGTGGAAAAATTACTCATAATTTGTGAATATAAAATAAACATTAAGTCACTTTCTTTCAACTAGGGTCCTACTTTTGTGAATCTGTGCAAATAGGGTCCTGTTATTGCAAAAAACATTTTTAAATTGTAAATAGATACAAGCTCAACACTGTAAAACTAACATGTAATACTAAAAAAAATTCAATTTTCAAAAATAAACAGCAATTGCTACTACTAAATTAGAGATGCAACATACAAATATTAGGTATTTAGCCTATACTACTGAATGCAGAATATTAATTTCAGACGAATAAAGGAAGAAGCGTCCGCTGAAGAAAAAACTTAGTTCGTTTACATCTATCTGTCTTTCTCCTCCCCCTGGGAAGGGTTTATTCGGTTAACAAAACAATAATGAAGATAAACAAATATGTGAAGGGTCCGATTAAAAGATAAATTATTTTGTGAAGGATTTGTTAACGGACCCAAATTTTTTCTAAACAGACCCCTGAGTTGCATTTAGTAGTTAAGTCATGAAAATATACTATTCCTGTCAAAACAACACAACCAGATGTGAAAATGTTTGCCAGGTGCCATAAGCGTTGTTACTAAGTTATGTTATTGGTGCTTGTTCGTGAAAACTATAATTTCTTAAGTTTCACAGTAAACTTCTTATTTACAATAAATGTAAAAAAAAAAAATTATATATATACAGACTCTTTACAAGCTAGGCATTATTATGACAAGAATTTATCTCATAAAGCATCATCTATAAAGAATTTTTTTGTTGGACAGATAATTAGTAAATTTTTTTATAATACTTAGTCAATATCGTATTTATGGTTAAATTCAAGATTTAATTCAAAAGAGATATTTAATGATATACTGACATAAAGTATATACATACAGTAAGTTTAAGATACTAAAATTAAATTAAAGGCTGAATTATGATGTGCAAATAATAACTCTTACGTGTCTCCATCTTTATCTTGAGAGAATATATCATGCCAGAGATATTTTTCTTTTATGTTGAGAGGTTTAGGTGGTTGCAGGTTGTCTAGCTTTTCAGACGAATAACTTTCTGATATTATAGATGAAGAACTGTCAGTTACAAGACCACTGTCATAACTAACATTTTGATCACTTTTTGTGAGTTGTGATGAGGAATCTGTCAAGGACAAATTAGAGATCTGTTCACTAGTAGATAATACAGAACTTATTTCACCAGATTTGTAGCCACAATCAGATTCTGAATCAAATGTCAAAGATATAGAACTGTCAGTCTCCTTGTTTTTCTGTTTAGTTCTGGGAGACAGATCTTGGTATTGTTTATGTTGAGATTCCATATCTTGAATTAATTTATCTTCAAATAGAACTGAAAAAGAAACATGTATGATAGAAACTATTTTATGAAGTTTAAGAAAGATACAAATATTGTATATATAGTGATGAAAAATTAAAAAGCATAATCAATTTAGAACAAGATGAATAATTAAAAAGCATAATCGATTTAAAACTAACTAAGTTTACATCAGAACGAATGACATTTAAAATTGTTTGAATACAAATTACATACACATTAATGCATTAAAAACTCATTATTAAGTAAGTTATAATTTCGATATAGTGATCTCATGTCAATTCTCATACATCAAATAACTAAGATTCATTAATAATTATCTCGTTGATTGAATTTCAATTCACCAATAATCACCTTTATAGATTTATTTTAATTCAATGAGGCATAAAAATACCACTCTTTAGGAAATAAATATTAAGATTAATAAAAACAGGGAAAAATAAATTAGATTTTACCTTGAAAAACTAACTTTCATCAGTTCATTTCTAAACTGTTTTTAATAAAAGAAAGACTACTAGGAGAATCGTTAGGTAAAAATCGACTAAATTAGCAAATAAAAAGTACTAAATAAATAATAGAAACGAAAAAAAATATCAGTTAAATTACATTACAAATGAAAAACTGAAACGGAAGATAACGATAACGTTCGCTTGGAAAAACCCAAACATTGGAAATTTCAGAAATTTTTGTTTTAACAGTCATGGTCACGAGTAATTATATTTTTATGACCTTGTAAACTAAGTTTTATATCTTTGATCAACTCAATTAATAAAATCACTAAAATATGTTAATTCATTCACAAATAATAGTTAAGAAATTTGTTTACTGAATTTCTCATTTATGAAATTAAGAAAAGACAATTTAGATAAAACACTGTAGCCGTAGCTCATTTGCTTACGCGCTGAATTTGTTTTGTTTGGATTGGATCGTGAAGTCTGCTATGAAATTATTTTTGGTTTGTTGGTAATTCAATATGAAATTTTGCTATCTAAGGGAATTAAAGTAGCTTTTATTTTATACACGTTTTTGTCATAACATTGTTCTTAAGATAATTTTTTTATCGTCATTTTTTTATTTCAAGAGTTTTTTTCAACTTTGAAAAATTAACATTACGAAATGGATGACTTGTCTATGAGATTTGCTCATTCTAATGGCTTTACAGATGTTTGTTTCGAAGACACTGGAAAGTATGTAGAGCTTCATATTTTTAACTGTGTTTAAATTTGTTTGTACTTACGATAATTTTTTTCCGCAGTTACATTATCTCATGTGGGAATGATGGAGATATACGAGTGTATAATGGTTTTGAAGATGGTGATCCTGAAACCTATGCTTTAGGCAAAAATGTTTCTTCTGTGGCATTTTCAGTTAGTATCATTTGTTAACTCTTCATATCATACCCTTCTTCAGTCTATGAAAAAGCAATTTTTAATATCCTGCAATAAATTTTGCAATTGATTTCTTGTCAAACAAAATCTAAGTACTTAGTCTCTGGAGTTTTTCATATTAAATATTCGCCTATATATTTATTTGTGATTAAGTAAAAGTGTTCCAATTATATAAAATTACTTTAAAAAATTTAATTGGTTCTGAAATATCCAAACATTTCTTGTTATTTTGAAGTTAAAGAATTTTTTTTGAATGGCGCACAATTTAATAAACTTGTAAAATCGTTGACATGCTGGTGAAACCTCTCTGAGTTGATAATAGTTTTAGTTATTTGATAATGAAATTTTATATATATTGTTATAGAAATAAAGAATGCAAAAATAAATTTGTAATTAAGAAATGTGTGACTTATTCTGTTCCACATCAGACTTAGTTTCTTTCACAACAGTCTCAAAACTAAAAAATATGGATATAACTTGTAAGCTTACAAAATAGTTAGTATTCTAGGGGATTTGCAGATGAAAAAATTTTGTTCTTATAAATGTAAAGTTACAATTAATTTTGAAGCTCTTTAATTATTTATTTATTTTTTGTTTTTAAATAAAGTCAATGTTTTTGTAGAATGATGTTCTTTATGCAGCAATCAATGGAAAATTTACAGTATCAGCATATTCTTTTCCTTCCATAGAGTTTGAACAAATCATAGCTCAGTTTAATACTATAGTGTATCATGTGGTGTGCAGCAAGAATGGCAATTTAGTAGCATCTGGTGGAGGGTAAATATTTAAATTGAACTACCTTTTTTCAATTTAATTTGTTTAAAAGTTGATGTTTTAATTTTAAAATTGTGATATGAATTTTTTTTTAAAATTTCGAAGTGTTATTGTGTAACATTATTCTAAAACTATTAATTTTGTTGTTTCTAACTTATGTTTGACTAGTTCAAATCTGTAATACAATCTGTAATACCTTTCATAATGTTAGTGTATATTTATTGTTTATTTTTACAGCATCAAATGTTAAATAGTTTTAAGTATAAAAGTAGGGAAATGTTTCAAGAATGCAAAAATAAACTATAATAAAAATAAACTATAAGTAGATAATTATTAGGCAAATTGATGTACCTTGGACATTGAAATTATTTGCACCATCCAATAAAGCAATTTTGCATTCAAAATATAAAATGGATATCTGTAACAACAGGTACAGTTGTATTGGTGACCATTTCACATTTTTTAGGCATGTACTAGGAAACATTTTTTTGATTTTTTTAGTTGCTCAATATTATTTTTTAATCAGGTTGATCTACTGAAAGTTTATGCACTCCTGTTTTGTCTCATACCTTTAAATTTCGAAATTATAAGAGAGAGACATTGAAAAATTTATAAAAAGAGACAATCAGAAGATTACTGTATAAACAAAATGGTTTAATTTTTTTCATGTTCCTTTTGGAAACTGCAATTATTTTTTCTTCTCTTATATTTCCAGAGATTTTATTGTAAAGGTATATGATACATCTAACAAGACATTAACTGCATTTAGAGATCATACTGGTCCTATTTTGAGTTTAGCTGTTGATCCCAGGGAAACATTTTTGGTATGATTCTTTTTTTCTTATCAAATTATCCAAATGTTTTTATATTTTTACACAATCAAAAACACTTTTAATATTGAATCTTTTGTTTTTTTGTAAAAATGAATAATAAAAAGTTGTATGGTAGTATGGTACCTAATACATCAAAATTTATTTTGACAAAGTTTTGATTGAGTTTCTTTTTTTTTTTTAACAGTGTAAGCTATTTTTGAGATATCAACTTATGTATTTTTACATTCATTTTGTTTTTAAATTTTTTTTTTTCTGTTAATAAACATATAGGCAACAAACAACATTAATTATAGGTTAATATTTAAATTAACTTTTAGTTACCAATATGTAAGCAGTACAGAACATTTAACATATTTATCAGCTTATGAATATATGAAGAATCCATTTTTTTTAACAATATAATCGAATTAACAGTTCAAAACTTATCTTGTTTTTATAAATTTTCTCTTGATAGGAGTAATAATTTTCTGGTTGCCTAATATATATTACTTGTTCCAACGTTATCCTGTTCCTCTTAGTTCTAGTTGTGTGCTGATTTATGGTAAAACTGCACTAAAAATCTTGTAATATAGTGTAAATAATAATAATAACAAAGAATACCTGGCATGCAATTTCTAAAGTATATTTTTTTAAACTTTTTTTGTATAAATTTTTTTAATTGATTTTATTAAAATTAGTGTAAAGGAAATAATTCTAATATACTATTCAGATTCATATAATTTATCTTTAATGAAGTTATTTCGTGTAAATTTTGTTGAGCTTAGTTAGAAAATTAATTTGTGATTCTTTTTGCATTAATTTCATATTTAGGGATCTTCTAGTTGTGACGGCACTGTTAGAATATGGCACGTAGCTGAACAAAAATGCTTAAAAATCTTAAACATACTAAAAAAAAGTAATGATTTGTGGTAAGTTTGTAATTCACTTTCTTATTTTTTAACATCTTATTAAGCAATGAAAAGTTTCAGTTTTGATAATATGTATATAATTGACGTTTATTTTTATTTGCTACTGATGTTTTTGTGGGTTGTAATTTAAATGGGTGGATCTTATTGAAACTTTTTCAGAATATAAATTGTTTAAGATTTCAAGTATTTTCCTGATTGAAATTTTGTATTCAGAAATGTTAATATGATTTTGAAAATTATTTTGTTTATATGTTAGATATATAGATATTTGATGTTTGGTTTTTATATTCTGATTTTTTCAATGTCTAATAAAACATTGCCGCCTTTTCCTATCCTTGTTGTTTCTGAAGTAGAAAGAGAAATAAAAAAAAAATGCAGTTATATTTAGTTTGTTGAATTCTTTTGTTTAATTATTTTATATTCTAATATTTGCACAGTAATATTTGTGATTATTTTACAACTTTCTCATTGAAACTTCTAAATCTTAAATTTAGATTTTTTGAAACTGTTTTGAGTACTCTTTGATTGGTTAGAAGTTTTTTCTATGTTTGGTTATATTTTTTCAAAAAAATGTCAAATAACCTGTCTTAATTTATTGTTATTTGTACTTTATACTATATTGTAACATTTTCTATATTTTTAGCACCACATCTAGTTTATATCGAATGGATTGGAGTCCAGATGGACAGGTAAGAAAATTTTTATAAAATGCTTTAAGGCCTCTTAATTCAGCATGTATAGCATTTTTAAAAGTGCTTCTTTTTAAAAGCCCTTAAAGATGCTTTTTTCATTGGTATTAAATGCTTAATTTTCTTTTTTCCACAATGAGATTTTTTCTTTATTGTGTTGATTTTCGCCACAAATTATGCAAAAAACGTGTTTTTCACATTGTTTCACAATTCCTTCTACCACAATTCATTTCAGTGTACTGTCGGCTCATAACATATTAATGTGCCAATGATTTTACATATTTGATGAAATACATACGGGTCCACATGTGCTTTTACTGAACTGGACTCAGTGGTAAGAATTCTTGTACTCTCATGTGAAACTGCTGCATTTGGCAAGATATTCTCTATTTCAGGCTTCATTTTCCGTGCTTTGAAATCGACCGAAAAATCTTTCGAATTTTTGCTGATAACGTGGACTAACTAAAAATTGCAAATTTTTTTTCCGCATGTTAATTTTATTTTTGGGAAAGCGCCATCTTCTTCGTCAATGGCAAGCTAATGACCTTCTCATGTTATTATATTTATAGATCTGTATCACAATCCTTGAACTTCATTTTGGGATCGTTCACTTAATATGTATTTTTATGTAGGGATCCTCAGAGCAGTCAACAATCACGAAGATTCATCACCTCAAAATTTCCAATTTATTAATTTAATTAAATAAAGATGTATAATTAAGATTAATAGAGATTTTTTCTTACCTAAGGGACCAATTCTACCAATTGCCTATAATTTCCTCAATCTACCTATTGCCTGTAATTTGGTTAAACTTTTAATGTACTTTAATACTTTCTTTTCTTGTGACTTTTTATTGTAAGATTACTTATAAAATTTTTAGTGTTCTTAATTTATTTTGTGAAAAAACTTAATATCTAGAGGCAATATTTTGAAAAAGTACGAAAAAATCTTATGTTATCTAGATTTGTGATTCCAAAAACTTTTATTTCATCTCTTAATTATTTGATTTAGAAAAAAGTGAATTAAAAAAATTTAATTTCCTCAGATTTGTTAAATATTATAAGTATATGAACCATATAAAGATTTACACTTCTGACAAAAATGTTACTCTTCAATACTAATTGTATTTACATTTCAAAATTATTAAATTTTTTTAAATAATTTCATTAAAAAAATACTAAACTAAGTGGCACAAATTTTTAACAAGTGACAAAAAGTTATTAGGGGCCATCCTCTAATTTACTTAAAAACTTTAATAATGTGAATTTACTAAAGTTTTAATTGCTATATTTTTATGTTTGCTATATTTACATATCTTGATAAATTTCTATTAATCTTAATGTTTTATTGAATTTGCTTTTATAAATAACTTTAATTTAAATCTAAAAAATACATTTAATATCTATTTTTTATTATAGTTAAGTTAAATATAATTTTTAATATTTTTTTTTTTTACATAAAGTAATAATTATTATTTTAATAAATAGATTGAGCTACTAAGTATCGAATATATTTAAAATTGTGTATATAAATTGTTTCTTTGGAGGCAAATATAATAAAAAAAAGAGTTCTTTGTCAGAAACTAGTTATTTTATCATAATAATGTTAAGTCTTTAAAAATTATTTGTCATTTTGTTAATGTATATATGAAGAACTTTCAACAATAGGAAGAAATTTTTTTAATTAGTACGCAAATTCTAATTATACTTTTTTAAAGTGCTTAAAAATATTTTTTGAGTACTTAAAAAGTGCTTATTTTCTGTTGAGAAATTTGGCAACAAGCCCTGTAATTGCTTATCATATTTTTTAATGTAGAAGTGACCCTAATGCTTAAGTTGACACTCTTTTATTTTTTTCACTTCAAAAGGATTGATTATAAATAAATTTTGAGCGCAATTCAACCAGTAAGTTAAAATTTGTTAAAAATGAAATTTTAATTTATAATTTATGAAATAGCATAGAATAACTGTTCAACATTTACTTTTGTAAAAAAATATTGTTTTGCCATGTTAATGAATAAATAAAATGAAAATATGAATTCTTCCATTTTTCTTTTTCAAGTAATGATAGATGATTCCCGAATCAGAGAAGGGGAACTCTTAAGATATTGATGTATACAACAATTCGAATTAATTATTAAAATATAATAAATCATTTTTGATAATTGATTATAAAAATAATTTAACGATCTTTTGTTAAAATATTCATGATAGGGATGTCATAAATAAAGCATAGTGAGGAGAAGAAAGAATGAAGTGTGTAAGAAGGAGCAAGTATATCTAATATTAATAAAAAACAATTTTTAAGATTTTAACTTATATTAAAATTTAAAAAAATATATGAAAATTGTCAAAAATGATTTATAAAAGCAAATGTTAATAAAGATTTGAGATTCCTTTTGCTTAAAATGCATCGATTTTTTCTGGTCAGCAGATACTTGATTTTAATACCTGTTTAAGAATATACTCCATGGTTTTCAAATTAAATTGATGATGGACAAACTATGAAATATAACATTTGTTTTCACTACTTCCAAATTATGAATTTTACAAAAATAAAATTCTATTAAAAGAATCTTAAAAGTGTATTAAAATAACATGGAATATAAATAAAATATTTTAGTTTTTGCTGTTCCTTTACCTCAGGACTTGAATAATTATTTAAAAATTATTAGTTTATCTATTAAATTGAAATTTAATTATTATTTATAAATTTGTTAAAATATTTTAGAATTAGTTGTTTTTGATAAATTAATTAATATAGATTAGAAAAATCAGTATAAATATTTTTTGAATAACTTAGATAATTTCACTACATATTTGGCTTTTGTTCAGTGTATTTACTCCCAAAAAATTTTCTTTTAGGAAAACATATTTTTGTTTATAACAAGAATGATGTAAGGGTCGAAACCAGTTGCTGGTTAGTCTGAACATTCTCTAAATTCAAATCAAAGGAGAAAAAAAATGTATAGTAATTTATAAGTATTGAAATTATGATGCATCAAAAATAAATATATTTTTTTTTAAAAGGAGCTTTAAATTTATTATTTATGCATACAGGAAGAAAAAAAAGCTATGAAGTTTCTTAAAATTGCTTCTTCTTTAGCAATTGATCCTTTTCTAATTTATTTATTAAACAGAGAAAAATGATTATCTTTATTACATTGCACTACAAATTTGAATTTTTCTTAGTCACCAGGATCGTTGACAAGGGTCCTACTTTCAATGAAAGCACTTTTCCTTTACCTTTAAGTTTTTATAGGAAAAATGGTTAGGGGAAAATAAAAGAGTAAATTCAAAATTGTTTTCATCCTAAAGTATACACGAAGTACATACTTTTCTCTAATGGATACATGTTATACAGTGTAATTTATCAAATGTCTTCAAAAAATGAATTTTTTGTCCAATTTTTTTCTTTTTTAATAATATCACATTTAAAAAAATTCTGGAAATTTTTTTTAAAGAGTATTCAAAAGTTTTGCTGAATAAAAAGTATCATTACTATAACTGTAAATCAAATGTGTTTAGTAAATCTAAAATATTATGTATCTGAAATTTGTTTTTCTGTACCTTATTTGTTTTTCTGTACCAACAAAAGAAAGATAATTAAAATATAGGCCTCACATAAAGTAGAAAAAAATATATTTTATAATTCCTTTTGTTTATTTTAGTATCTGGCAATACCAGTTGACACCGAAATTAAATTCTATCAACGAGAGTCATGGGATGTAAGTTTTACTTTGACAGACAAGTGCATGCTAAAGGTAAATTTTCAAGATTTTTAAATTTTGTTTTCTGTTTCGATTTATTTCTTTTTATTTTCTGTTTTCATTCATTAAAATTTGTAATTATAGGTAATAATTATTTAGAGGGAAAAAAGATATATTATGTAGTGAAAATAAAGTTCAGAGAAACCTCTCGGGAGCGACCACTCTCTGTTCCACGGTAAAATGGTTAATAGAGGTTGGCTGTTCTTAAAGGTTACCACCATTGATTTCGAAAGGATATCAAAGTACACAATTTTTCCCAAACGATTTTAATTTTTGTCTGAGTAATTGTATTGGTGCGGAAATGCTATTTTTGATGACATGAAAATCGAATCAATGAATAAAATTTAACTTCAATAAAAATTATCCCTACTGATATAATAATGTGTAAAAACAAACTTACCAATTATGAATGCTAGAACTATTTTAAATAAATACAATTGTTTTTCTGTTAAAGTTTGCATTTAAATTTATATCATGAAAATTAGTTAACTTTAAAATATGTGAAGAGGTTTGTTTGTTAGGGATGCTTAGTTTTTTCTAAAGTTACTTTTTTTTCCTTCCTAATTTATCTTTCAACTTTAAAAATATAATCACTAATAGCATTGTCTTTAGTGCACTTTGACTGCAACATGAAATTGTAGATCTTTTTCAGTGATCATCAAAAAGGGCTCTCTAACTAAGAGCCTTGCCCAAATGTTTTGAATTCCATTTTAATTTACTTATTTGTTCTATGAATATTTTTTGTTTTGATATTTTTTGTGTTTCCTTATTTGATATTTTCCGTATTTGGTGCAGAGGTTTGACTGAATGCTTGGAGAGGTTTTAATGGTCTCTCCTAAGGGTTTTCTTCAACACAAAGTCTATGAAAAAAAAATTCTTGCCTCCCAAAAGTGGTCGTAAATAGAGGTGATCACTACATAGATGAAGCCTTTCCCGGAGGTTTCACTGTATTTTTAAGGTTATGTTATTCATAAGGTTAAGGAACTGTTAAATTTTTTTTAACTGTATATTACATCAAACTTATAGATTTATGGTGACAAATAGGTTTTCTTTCACTCTGAATATAATGTTTTATCCCCTGTATTTGCAGGGGTCATTATACCCCCAATTTCCCCATTAACGAGACGTTTGTCCTTTCCTTAACAATTATTTCCTCTTTTTTCTTCGCTGAGCTTTCATTCATGTGCTTTAACGAGTTTTTGTTTCACCCATTAGTAGGAAAGCAATTCTGAAAGAGTGACATGGAGTTTTTTCTGAAGGAGTAACATGACTATTGTATAACTTATTGTGTTTGACATCGTTTCTGAAATTATTGTTTTTCATAGTCAAGTTTACTGTGCTTGCTTGTTTATTTCTATCATGATGTAATTTCCTATGAAATTATAATCTCTTTATCTTTGCGAGATGTTTATATTTTGGTTCGTTCACTTAAATCCTGTAACTCTTAATAATGACAATGAATTTTGATGATATAAATATTTTAATTTAAAAATCTGGATTATATAAACACATTACACATCAAAAAGTTCAACATCATAGATATTATCTCAATAACTACGGAGCTCTACTGTTCCCTACTCTTTCACTACGACCAGTCTATCTGATTGCTGCATTCCATCTCCTCTTAAAACAAACTTTTTCTCAAAAAAAATGACCTTCCCTTCTCCTTAGTCCACCACCACTCTAGGGGACGACACTTCCTGTGTCCCTCACCCTCTGACCCTCAGGTCAGGGGTCAATAAAATGCGTGGGAGAGAAATCAGGATCCTGACAAACTTGTTCAAATAAAAAATTTTGACCTCCGAATAGGTCCTCTTACTGCTTTTTATAACATTGTGCCTTAAAAACTCTGCATTTAAGCATTTTTTTGACATTTATTGCTTTTGATTTTGAAATTGTCTTTAATTTCCTGATATTATGAGATGCAAATTCAAATTGTGCATCTGAGCAGCCATTTTTTAACACTTGATCTGAGCCAATTACACAATAAATACATGCAATGTTTCAATTATTTATCCGATATTTATTGCTATGTATTTTTACATGTTTTTAAGTTACAATATTTATCATACCATAAAAAATTTTACCATATCATTTTGTTGAATTCAAAAAAGGTAATTCAACTCACTCATTTGTTTACTCATTTTTTGACACATCGATTTCATGGTTTCTTCTATCAATTTTTCATCATTTATTGCAATAGAATCTTATTTGGTTTTATATTTCCTAATCAATTTTATATGGCGTTATTTATCATAGCACTCAATTCTCAAATCACACATTAGAGTGATCATTTTTTGCTGTATCTGACTCACATGGAACGTGTGGTTTTGACGTCAATTTGATTTTAGCCATTTATCGCCACAATCTACGCTATGTGCAGAATAAACCCTTTATAAAAAAAATAATAATTTACAATTACAAATTACCAGATTCGAAAAAGGGAGTAATTTACATTTTTTTTCTTCAAATGTGAGAACATCTCCCATCATATTTTATCAGGTTTATGTAAGGTCTTTAAAATGTTTTTCAGTTTGTCAGATTTGTGTATTAGGAGTAAATATCATGAACTTTCAATTATAGGAAAGGATTTATTGATATACCTTGCTTGAATATGATATTTTTATAATTTATAAAAGTTTTTTTATTTTAAAAGTATAACTGTAAATTATTTGTGTCATTTGCAGAAAACTCTTTTTAATCTTGTTGTAGATTCTTGTAAGAAGTATTAATTTTAATTTTTTCTTAAATCAGTTAGTATAAAAATGTGATATATTTATCATTGGTAGTTATGATTTAAAGGAAAAATATATCAACCATGTAGCTTATAGAATTATAGAAAGGAAAAATATATTAAACATGTAGTTTATGGAGTTACAGAACGGAAAAATATATTAAGCATATAGTTTATATAATTATAGAAAGGAAAAATATATTATACATGTAGTTTATAGAATTATAGAAAAGAAAAATATATTAAACACATAGTTTATAGAATTATATAAAAGAAAAACATATCAAACATGTAGTGTATTATTTTTGGTGCATAAATTGATATCTGGATATCAAGCTTTTGCAGATTAAAATTTTCAGGGATTTTTATTTTGTGCCACAATTACCCTTGTTTTTTACATTAGTTGGGAACTGTAAACTTTCGTGTTTCGTAACTGTTGTCTTCTGAACTAGTAGTGGAACCGGAATTTTATTTGGTGGAAACTAGAAATTTTATATCTACAAAGGTGGGAAAAGAATTATGAATAAGAAAACATGTGAAACTTTTATTTTTGAGAATTTTTTTTTTTGTTATGAGTTAAAATGTAATTGATATTTTACTAGTTATGGACATATTTTGTTAATATTATCAGTGTATATTTTTACCCAATGAATTTTTTTTTCTAGATTTATAGTTTAAGCATGAAAATAAAAAAAAAATCAAACTCTCTTAATAGCAAGAATCATTCCTTTGATTTTTTTCTTTTAAAATTCTTATGATTATAATACTTCTTATTCTTTTTTATTTCATGTGAGTTAATATTAAATTAAAATGATTTTTTGTGTATATTTTTATTCATTTTTGATATTAGGATATATCGATTGTTACATTTTCTCCATTTGGAAACTACATTGCTGCTGCTGCAATTAATGGTCAATTGGCTGTGTGGGATACAAAGAGTAAAAAATGTGTTTCCAGGTCTGTCTTTTTTTGCATTTTATTTTGAAATATAACTTTTTTCTTGCTAGCGAATTGGTGAATATGAATACAGTAGAGTCTCGATTATCAGCAATTTTCGTGAAGGGATTGAAAATTATATTTAGTTAAAAATTGCACTTTTATGAAATATATATGTACTATTATTTTTATTGTTTCTGGGTTTTAGACAAAGAATAAATATTTCTGTTACAAATATATATGCATGTATGAATACATTTAAAATTATTTTTTGTATTTCGACTCTACCTTTTTTTAGTTTTTTTTTAAAGTTAGTTATCTGTGGTGCCCTTGCAACCTAATTGCACAGATAATTATGGCAGTATTTTTATTTGCAAAGTATAATGCTCAACTAAGTTGCATCCTCTTTGTTTATTTGAGTTTTTAGGGCAATAATTGATACTTTGGTCAAGCCTTACAGGTAGAATTGCACAAGATTTTATGTCTAAACATAGCACTGTATTAAATGAATTTTTAATTTATTATTAAAAGAGGAGAGATTGTTGCTAATCATATTTTATTGAAATCAATATATTATTACGTAACCAAGTTTTGAACAAATGTGATATCTAGTGCCAGAAAATTATAGCGTCAGTTAAATATTTTTTTAATAATAAATTAAATTTATCTGGAATATAAATTTTTAGAAGTAGTTTGCATATGTTTGATTAAATTTTAACATGCTTGATGGAAAAAAGTAATGAACCATTTTTTGTATTCTTTAAATTTTAGGATAATAGTTCACCAATAATTTAAGAAACCATAAAGCATAAGTTAGAATTTTAAATGCTAACTAATTTAAACTAACTGATTTAAAACTTTTCTATGGTAACCAATGTTTAAAGGTTCAAATAGCATTGAAATCCTAAACTAGTATGTTATGACGCTTATTAATTATAATTAGTGCTGGGTATCTCCCTTCAAAAAATGATTTAAGTTGTCTGTTATTCAAAATGATAGATCTGGATAAATAGTAGATCGGTTGATGGATAAATAATAGAAGAAAAAATTATGTTTTAATTTATATTAAAGAGATCATTCTTTAAGGAAAATGTCTTATTCAGCATTTATTTCTAAATTCGTTGCAATTATTTTTAAATTTTAAAATTATTTTATATATTTATATAATGTATTTAACACATTGTGTTAAAATAATGTAGATGTACTTGTGAAACTCAAGCATTGTTGTAAAAGCTGAAGTGGGAAGACTGAATTCTTTTAGATGTAATCCAAATTTGTCTCTTTGTGGCTAATTTATATATTTTAAAATTTTTATTTATTTATTTAAATCTGAAGACACTTTATCTAAAGCAAAATGTAAAAGCAAAATTTGACGAATTGAAACTAGATTACTCAATACAGAACCATGAGTTTTGTATTGATTTTTAAAAAATTTTTTTATTCAAGCAAATCAATTTCGCTGTCTTTTTAGCACTTTGTTTTAAAAATTGAGAATTTTCTGTGTTAACTGTTGTGCATTATTTTAACAGAGCATTTCTGATAGACTTTATTCTTTTGTTGTCATTTTTTTCCCTGTACAGTATGGCAGATAACTAGCAACATAGTAAACTGAGATTCTGAACGTTATAATTATATTTCAGAACTAAGAAAATTTTTTCCCCATTTCCCTTAAGTTTTTTTATTAACTTTTCTTTTTATCAGCGTTTTTATTATGACTTATCTAATGAACGTTATTCTTTTATGGTCACTTTGTTTTTTAAGTAGTCTGGTTAATATGACTAACTGGTAACTGGTTAAAAGAGATTTTTAACGTTAAATTTTTCATGTAAAAATTAAGAACGGCTTTTGTTTCGGTTTCTATCTATCTTTTTCGTTTTAAAAAAACGTTTGTTTTTATAGACATTTTTATTATAACGCACCAATTAAGAAAGTTTCTATTAGACTTTCAATATTACTTTTTCTTGAAACTACGGTAATTGGAAAGCTGAGTTGTTTAGCTGTGAAATTTTTGTTCAAAAATTAAGATAAATTTTTATTTATTTTTTGCTTTGCTTTTTTATGTAATATTTTTTATAAGCGTTTCTATTATAGCGCTGCATTTTTAAGAATGCTTCTGGTAGATATTATCTCTTTTAACGTCCTCTGGATAATTTTTTTTAAAGGAAAATATTATTTTTACCACTAAAGTTTTATTTTAAGAATTAAGACAATATTTTTTTGCTATTTCTCTTTTTTTCTGCTTTACTATAGTTTTCTTTTTTAATGGTTATTAGTCAGTTTTTTATTTATCTTAAATATTTCTAATTATCTTATACATTTTCATTAAATTTTTTTCTCTTTACACCATATCAGTAATACAGCTAAATTTTTATTATGTTTTAGTAATGTTTAAACTTATTTATATATAAAAAATATATATTGATATTTTTATTATTTTTTTTTGAAAAATATGTTGCTATTCGGCCGAATCATTATTCGGTACATCCCTAATTTTTATAACATAATCCATAGAACAGAAATAAAGTTGTTATTTTCAAACATGGTGAAACACAAGACATCCGTATACACTTTGCACTATTCCTAATTTTTATGCATATTAAAATAAAATTGTATGTTATAGCATCAAATAAAATGTTCTTGAAAAATTTCTAAATTTAAATTTTCTTAAACATAAGTTTTTCAATGCAGTATTATTTCTAGAAAAAAAATGCAGATGACTTTTTTTAATGTAAGAAAATTAGTTATAATCTAATAAAAATTAGTGTTTTGTATAATCACGAAAACATGAATAAGCAATGCAATTTTAAGATGTTAATTATAATTTTCTTGAATTAAAAATATTTCTTATTTAATGTTTTTTACTATGTGTATATGTGTATCTATACTTATATATGTGTATTTCAATTTCAAATTAACTTCAGAGTGTATCATATTTTAGAATTTTTTTTTAATATTTTTTTTTATATATATCAAAAGCCTATCTTTGATGTAATAAATTATTGTGCTTTTTCTATTTAATTTTTCATATTGTTGATAAAAATCCAAGGGTTTCTTCATTTCTAATGTTATTTTCTGTATTATTTTTTTTATAGAAAACCTCATGAGAATGAAGTAGCTGTTACTGCTCTTAAGTGGAATCCCTCTGGTCAAGACCTAGTGTTTTGTGATGTCGAAGTAAATGACTTTCTTTACACTATTAATTAAGTGTGACCATTAAATAATTAGTCTTTTATGTTTTCTTTTGATATTTTTTAGGGACAGATGGGTATTTACACTTGTCCATTGACATCTAGCCAGGTATGTACTGAAAACTTTACTCAATATTAAGCAAATGAAAGCTAAAGCAGTAATTATTTTTTTAAATTTACAGCTATTAATTTCAAACTTTTTACTTATTGTTTCATCACCTATTATCATATTCTGTCAAAAATGTTGATGCTAAAAATATTTATACATATCTTACCATTATTTTTCTTTATTTTTATAAATTTATTAGTTAACTATATTATAAATAGATTTAATATGCTATTTTATCAATAAATTTGAGAAATATTGTTTAAGCCTTTGCAAATTCTCTGAAAATGAAATTATTTTCTAGAACATTTGGTGCGGTCTTTTTATCCAATTATAAAATCAAATACTATATCTATAGTCCATTGTAAAAATTTAATATAATGGTTTTCACTTTTGAATATTTTTTTAATAAGATTCATGGAATAGCATAAACCTAACCAACATGTTTCACCAAGATAAATAGATAAATTCTAAAATATGAAAATATGTCCGAAAATACAATAATTGTTTTATTAAATAAAAACAAGATTTTAAAAGGCTTTTATAAAGAATTAATGGCATCGAACTATAGCAACTTAATCGCATATTTATGTAGCGTAATTTTGTAGTCCTAAATGGTAGTCTTACAATTGTTTGCATTGGTGTGTTGTACTAATATGAAATTTTTTTACTGAAAGAAGTATTTATACGTTTGATTATATTTCATTTAAAATTGTTTCTTTATTCATTATGTAATTTAAAAATTATTGATTTATTGTTTTGAAATTTTTTTAAATTGCTTAAATGTTTTGATTTCCTTATGTATTCCAGAAATTATAAATCCTTTTCTAAGCTGTCCTCTTTTTTTATAGCCTTTTAAAAAAAAACAGTAAATATTAATGAAAAGTAAAAATTAGTAACACTTACTTAATGAAAAAAAAATTTTTTTTTTTTAAATTATCCATAAATACAGATTAAAATCCCCTATTAGTTGGTAATTTTTTCAATGTCTGACATTTTTAATCTGTCATTTCTTTTATTTATTTTCTTATTTATCAACCTTTTTAACAATTTTATTAAAAAAGCTTTCCTTATTATATTATTTCTTTGAATTTTAGAAATATATAATTATTCACATATTTTATGATCATCCATGTTAGTATTATATTACACTTTTGAGCATAATAATGACAATGACATGCTTTCCTTTTAGTCATTAACGATCAGTGCAATGAGTGTTTTTTATTTCTAAGCAAACACAATTTTTATTAAAATGCATTTTTTTTTTTTTTGAATTTCTTTGCATGCATTTTTATAAACTCTTTTGAAATAATTTAAATATAAATCCTAGGAAATTACAGATGATGTTTCTCATGCATCTCATAGTATGCTGGATTCATTTGCTGCTGAAGACAATGACATTGAAGATGATAACAGTGAAAATGGTAAATCAAAATCAATTATACCTGCGCATAAATCTTTTTGCTATCTTTCATAGTATTTTCAATTGATAGTATTTTTTTTCTTCCGAATTCATGGTTAATTATTCAAAAGATGATTACAAATGTAAAGTTTTTTTTAGTCCAATATGTTTATTTGGTTTTTCTGTTTTTTATTTTAGCTTTTGATATTGGTGCAATCAAAGCTTCTTTAGATTCAAAAATCTTTAATGAAGAATCAGCAATGGAGACAGCGTCAGTTAAAAGTGAAATCATTGAGCCTAAAATACAAGTTGTAGAAGCTCCTAAAGCTCCTGTCCAAGCAGCTTTTCAGCCTAGTTCAACACCAATTAATTTAGAACATAGATTTATGGTACTATTGTTTAGAAAATGTTTTTTTCTTTCCTTACCTAGTTGCATATTGCTTTTTTGTAACATTTTTATTTTCTAAATATGTATCTTAAAACATTACTCCAGCTTTAATAATTTTTTCCCAAATTAAGAAATTGTATCAGAAAAATAGGTTATAAAAATATTTTTCCCCAGCAATTAGACATTTATAATGAAATACAAGTTAAAATCAGTTTGTTAAGATACTCTGAATTTATTGCTGTCTTCTATTTTCTCTTGGTAGAATATTATAAAGACACTTAATACTTATTATAAAGACAGTTAACACTAATTCTAATTTTTTTTTTTTTATTCTGAAAATTCTTGCAGATATTAAACTTATGAATTCCGGCACTAATGAAATTATACATGTTGTAATGTAATTATACATCATTTATAATCCATATACATAATGTAATTATACATCATTTAATTTTATGATTACACAGTACTTACTTGATTTTAGAAGTGTGATATTGTAATTTATATTGTGATATTGCAAGTTATCTTTCAATTAATTATCATATTTAGCTGCAAAAAACCAGCTCATTTAGATTCAGAGTCTTCTAATCTTGTTCCAGGAAGTGTTGATGGACTAGCTATATGCAGTTGTAAATGTGCTACAATGTTTATCAAAATTCGATAATCATCCATTTGCTAGCCCCTTATTGTTAAAACTAATATGAACAAGGGTATAGTGGGGCTGTAATGCTGTTTTTGAACTATAATTCAAATAAGCCCAATTTCCTTTATAAATCTTTATTTTTTTGCCTTCCCAAAAACCCGATTTCCCCCCAACCCTGAAACAAGTTTTTTCCCACTTATTACAAACTAAAGCCAATTGTGAGCATGACTTCAGTCACGTGAACTCTATAATCTTTAAGTCGAGGTCCAATCTCATTATTTCCCAACTGGAAAGCCTTATGTTCTCAAAGATTAATGGTCCACCATTAGAACACCTGGAACCAGATGATTAGTTAATTAGGGTACTATACTGGTTGACAACAGATAAACGCGACTGCCTAATAAATTGCACCGCATTGAACAATCTAATAGCTTGTAAATATCACATACACAGATGTAGACAGATATATTTATATATATATTTACAGGACTTTCTGTAATCACTGCCCTTAATATATACTACATAATAAAGTTATTTCAATCAAGCAAATCACTATTAAGAAAGGCTAGATTCAAAACATCAAAATAAATCTGATTAAATGATGAAACTTCAAAATGTTTCTTATAATCTTATTTCATCATTTCCCAATTTTATCAGACAAGTTTTGATCCTTTTAATTCATTTTACTTAATAGTGATACATTTTAAAAGCGTTTTTTTTTTTTTTTTTTCATTCTGAAGCATTAATTTGTGTGCACAAAAAAATTATAAATAGCAAATAAAAGAAACCAAGAAACGAAAAAAGAGAAAAACAATAGAATTGTGATGTGAATTTATGTTTAGAAGCATTCCAAAAATATTAGGAATTTTCTGAATTTGTATTACAATAATATGCATAGCCTATAAGATATTATCCTTTAACAGTGCACCGTTCTTACATTGATTTAAGAACATTGTATTTCAGCGATGGTAAAATTTTTAAGTTTTTCCTTCAACTCCTCCCCTTTTCTGAAGGCTTATGTACCAGGAAAAACATTTTTAAAACTACAACACTGGATACGAATAAAAAATGTCTCTTCAAGGTCATGTTATCGAACTGCTTTTTGTTAGGTTGTAGATATTTTTCAAGCATTTTGAAGTAATTTTCAAGAAATTAAAAAAAAAAAAAAAGATGGAAGGATTACTTCTGAGTTATGTTTGTGAAATAATTTAAAAAAGGGTGATGTAAATTGCATGATTATAAAATTTTATTTAATATGAAATTTTTTTTTTCAGTTTTTTTTTTTCCTTTGCAGTTTTTGTATCTTTTTGTATAACAATAAAGCCTGTTGAATTGTTCTTACCTAATTTACTAACATTTACTCATTCTTGTTATTTAAATATCATTTATCTTCTGGAACTATGTGTATTATTTCGAATTATTGATCATGAGACATTTGTTTTTAATATAGTTGTGGAACAATGTTGGTATTGTTCGTTGTTATAACACTGAGGAAGAAAATTCAATTGATGTGGAATTCCATGATGCAAGTGTGTATCATCCTCTACATTTAACCAATACTCGAAACCACACCTTAGCTGCTCTTTCATCTGAGGCCTTATTGTTAGGATGTCCTAAGCAAGATGAAAACACAAGGTGAATATCAACAAGTTTTAGTTCTGTCTAAAAGTTTGTCTTCTCTAATTAAATAATTTAAATTTATTTTGTATTCTCTTCTTATTATTTGGGAGAAGTTAAAAGGAATATAATTTAGTGATTTATATTTTTTTACAAGATTACTGTTAGTAATTTATGAAATAATTTACAAACTATTATAGCTTTTGTAACTAAACATAATTTACTCATCCATAAGAACTTGAAAGAAAAATGGAAGGAATCTTTTTTATATTTTTTATCTTCATCAATCAATTTAGAATAAAATTTTTTCTCTTTGTCAATTTATAATACCTGCATTTAACTTTTCCTTTCTCTTTTAAAGAATATTTTTAAAAATTTATGTTTAAAATATTTATGAAAACAACTTATTTTTAAATACATAAATTTTTAAATCTCTTAAAATAAAATATTGTCTGTATATTAAATTTCTATAAAAATATTTATACAGTGATGTTATCAACAGAACAAAGGAACAAAACAAATTCATTAACTTTCTGCAAGATAGTTACTTTTTCCCAATATTATTCTAAACAGTCTTAACTGTTAAAATTATTTCTTTTTTAAGCTATTCCAAGTTAAATCTAACTTGTTCTAAACTGGGCTTTTTTCATAGTTCTACTTAACTTACAAAAAGTAAATAGATAATTAAAATAAATTAATAATCAAAATAAATTAATAAATGTCTGCTGCAAAAGTCTGAAATTTATAATTTTGGTTAAGTTTACTTCATTGTTAAAGTAGCTGGGAAATATTTAGTTTCTAATTACAAGTATTATTAAAGCCATGTTCAAAATAGTTACATTTTAAGGTCAAAATAATGTCCATATTGTGATACAACAATTCCATATTGTGATTATTTATATATATATATTTCAGACTAAGTTAGTGTAGGAATAAGTTTATATTATTTAAAGGTATTTTATTATATATTTATTAACAATAATATCTACATTTTATGGTTGATTTTCAGTTCTTTTAATCTTTATTTTCATTTTTATTTTTAATCTTTTCAGTAGCAAATTGGAATGTCTGCATTTCAGTACTTGGGATTCTAATAAAGAATGGATAGTGGAAATGCCAGAGACTGAAGAAATAGAGGTTATAAAACTTTTTAATTTTTTTTATTTCCTTATTTTATATTTTACGGATAAAACGGAAGGCATGGAAAGTATATTTTCCTTTATCTTTACCCTATTTTGTTTTTTTAATTGAAAGAAAAATATAGTTTATTATGTCTTCACCGAGGATATCATTTAAGTTGTGACGACAATCAGTATAAATTTAAGAAAATAAAATTCTTTTGTTATTATACTTGGTAATATTCTTCTGGAACAAATCAAGTATGATTTTATTTTAACAAAAATTTATTTTTCTAATTTTGTTTAAGTGTTAGTAACTTGTACATTTATTTAGTAATCCTAGATGTTATTAATGTGTTTAACTCAGCATAAATTAATCTTCCTACCTTACTATTCATTTTATAATTGCGATTTTGAAAAAATTGAGATGTAATATGGTACCACATATTGCAATTGAAGGACATCTTGTGAAACACTGTTAATCCACAAGAAATTAGATAAATTATCTTTAAAGATCTCAAAACAATTTGTAATATTTAGTGTTATATTTTATTACTTTTTGGATTCTTTTGAAAACGGATTATAATCAACAGAAATGTTTTTTTTTAATAAAAAAATAACTTGTATAATGTTATTTTCTTTAAAAAAATAAGAAAAAAAAAGCTTGTTACGTTATTGATGGGAAAATTTTACAGTTTGCCATTTTTTCTCCAGATGAGCCTTACAACAGAGTAAATCTAAGTAATTAGGTCATGTGCTATGTTTTTAAATTGAAATTGCTTAGTGTAAAATAAAAATGAAATAATTTGATTTTTAAAAATAAACTTGACTTTCCAATTTTCTAATATCAAAATAAAAGTCAGAATGAAATATATTAATTATGCAAAATGAGACCTTACCAGTTGATGCCATTATTGGTCCTATTGCTGGTTTCTTACTAGTATGATACAAAATTACCATATAATTAATGACACTTTGAATGCTGTATATTGTAACTGATATGCATCCAAGTATGAAGTTTTTCTATAGCCATCCTATTTTATGGAAGCAAAGCATAAACATTAAAATTATAGATAGGATATGGAAATGAAACTGAGCGTGTTTGAAAAATGATGATACTTTTCATTTATTATTATTTTTTTTTTTACCAGTCTAAATGTATTCTACAAATTTATTTTAGTTCTGTTATCTATACTTAAATAAGCAAATTTTAGTTGTAGATTGCTAAAGCATTTGTATTTATGAAATTATGATATTTCACAGGCAATAACTCTAGGTGAAGGCTTTGCTGCTTGTGTTACTGATAAAAGATTTGTGCGCTTATTTTCAATCAGTGGAGTTCAATGTGAAGTATTTTCAATACCTGGTCCTGTTGTTTGTTGTGCTGCAAAAAGTAATCAACTTCTTATAGTTTATCACAAGGGAACTGGTAAATATTGTTTTTTAATTATTTAATCATTTAATTTTAATGAATTTTTTCAGTTTACCACTAAACACAGAACTTACTGCCATTCATCGAAAGAGGCTAAAAAAATGTAGATCAATATTCTCAAATTATGTAACTGTGTGAGCAGTCAGGAAACTTTTCACAGTGCTCTGCAATAATGTAAGGCGAAACATTTTAATTATATCATTGAGGAAAGATAAATTATAAAAAATGTAGAAAATAGTGTTTTACTTGGTAAGTAAGAAGAGAAAATTGTGAATCAAAAATCTCTGAGCTCTATTTTGCAAGACATATTTCTTTGCTAGTTAGTTATTATTTTTATTGAAAAGTTTATTTTAGGCCCATAAATTTTTTTAAATACAAATGAGGCAATTTTTTTCAGGTATTTCTGGAGATCAAAACTTAGGCATCATGATTGTGAAGGTTAATCTAGGAATTCAGTGCTCAATGAAAGAATGTTTCATTCCACTTAATTCTAAAGCATTTTTAAGTTGGCTTGGGTAATATGTCATAAATATCTTTGCACACCTTCTTACTATTTTCATTTTTAACTGAAAATTTTATTCGGAAATGTAATGCTTAGTTTTGAAATTAAATTCTATATTTTCTAAATTAATGTGCTTATTGGTTTTTCTAGTTTTTCAGATGAAGGTCATCCTTGTATTGTGGATACATCAGGTGTTATACAACTTTTAAATGTATCATGTGGGTCTAAATGGATTCCCATTGCTAACACAACTTTAAATGTAAGTAAACATAGTACACAAAATGTAAAATTATGAAATCTCAATAACTTTTGAACTAATAATCATAATGTGTTATACTAAGATGCTATCTTAATGGTTAATAATCTTAATGCTAAATTATTTTCTGGCTCCCCCCCCCCCCGACACACACATTATGAGAACCAAAAATCCAAATCTCAAAAAAAGATAGGTATATTGAGACTAAGCATGTTTTTCTGTCCTGGTCTCTCAAACCATGGAGATTGTATCATAGAATGAGAAATTTTATAATTATATCAAAATTTATTTAGCTTTTATTTTTTCCAGTGAAGTATTTGTTGTGTTTAAAAGTTTTTCCAAAGGCAAACTCAATATAATTTTTCTTTTTATTGATAATTTGTTTGATTGTATTGAGTTTCTAGTTTTATATTTAGCTTTCGATTTAATTTCATGATTCGCTTCCGGATTGTTTAAAAAAAATTTTAATCAACGAAATACTCATTTGTATAATGAACTAAGACCATGAAAGTATTACAAAAGAATATGTCTGTCTTTTGTTATTAAGTTGATATTTAATCACTTTGTACTTAATTAGTAGTATGTATTTAAGTAGACTGAAGCTATTGTTTCAATCTACTTGCTATGCTTATTGTTACATTTCTATTAAAAATGCTTTGTTCATTGTCTATTTTAAATAATAAACAAATTAGCAGGCTTCATTTTTTATTTTTAGATTAAGAACAAGTCTGATACATGTTTTGTGGTAGGATTATCAGAAATAAAACAAGAAGTAAGGTAATAGTTATCTTGATACTAAATTTTTTATCCATATTTGCTTGTGCAACTGCTATATCAAATTAGTCATCTGATTATTGATTAAGTCATATAGATGTTTACTATCTTTGCAAAATTTTAGATTCGTATTTGTAAATTTTTAACAAACTTCTAAGGATATATTAAATTTTTTAAAATGAATGAATGCAATTTTTGTTATAAATGGATACATAACAACACTATTAGCTACTATTTTAATTAATACTAATAACTGTATATCAATAATCTAAATTTTATTTCTTCTGTATATCAATTATATGAATTTCATTTTTTAATCTCTTTTTGTAATATGTTATACAAGTTTATAATTAATATTCTAGATATATTCTGTGTAAAGGATCTCGGTATCCTGCTCTTTTACCTAGACCTACCATTTCTGTATTATCGTTCATTTTGCCTTTTTGTGAAATGTCTTCAGATAAAGGGAAACTTGAAGTAAGTTTTACATACTTTTGAAGGCTATTATTTTTATTTTAATATTATAATACATTGCCATATTTTTTGTTGCATTGGTCGACATTATCAATCCCTGAAATTTATAATAAGAAGTCTACTTGTTCTCTTATCAGTAAAATAGGAAATCAACTTTAAAATTCAAATAGGATGTTGACATGTGCTCCTATTCACTGCATTAATCCAGAGTTTGTAATTAACTGCAGCTGAATGAAAAAGAGGTTTTGTAATTCAAAATCAAACATTTAAGAAAAAAAACAGGGTGCATAGTGTTTTTAAAAAGTGCTTTAAGGTGCTTATTTTCGTTTTTTGAAAGCCCTTAAAGTTGCCTTTTTCTTTTGGTGTTTTTAAAAAGTGCTTAATTTTCCCTTTTCTAAAATGATATTTTTCCTTTACCATGTTAATTTTCGCTACGAATTGTGCGGAAAGACATTGTTCAATTCAACGTTTTCACAATTAATTCAACTTCAATCTATTTCGGCGCATCGTCAGTCTGTAGCGTAGGAAAACGCCATTCAATTTACATGATTCAAAAATTTTGATATTGTCAAAAACAATGCCAAAGGGTTTTATTTATTAAAATTTTTTTTGACATGACGATTAAAACTAGATGAAACCGTCAATTGTCAAAAACTTTCCAACCCTATCTAATTAAATATTTTTTTAAGTGTTTAAAAATATTATTTGAGTGCTTGAAAAGTGCTTAAAAGGTGCTTACTTTTTGGTGAATAATTTGGCTACGCACCCTGAAAAAAACTTTGAATTGAGCATTTAGATCAACTTCTCCCAATTTTTTTATTAATCTTCTTTCAACGGATTCTTAGGTTCATAGGTTAAGATTGAGCATTTGCCTATAAAAGATTTTAAAAACACTTTATAGAAGGAATGAATTTTTTTTGTTATTAATAATCTTAACTTATTTTTTTATGTGTGATAATTAAATTCAAGGTCATGGAGCTGTATCTAGTCTAGTTATAAATGTGTTTTTGTTGTAATGTATGTTTGTAGCTAAAATTTATAAAATAAGCAGAATTATGGCTTTTTTTAAAAATTAGAAACTCAAACTTTTGTGTAAGTTGAAATTTGTTATTACAGAGACATATTTCTTTATTAACAAATTTGGTAATTTTATTTTCATTTGCAAAGTGCGATGGGAAATAATAAGAGTTTCATAAATGCATATTTTCATAATTTATTCAATAAAATTGTTATTCGAAAAATTATATTTATTAAAATTATAATTATTATCTATTCCTTTTGCTATTGTATTTTACTTTAAATAATTTCATATGGGCAATCGAAACAATAAATAAATAATGGATTGTTAATTGGATCTAACTATAATTAAGCATTTCAAAGGTTACTGGAAAACAAATGTCCTAACTCTCAGAATCTCTTTACTCTTAACAACATTTCAAAATCACTGATTTAGATTACCTTTCCAGATTTCTTTGAAATTGACCTTTTTTCATACTAAATAGTGTCAGTTTTGTCATGAATTTCAAACATGTTGTTTAAGAGTAGAAAAAAAAAGTGCATATAAATTAAAATTCCAAATATTAATACAGTTTTTAAAATTTTAGTCTAACTTCTAACTAGTGAAGAAAATTTTAAATTAATATTTCTTAGTTAAGTATTGAAACAATAATTCTAGAGTATCCTGAACAATAATCCTGAAGCTATTCCAGTTTTATGATGGAAGAATAATTATTGTAGTAGTGGTAATATTCTATTGTACGTATGCGATTTGTGAAGCGACATTATTCCATAGATAAATCGGATTGTTTTGTTTATTTTGAATTAAAAGGTGGCTGAATTGTTCCTGAGGTACAGTTTAGGAGCATGGGATTAGATCCATAAGTGGTGATCTATGGAGCATAAAACAGCCAAAAACAAAGCTGAACTCTTGTTGTCATTATTAAATTTTAAATAATTTGGCTATAACTTAATCACTAAAAAGACCTTGATAATTAATATAACCCTGCAACTGAAACATTTTTGTGGTAAGAGAAATAAAGTAACTTAAGGAATAGAGTTAAAAATAGATTTGTATGTTCGATTTAGTCGCTGCAGTGAATTAAAATTGTTATGCATTTGTATTGAATTAGAAAGATAGTGGTTACATTGATTGCTAAGTAGATATTTTTATTTGCTTTTTATATAATGTAATAAAATTTAATAATTGGTTTAATTCAATTAGAATTAGATGAAGAATGATTAAAAAAAATTAAATTGAAGAAATTAACGAAATTTTAAAACCTAGTAAATGTGTAATACCTATTATAGGACTTTGTATGCTTTATCTGTTAAATTGTAACTGCAATATAAAATGGTTGTATTTATAAACCTAATCTCTGTTTGGAGATTCCTTCATCCATTTAAAATTTTACTCTTCAAAAATTAATAGAAAAGTGACGCAACGACGGTTAAGCACCTACTTTCATTTCAGGTCTCTTATCCTTCAATACCTTTTAATTTTGACTAGAGTTAGATATAGCTGATAGTACCTGCGTTAATTCCTTTTTCAAACTAACTTCTTCACCATGAGAAGGCTTTCATCCACAACAAATTTCATATAAATGTTGCTGTGTGTAGTTGGCTGTAACTCATGATTCTCAGCTCTATTATTATTTTAATATTTTTTTTTAAGTAGGAAAGTTTTATAATATACTAATTAGTGTATTATGCAAATTTTGAGATTGCTTACTGATTCTAAGTAGTTGTTACAAAAATACATAATATGGAATAAATGTATTAAATTGAAATGTATTAAATAATCTTTTTCTGTATCTAGTGATTTGTTTTATCCTTATAATTCAATTCATAGTAGCATTCATTTAACAAATCATCAACTTTTTGTTATTATTCTGTTAGTGAAAATGCCATCTTTGGAACAAAATGTTGCAATATTTGTCTATTTTTGATTTTAGGAAGAAAATCAAAGATATGCTTTAGCTCATAGGTGTCTAGATTCCTTATTAAAAGAAGGTTATGAGGTTGATTCTGAATTCCAAAGTGTTGAGAAGAAGTGGATGGATGCTTTATTAAAATTGTTTGCCGTGAGTATCGTTTGTTTATTTTAAATCAATTCACAAACTTAAAATCTCCCCTTTTGTGAAAATCATGTCAGTGCCTATTAAAAATTACTTCATTCTCATGCATAGATATTTGTAAGTTATTCATTTCAAATGTACAAATTTTTTTTAAATCAAAACTGGCCAGGTAAAACATATATGAATACCATAATATTGAGGCATAATATTTAAAAGAAAAATTTTGACTGCGTTTGTGTAATCTTTTATATTTTCACATAATACTATAATTTTTGCACATATTATTGATATATATATTATTGATTATTATGATGAATTATTGATATATATATTATTGATAAATATGCATATTGATATATATGAAGGAATATGATCATGACACTAACCTGCTACATGTTTATAGTTAGCCACAAGATCTGATCGTGAATACAGAGCACTGGATGTTGCCGAGTTGATGCCTAATCCTGCTGTGATCCAAGGAGCTATTCGATATGCCACTCAAAGACACCGTATTGCTCTTGCTGAGAGGTTGGGTGAAGTAATGAATAAAAAGTTAAATCAAGAGGATGAAACTATTGAGGAGGAATTAGATTTATTACCTTCCGAAGAATTTTCAGAATCACTTATTGCTGATAAGTCTGCGATGGAAAAGTAAATATGAGATCTTTTTGTTGCATTTTCACCTTTTTTGCTAATATTTGTTGTTTCACTATGCTCTTTTGTATTAATAGCATTTTTCATACGTTTAACCTGTATAAAAAATGATACTAATAGCATCTTGTGTTTATTAATAAACTGAGAAGTGTTTTACGTATAGTTCTAGTTGTAATTAAATTCTAGTCTTATTATTTATTTTGTTGCAAAGTAAATACATTTCCTAGTCCCTATGGAATTAGGACAACTTGGAATTGTCAAGAGATTTGATTTTGAGAGAAAATTTCAGTGAGTTAGCTGTTTACCAAATCTTGCAGCCAACTGCAAAAATAATCTTAAAATTTGTGGTAACAATGAATAGTTTATGCTGTTTAAAGTAAGAATGTCTTAATATCTATTACTGTTACTCAATGTAAAAATTCCAGTGCAACATTGTTAAATTTCTTCGATTTATTAAAAATTGAACATTAATTTTAACAGAACACCTTTTATTATACTATTTCCTTTTTAACTATTTCCTAGTTTTAATTTTTTTCTTCTTAAATATACACTATTTCCCGTTCATTTATACTTCTTTATTTGTTGGTAATAATTGTTTTTAAAAATTTAGCTTTCTATTTAAATTTGTTTAAATACTTTATCACAAGCAAGTTATATAATAGCTTTATTGATCATTCAAATATTATGTCAGCATATTTTTAGCTATTTTTGACTCCCTCTCCTCCCTTATCAGCAAAAATTAACAAAAGACAAATATCATCATACTTAAGAAAATCTCGATTGTTTCTCACTTTGACTTTTATTGTATTACTCTAATTTTAGGATTAAATTCAAATAAACTTTGCATAAAGCAAAATTCATGTTTTTATTCATTTTGTAAAATTTTTATGTCGAATATTTCTTAGAAATCTTCTGTGTTTTCCTTCAAAAAATGGTCATAACTCTATTATGGTCAAAACTCTTTTGACATAAATTCTTCAAAATAATTTTTTCCACTTTTTTTTTATCTGAATTTATTTCCAAATTTGAAACTCTTCCAATTGTGATTTTTTGCTACATTTTTTCTTTGAATTTGATGGAAAATTTTGTAAATAAGGAGGCCTATTGCTTTATGAAGGATTGCTCATACTAGAAGGGTCTGTCATTAAGAAGGATCTGTCATTGTCAGCAAAAATGAATAAATTGCAAAACCCAGTTAGGTCCTTACATAATTGATTGAATGATTATGATTGAATTGACTCTATTAATAAACTGTATTATATTAAGTTTTTCCCCTTTTCTTTTGTATTTGCTATCAACATGTTAATTATTCATCTAATTATGTTTGTTTCTTCCAAATTGTAGGTTTTATTGCTTCTTGAGTTAAGAAAAAGTTATGTTTTTGATAAAATATTGTTGTACATAGCAAAAATGTCAGAAATTTTGTTGATATTTTTCTGAAAAAGTTAAAGTATTTTATTTCTGAAATCGAATGTAAATCCTGTTTATAGTTTTCCAAGCAGTAACTTTTAGGTTTAAGTTTACAAAATTTTATTTAAGTTACTAAGTTTTTTTTAGATTGGGAGATGTTCTGTGATCACAAATCTGTAATTCTCAAAGAGTTTATTTTCAGATTTATTATCCTGGGATAACCTTGGAACCATTCTTCAATTTTTTGTTTTGTTCTCTTGCTCTTTACCCTTTTGTTTTTGTACTGAGCTATTTCAACACCATTTGATTTGGTTATGATTTCTTGAGTATATCCATAAGTGTAGAAAAGAAAAAAATGTCAAAATTATTGTTCATTCCGAATAATTAAACCTAAAGTTATCTTTGCTTCTCAGTAGATTTATCTTATTGAAGAAAACACTTAATTCCATGTTCCCAAGATGCATTTAGGATTTTTCTTCTATTTTGTTAGCTTTATTTTTTTGCTTTTGGATCAAATGCAGTTTCTTACATTGTTTCTTTTTATTACTGTTTTATTCTTTTTTACATAATGTTATAGATTTTTAATTTTTAATTTGGTGCAGTAAAACCCTTGTCTGTTTAAAATGCCATTAAACTCCATATTCAATTCTGATATTAAATTTGCTCTGATATAATATGCTAATATTGTTCTGATGTCAAAATTGTTTTTCTGAGGACAAGACTAAATCGAAATTTTACTTTTGGGTATTCTGGTTAAATACTGGAAATTTGAAAGCGGGTTTTCTTATACATCACTGAAACTTACTGTTGTGACAGGAAATAGTTAATCAAAATTATAAAGTTTATTAAAATGAAAAAAAGAAGAAAAAAAGGATTCAGTGAGATATCAAATATAGAGAGTAGAAGAAACTAAGGTGTGTAAAAATTGTAAAGTAAAATAAAAGTTGATTTAAAGGGAAAATAATTCATTGTATATTATATTAAAAATTCGAGTGTTAATGCTAAGTTATGTACAGAAATTATAGATATTAAATGATTAAAATGCTGCATTTTGGTATTAAGTGTGAAACAGACTTTCACGAGACAAAAATATTCCATGATTTAGATGTATATTTTCAGTCTTTTCTCTCTTTATTTTTGTTATGCTTTTGTCAAGTTTAAAATTTATTTTTTTGAACCATTTGGTAAAACAATTTAAAATTGAAAGGAAACACACAGCATGGTCAACTCAATAAATTTTTTTAAAATTTTTAATACTTTCCAAAGTTATAATAGGTAATTAATCTTAACTCAAATTTTTTAATTTACATTTATTTATTTATTTGAATATGAAAAGGCATGAGCAATTCCCTCCCCCCCCTATAATATGTAATTGTTTAAAATGCCCTTTTGCAATATTGATTTATAGTCCAGTCAAGTGTTACATAAATTTAAAGTAACTTATTTTAAAATCATTAAGAAGCTATTTTTCAGAAAGTTCTACTTGCCTGTTATTAGTTTGCAGTTTTTAATGTTTGTATTATTTATTTGAATTTTTTAATCCAACTGAAATTTTATCAACCAACATTAATTATGTAACTAAGTTCAAACAATTAAATTAGTGCATTTATTTCTGTATTATTATACTAATCCTGCCATTTAATAAAAGTTATTCAGTTTTTAAAAATTCTAACAATAAACCTTTCAGCTATGTTTAGTTTTCGTAGGCAATAGCTAAATGCATTTTGTTTTTAAATTGAAATTTTTCATATATTTTCAGTTTTAATAACTCTATTGCTAAAGAGGATTCAGTTTTGAAACCAAAATCATTGTCCCGAATAAAAAATCAAATTGAAAAAAATAGTGAAAGTTTCGAAGACACTGTTGGTAAGATTTAAAAATTTATAACCTAATACTTTACTGCTGCCATGAAACCGAATAAATTCATAAAAAGGTATTTAAATATATATATTTTACAGATATTACTGCTAATGCATCAATACCCAGCAACAACCTGTTTATTGCCTCTAAGTCTTCTCCTTCATCTAATCCCTTTAAGGTTAGTTAATACTTGTTTTACCTTTTATAGTGATTGAGTAAGATATAGAGTGATGATTGCAAAACTCTTAAAAATAGTTGCTTTGTTTTTAGTTCAAGTGTAAATTAAATGTTAAAACTTCTTTGAATGCTTTCATCGCGCCAATGACTCGCTTTTGTTCCAATCTGCTCTTAGAGTTCTCCTGCAGCACTAAAATTGAAACAAAACTCAAAGTCCTTTATAACTTGTTTATTTTACTTTAAATAATGATAATCAATTGCAATCAATAACCACATTCACTAATGCACATTCACAATGCGATTATTCGTGGAAAACCAAGTTATTTCGTTCGTAATGATGAGAGAATTAATTTGGCCACTGTGCTTTGTTTGAAGTTTTTTTTAAAGAAAAGTTAAATTCGAATTTACTTTTTTCTTTTTCGTTAAAATCTTTCTTATTATTTATTTTCTTTATTCTAATGGAAGTCTGAAATATGATTATTTAAAATCAAAAAATTAATGTTACTTCTCTTTAGTTATTGATGTTTAAAGGATTTTATTGGTTAGTTAGGTAATATAAATTTCCAAAGCAAGTTTTTTTAAATTTTAACCACTTGTACTTTGAAAGTTTATTGTAGTGCTGCAGAATGGAAGTTATAAATTATTTACAAACTAAATAGTTATGTTTTATTCTTATTATTATTAAAGAATGATAATTTTAATAATTAGTTTTTTTTATTCTTTTAATGATTTTTTTAAAAATCTCAATGGAAGCACAATATCTTGTAAAAGCCTTCCAGTTATAAGAGGCTTCATCCTAGGCTGAACTTTTACTCCTCGAAAAGCATTGTTTCTGAAAGTATGCTAATGGCAATTGTAATATGTTTCGTCTACATTAAAATTTTTACAGAAGGAAAAATAAAAAAAATCTTTTTTAGTTAGGTTTATCATTTTTCATGTTGGTATATTTATTTGTTTACTTTTATGTTTCTGTAACTTAGTTTATTTATAACAATAATGGTAAGAGTTTTAAAAATTCTGAATATTTTATTTGCAGAGTAACTCTAAATCACAAGCGAAAAAAGAAGAGAACAGTAATTTGAATGGTATTGATGATCTTCTAAATAATAGTATGAAAAGTGTCACTTCAAAGTCTTCTAACTCGACCCTTGAGGAAAAGGTAATTCGTATTCACCTTTAAAAATATTGTGAAAAAATCTTCATTCATCAGACATTTTTTCCATAAATTTATTTAAATTAGATTTCTAAGGACCAAACTGAGAAAATAGCTTGCTATAGTGATGTACTGTGGAACCCTGTTTTTATGTTGTCCGTTTGTATGTTATCCCGCTTCCTACATCATTTTCTGCTGATCTGTTAAAATCTCCTATGCCAGAATTTTTTAGAATTGTCCACGACAAAACTCTTGAGCAATAATATCTTTCTGCAAGATACTTTTATAAATAAGAAGCATATATGTTACTAATTCAAAATAATAAAAGAGCTGTGTTTGCAAAACAAAACTATATAATTTTTTGTAATTAAACATGTAATAATTTTTCATTCTAATATTATGGTTGATATTCTTGCATTTTGTTGGGGGAGGGGGATGGAGAATGCACTAGTTATTTTCTTCCTCTCATTTTGTAAATAATCATCACAATAAAAAAATAAAAATCAAGATATCCGTAGTATTAATTGCTGGGAAAAAAAAATTGATGACGAAATCACCCGAATCGGACTCCTCAACAAGGAATTACTTAATTGGGTGTTTCGTTTCAAGATTGAGCTGTTGTTTTAAACGAACAATAAAATAACGGATTTAAAATATATGGAGAAATCAATAGCAGTAACAGTCAAAAAATCGATATAATCATGGCTTTAAAAAGTAAATACTCAAATGCATTATTCAAATTTCCCATATTGTTTGAAATATATCAGAATATTTAAAAATTATGTGAAAATCAGAATCAATAATTGCCAAAAATACAATCAAAACATATCGATGTACGATACTATCAGCGTGAATTGAGCGCTCAAAAAAGTTATTATCTTAAAGTATGACTCAAATTTTATGTGTAAATTTCTGTAGAAAAGAAATCTTTCTGCAAGAACTCTGTAACGTTCTGTGACATGTCGTTGTGTCGCTGTGATTCTGCCACGAGGCCTATGCCAATAATGTTACATTATTCCAAGTTTTATGTTACCCTTTTTAAGAAAATGCATTTTTAATGCTTGTCTGGCGAAGAGCATAAAATCAGGGTTTCACTGTACATAATTTTCTAATGCATTTTAATAAAAACATATATATTAAACATTTCAAGCAGTTGTTAAGATCAAGTCATAAAATGATACTCTTACGTTTTTTTTCCCATTTCAATTTCAATTTTTTATTCTTTTTCATGCACGGAGATACAGTTAAACTTATTTAATTAAAATGAGCATGAGTAGAAGTATTTCTTTAATAAATAACAAACTTTTTCTTATGAATTTTAATATTTTGAAATTTAATATTTATCTAATTTGAAGAATATAGAATTGTTTAAGACTTAAGTATGGTTGAATTAATTAAAGTAAATGTTTCATATTTATTTTTGTAATATTGTTGTCTTGTTTTACTAAATACTTGCTAATAATTCTTATAAATGTTTCTCCAAATATAAAATGACCTTATTAATTTTCCCCAAAATATATTTCTTTATGAAGAGTAATAACAAATAATACTTTAAAAATAAATTTGAAATTATTTAAACAATTTTAAATTTTTTTTGAATAAATGTTTAGTTTAAGTATTTATTTATTTTGCCCAACATATATGTAATTAATGAAAACAAAATTAAGAGTTGTTAACTATAATGCTTGTTAACTATATTTCTTCAATTAGTACTAATTCCTTCTTTCAATATTAATTAAATTAGAGTAATTTCAAATTCTATTTTTATTTTGTGCAGTTGAATTTAGAAGCTCTTATTACTAGTGATATAAAGAACAGTCTTTATGTTTCTGAAGGATCTAAAATATCACCAGAGAAATAAAGAACAATCTTTATAAAAAATCATATAAATTCAAAGAAAAAAAATTAAAACTTTTTATGACTGTAATATTAGTTAACTGTAATTAAAATTGTTAAGAGACTACATCACTTTAATGGAATTTTTATTCTTTTCGACAGTATTGAGTTAGAGTAATTTTAAATTATGTTTTCACTGAATGCATTTAATTTTTTTAAATTTCATTCCATCATTTATTTATTCTCTGTTTACACAGCCCAAAAAATCAAGATTTGACATCACTAAAAAAGCATCACCAAATAATGCAGAAAAAAAGAAAACTGGTTTTAATCTATATTTTGAAGAAAATGTTGATGAAATTAAAGCTTCTGAAGCTCCAGATATAAGTGAAAAAGAAATTGTTCAAATTGCTATGAAGCTTTATAGAGCATTGCCTCAGTCTGAGAAGCAGGTAAAAAAAAAAAAATTATTATCGAAAATTTTAAGAAATCGAACTTTTATCATGTACAATATTTATTTTTTAAGATAATATTCAACCTTATCATGTCTACTCTTTTATTTATTATATAGCTTTTTAAAACTAATAGAACAGAAATAACATGTTCTTTAATCAAATATACAAGCATTTGATTAGTTTTTCCATCATTGATTTACTAAGAATTAATTACTTTAGTGGTTCAAAGTACTAGCGAACCATTTCTAACTAATTTAAGTTTTGTTGAAACAGGATCTTTAAACTGATCTGAATAAATTCAGTTTTATTTAAAAGTGAACCACCTGTTCTTAGAAAAATCATTTTCTCTGCAACATGTTTTTAAGTTAAAATAAATGTGCTGGAAGCTCCGAATTTGATTTCTACAACGTTGCACTAAAACACATTGTAATTGAGTTTAATCGAGCTGACTTCTTGGTATTCCACAAAGCATTTGTCCTTCAAAATGAAATTGCCGGACTGTAGATCTTACAGAAATCACTGAGGCATATATTGACTGCGACACACATATTGACATTTACTAAATACTTTAATATCTGATTTAATGCATACTACTGTTGATAGTGTTGAAGAGGATGATGATGTTTAAGAAATATGGGAGGGTATACCCCACAGCTGATCAAGAGCTTTAAAGCATAAGAACTTGGAATTAATATTTATTTGCGAAAGCGAATTTGCAAAATTTGTCAGCATTAAGTATTTTTTTTTTTGAAATTTTATTTTTAATAAAAAAAAGAAAAGTGTAGATAACATATTTTTTTAATAATTCATCTCATATCTGTTGTGTGTGTATATATATATATATATTNTATATATATATATATATTTGTACTCAAAATGTTTTGCATTAATTTCCCCATCACCAACAATGATTTTATTTTTTGTTGAAGTTAATGATGTATGTTATCGCACTTCAAAGTCGAAACATTTCAAAAGTTGATTTTTTTTCCTAATTTCTTTTCGAAATGATTTTTTGGAAAATTAGTATACAAGCACCAATTAAATACAAGATTTAAAAAATCAAGATTACACTTTCTTGGTATTAGTGTGAAATATTTATATAGCTATGAAGCTGCTATAAAAATTGATTTTGCATCCTTCATTCTATATTGGGAAGACTTTGCTGTACTGTTGTTATAAAAAGCTGTATGTTGTTATAATTCCTCTGCAATTATAAAAAGTTACCAGTTTGAAATTATTTACCAGTAATTTCAACCTTTAGCTATGTTTCTTATATAAACTCTCAAGCTCTTATAACATCTGGCTTTAGAAGGAGAATAAAGCTCTAAGGAAGATGATAGTAGAGCATTATTATTATATATATATTTTTTATTTTGCTAGTTCAAATTTAAAAAAATACATAACTTTTCTTTCTACATATATTGGTATATTTTTCATTTCCTCCATTTATCTAAAAATAAATAGGAAATCGCTATTGCTAAATTAAATTAATATCAATCTTAAGTACACATTCTTTTTTTAAAAATCTTTCGATTTAAAATATTATTTGTTAAAATTATAATAATTATTTTACTATTTTAACTTAGGTTTGTATTATTTTTTAGAATAATTTTACAATATTGGTTTAATATTTGCCCAATTGTCTTAAATTTTAGAAATACATGAAGCCTTCTACAGCAAGTAAATCTACTAGTGAACAAAGTAATATTAGTGCTGAAACTAAAGAAAATTTTTCCAAGATTCAAAACGTTGATAAAGACTCTGCACCAAAAAGGAAAGAATCCTCTCTAGAATCTGAAGATACACCAAAATCTAAAAAGGTTAAAACTAATTCATCCAAACCTGCAGATTCAACATTGAGAAAATTAACACAATATGCCTTTACAAAAACTCAAAAATGACTTATGGGTCTTTAATTATATTTAGCTATTTATTTTTATATTCATGAATATTTATTGTTCTCTGCCGAAAATGATTTAATGAATCTAAGATTTTGAAATTTTTTAAATATTAATGTGGTTGCAAGGAATTAAGTATGTAAATAAACAATAAGTATGTTAGAAATTGTAATTTTTTTTAACATTTATTTCTGAACTATGATGTCTATTTGTATATTTTTCTGTTTTTGTTAAATAAATGTAGAATCATTATCATAATTTTATCATGCGTGTGTGTGTGTTTATTTTATGATAAAATTTTAAAAAAGTCTTTCAGTTTTCTCTTATTTACATCTCACTTAAAATGGAGAAAATAGTTTTTTTTCTTCAACTTCAATTTGTTTGAAACAATTGGATTAGTAATAAATGCTTTTGCCTCCTTTTTCAATGACACTGATTGATTTAATTCTCTTGTTTATCCTTAAATCTGCTTAGAGTACTTGTAATGAAGTTTTAAATCTGTGTGTTATAATAGGTCAAGAAGTATTAAACTTCTATTAATAAGAAATTTGATTCTTCAATTGTATTCAAGTAGAAAAATAATACACAAGTTGCTGTTTTCAAAACACTAAATTAGTTTTAATTGTTAAAATTTCCTTTGATATCCTTATATTATTAAAGCATAAATATTTTTGAATCTAAATTTTGTTTAAGAGAAATTCAGGTTTGTTTATAGATCTGTTACAAATTATTTTATTGTAAAAATGGATCCCTCACTATATTTTTCATTTTAAAAATTGACTGTTTGTCAAAAAGTTTCCTTTGATTCAATAATGGAGCTGATCATTTTATTTTTCAGCACTCTGCATGTTTTAGGGGAAGGGGATGATTTGTTAAGTAACATTTAACTTATTTAAATCAAAAAAGAGAAACCTTTCTACTGCTCTGTTTATTCTTTATTTATTATTAAAAAGCTGTTGAGGGAAAAGTTCAAAATAAATAAAATAAAATTATATTAATTTAGTAGTGTTAGACAAAATCCAACAGTGTTTCTGATATTCGTTTAGAAATATTTTGGCGAACTATGCTCAACAGTTACTTTGGTTGTAACTAAATACAAAAAAAGTGAATCTAAATTTTAAATTACATTTTTCTTACACAAGTACAAAAAAAGTAGCAATATTTCACTGTATTAAGACTGTTTTTGTTTCAGAAAAGAACAATCAAGATTTTTTTAGAAGAATTTTTTATCTGACATAACAAATTACATTTTTTTAACGGGTGATAATGAATTTGCAGTAAGATGTAGTATAATAGGTGAGGTATAGCTGTATAGTACAGTCTTATATTAGACTACAATATCAGAAAACAGATCTAAATAAAGCAGGTCAACTTTATAGCCCAAAACTATACATGAGTAAAACTTAAACAATGAAAGTGTCACAGAAACAGACACTTGCCATATAATAAAGCACCTTCTTCAGTTTTAAAACGAAAAAGGAAAGAGATTAACACAGAAATATACAAGCGCTATTACGAATCAGTTACAAGGAAAAAAGGGGAACATAGGGTAAGTAAATAAGAGAGTCAATAAAGGGTGGGAGATATTAACAGGGTTCTTCTGATCAATTTAAAAAAAAAAATTAATCAAATTTTGAAATCATCTATGATATTTTAAATTTTTGTTCTTTGAGAAATTTTAAATATTTTCTTAGTTCTTCATTCCTCCTTAAAACAGATATTAAAAGCCAAAAACGATTTTTTGATTTGTTTTATGCATGAAAACACTTAATGTTTTTTTTTTTTTTTTTGCTGAAGCATGAGTAATCTATTCTAAAAATATTGATATTTAGGTAATTCAGTTGAGAATTAATTTTATGTAACTGTATATTTTTTTTCTGAGAGAATAGTTTCTTAGTTTACATAAAAATAAAATATGTTAGAACTTCTGTTTATCTAATTAATACGAAATGAAAAATTCCATTTAAATTAACCTCATTGGTAACCATGTGATCATGGCTCAGAATGTTAATTAATTGTTTAATATTTTTTGCAATATCAGGAGTTTTTTTTTCCTTTTGACTTAAAAAGTCGATGTGTAATATTTTACATGTGTTTATAATTGGGTATACTATAGCCTACTTCACAGGTTGTGTTATTCCTACTAAATTTATTCATTTTCTGCAAGCCTAACTTCAAGCCACAAATAAACAAACGAAGTGTTTGATCGTTTAAATAGCTGCTCGCCAGATTTTATTGCATTATAAAGAAAAGTAATTGATATTCGATTTTTGATTAATAATTGATTTATGTGGATAGTGGCATAGAATTTAGCATTGCGTCATGGTAAATGTTATTCCTACTAAGTGGAAGTAGTTGTGTTTTTTTTATATTATACCCAATTGTATGATTAATTTAAATTTAAAAAATTTCCATCTTAAATTGCTCTGAAGCTAACATTGTTACATGGAAGACAAATATTTTATCAGTGGGTAGTTAATAGTTTTTTATGATAGTCAAAAGTTAAACAGATTTTTTTTTTAGACAGATTTATCTACAGATCATTAAGCCAATTTTATAAATATATAAATTCTTAGCTAATTGTGTTAATTTAAAAAAAAAAAAACGTTTTTTTTTTATAGTTCTGCACCATGACAATTTCTGGAACTAGTATCTTATGAAAAGTAAGTGTCTAACATCCTAAGTACAATTCAACTAATTCATTGAATATTGAGAATTAGAAATATTTCAAAAATTATTCATTGGTTGGATACAATTTATCATATTTAAGACATAACTCATCCGGTGGACGGTTTAATAACATGTTAATTACTTAGCCTCATCGAATTTTTTTATTGATTTATTATTATTATTTTCGCATTCGTTTTTAACTGAAAAGCGCTGCACAACATTTTAAAGATGTTATTGCTCAGCTAATCATGTAAAAATGGAAAACTTGAAAAGATTCAACTTAAAAATGTTCCGACTAATTTCAAGTTGATTTTAAACCAATAGGGAGTTTAACTGTTTAAAAATTATTTTGAATCACCAAATCCATCCTAAGACTAGTTTAAGCAATTGAGTCAAAATTTAGAAATAGAAAATTGCATCTTAATTTGCTCCATTCGTGATCTATTCCTATAACACCAATTAAAAAAATTATTCAGTGGGTGACCTTGCCGTATATCAAGGTCTGACTCTTCTAGCTAGTTACTACTTTTGCCACTAGTTGACTATTTTTCTAACATCAGGCATGGTAAGTTAAAGTTGAAGTTTAATTTAATTATCTACTACGTTTCATTCAAAAAGAAAAAGTTTACATTTTTAAATATGGCAATATCTCTTTATTGAAAAATTATGCGCCTTGTTTGTTTGTTTTGCTTTCACTGCTTGATTTGACTTATGAATGACGTGTAAAGAAATAAAAAATGGGAAAACCTACTAGGAATATATTTAAATTATTTATTATAATATTTTTCAAATTCTTACATGTTTCTTCTCAGGACTTCAAATTTGGGTGGTGCGCTGATCCTGAATGTTCAGGTATACTTAATAAAACAAAATATTGTAGTGAAAATCTTATTTAAGCCGCCAAATTTTGTGCTTCAATTAGTTTTGTTATAAATGTTAGTTGTTTACAGCTGACTTGTCGTTTATGTTAGTTTTGTTATTTAGTCAAAAAAATTTTTGTTTCAATGTTTTGTTTGCAAAAATTTAGAAATTGTATTTTACGTATGGCAAGAAATTAAATAGCTCATTCGAGTATTTAGTATAATCATGCCTAAATATCGTTTTAAAGTGCTTTATATTACAATCTAATATGTTATAAAGCCTAATGTTCGAATTATTTCATACCAGTATTAATGTATTTTTAAAATTTCCCCCCGTTTTACTTGTGAGATATTTTGTAGCAGAAACATATTGATATGGACGAAAGACAATGGTATAGTGTATTCTTATGAAGTATTTTCTTTCAAAGTATTAATGCAAAGTAACCATATCATCGAGTACTTAAGTTAAATGTTATGGTATTTTTGGTTATGTAGTAAATTTTTTTATAGTTTATTTAATCAAATGATCAGGAAATTGGCTGAGAGAAAAAATTAATCTGAAGTACAGACTTCATTTCGTTGCTACTTTGTAATTGGTAACAATAATAGTTTACAACTGAAAACCTCCTTACATTTGGCGATATTAGAATAAACCTAGAATAAACCTATAGGTATATATGGAAATAAACTAAGAACCAGTTACCTAATGGTAACCCAAAGTTGGGGGAACCTGGAGGAGGAAAGCACTGACTGTCATGGTAACCAAAAATAGAATTTTAGCTAAACTGAATGAATGAATTTTAGCTAAACTGAATATTATTGCGAAACTAAGGTATTCCAGATTCTATACCTAAACCTTGTTATTTTACAAGTATATTGAGTTTCATTGCAGAAATATAAGCTTTTATAATAAAAAAAGTAAAAGAATTCTCACAATAGCTTGTTATTGGCTGGAGGAAATTATAGAGTTAAGGGTTCCACAATTTTGGGACTAAGTGTGTGATTGGGGCAAGGTCATCATTCCGCATTATGCCATTATTGCAACTCTCATAATCTGATGTCCATCACTGTGAAACGGGGGTTCTGTGGCAGAATTTGTATGAGATATATGTGACAAAACTCTCTATCACTAATATCTTTCTGAAAAATACTTTTAATAATAACAAATGTTGCAAATTTAATATATCAAAAGCGCTGTGTTTACAGAAAAAAACCTATATAATTGTTTTCAATAAAACATGTAATAATTTTTTATTTTAATATTATTGGGAAAATTCTCAAATTTTGTGTGTGTGTGTGGGGGGGGGTGGCTAGCAAGTTATTTCCTTCTTCGCATTTTGTAAATAATTATCGCAATAAAAAATCTAATTAAAACTCATGAAATCCTTGTTAGTAATTGCTTATAAAAAGATTAACGACAAAGACACACAAATCAGGCTCCTCAAATACGTCTTTCGTTTCAAGATTACGTTGTTGTTGTTGTAATAAATAATATTACATAAAAATATCAGATTTAAAAAAGCTATGGAGAAATCAATAGCATTAAATGCCAAAAATTCGAGAAAATTATTGCCTTAAAAAGTAAATACTCCAATGCACAATTCGAATTTTCCATATTGTTTGAAATATATCGAGATATTTAAAATCCACGAGAAAACCAATATCAATAACTGCTGACAATACAATTGAAACATGTCATCGATTTACAATACTATCGTTGTATACAATTTGCAATACTATTGTCATGCATTAAGATGATTATCTAAATGCATGATTCAAATATTACGTGTTTATCTTTATTTGAATTGATTGATTGAACTCTTAATCATAGATCTGTCTAATTTAACCTCTGAGCTATCACGATTCATTAAAATAAATTTTCTCTTATTAATTACTGTATATAAATTATATCCTTGTTATTTTTGATAATAATTATTTCAAATATCTTGTGCAAAGTTATCCTTGTGTAACCATCTGAACATTAGTCTCAACTTTTTCTAGAATTTAAAGTGGTAGCCTTTATGTTAGAAAATATACTGGTATCTTTCTCCCAATTAAATCTATGAGAAAGTAGTAATGTGTAACAGGCAGGGTTGGCAAGATTTTGCCGCTGGTGGAAAAAACCGTCCTGGCAAAAACAGGTTTTTGCCAAGCAAAATGGCAAAAACCTATATTTTCCAAGATGAGAGGACAAAAACACATTTTTGATACAAAATTATTCCTAAAATTGAAATATGTACTATAAATATATATAATTAAAAAAAATTAACAAAATTATTATTCCATAATTTAATCATAATGTATTAATATATAATTTTAGTAGTTTAAAACATTGATCGAAAAATTAGTGATTATTCTCTTTTTTCCAATGAAATGAACTTATTTCAAATTAATATAACTATAATTTAAAGCATAAAATATCTATCAACATGTGTAGTTAATTAAAATATACAAGTATCAATGCAATTTTTTAAGTTCCCTCAAATTCAATGCTTTATTCATCATCACAATACAATTTGTGTTGTCTCAATATAGTGTAACAGAACACTAGTTTTGAAACATTATTTACAGTCAACCGATTCCGAATTTTTGAGTGTATGAAGGAAAAATTCGAAAACACTCTCAATGGCAGCACTACTAGAAGGACATGAGTGTAAATGAGACATTAATTCCCAAAATTCTCTTTAATTGTGTGGTTTTGTTTGCATTTTGAAGTAATATTGAGAAATGAGGTGATTATCAAAATCTATCTAATAAAACATCCATCTTAGCTTTCTTATGTCTCTCTTTAAATATAGTGTAAGAGTGATATAATGTAAAATAATACATACTACCAAAAGTAATTATGAAGAAGTAGAAAAAATGCAATTTATAAAAAAGCATTTATTTAAGGATTCTAAAATGAAAAGAAATCAAAAACTTTCAATCTTTAAAAAATTATTACCCTTATATTAATTATTAATATTTTAAAAATAATTTTCTCATGTAATGTATCAAAATTTTACCAGGATTTTGCCACTGTCCTGGCAAAAACCCCTTTTTGCCGGCAAAAACTCCAACCCTGGTAACAAGGAATATTCTGCATAATTTTGCCTTCCATTCTTTTCTTTTATTGTATCCACTATGTGTTAAAGTTGGCAATTTTTAAATAAACTGGGATAAAGCATTCAATTCTCCCCAAGTATATTATGAAATAATTTGTTAATTATAAAGATGTCATCTTTCTCTTATTGTAGTACCTGTGGCTGTAGGCATTACTACAATTAATTATCATCCTCCAGATCGAAGCAGGCTTGGTTTTCAGCCAAATCAAGAAGTAATAGTTTATGTAAGAGAGTACGGAGAAAAAAGAGACTTACTAGGTATTGAGGTAATGCAGATTTAAATTTTATTTTTCATGTGATTTTGAAGTTTTTAGGATGTTTTGATTTTTATTCTCAATAAATAATATCAGCAATTATTCTCAACAGAGCTAGTTATGTATTTAATAATAATATTTTTATTAATTTAGAAATTGACTATTATTGTGTATTGTAATTGTTAGCTATTGTTTTATTGCAAAACTAAGACAAACAAAGTTAAAGAGCACAAAAATATTTATAAAATACAGACAGCTGTTTCAGATGCTCAAAGGGCAACTTTCATCAGTGCAACAGAAAGAAAAGAGAGAAAACAAGGTAAATATATAGAGAGAAGGGTGAAAGGATGACGACCTGTCCCTCCTATTGGCCGTTGCTCTAAACCCTCTTGTGACGTCACCTTTCTCTCTATATATTTACCTTGTTTTCTCTCTTTTCTTTCTGTTGCACTGATGAAGGTTGCCCTTTGAGCATCCAAAAGAGTTGTCTGTATTTTATAAATATTTTCGTGCTCTTTAACGTTGTTTGCTTTAGTTTTGTATTTTAGCACAAATGTCGCCCACTTGTGTATTTATTGTTTTATTATTATCAATTATCATTTAATGTCAGTAAAAGAAAGTACATTTTCTTGTTGCCTTTTTAAGCAGTTATAAAAGTAGGTAGGCACTTTATTTACGTCCAACTTCAGCTGCACAATGGGCTATTGGCGACAATCTGGGAAACATCCCCGTGGATGATCCAATGACTCGCCATCACAGTTTTGTTCTTCTGCAGAGGGGATGGCTCCCTTGCTTTGGCCAACGACCTGCGTGTGGAGTTGGGCACTTTACTGTAGAACAGTTTAGCGAGCACTGATATCGCACATCCTCGGGGCCCTATGTATGCCATTCAAATTGTTTATCCAATCGCTTGCTGACTGTAGCCAGTGATTTCTGACTTCAGAGTTAGATTGTGATCAGTCCGTAAAATTGGCTGCATCATTACCATAAAATAAGCTGCAAATTTTGTCAAAACTTAGTTCATTTCCTTTAATTTTTTATTGGTTTTTGTTAATTTTTTGATAAAGGCATTGAATTGGATTAAGAGCATTGGATAGAGAGCGAGCTCAAAGTAAATTTTCCCTCTAAACTCGATTAATCAACATTTTTACGGAAAACTTTGTAACTGTTAAAATGCTCTCATTAATACCAAAATATTTTTGTAACATTTTTTAAATATCTCTGTTAATGTGAATTAAGTTAATAATGAGATGAATTTTTTCTTATTGTCTTTGGAAAAAGTTAATGCTTTAAGAAAATCACACAGTAAACGTTCATATAGTTTATAATTTTTCGATTTATATTTCAATGAGAAGATTGTTTGGGGAAAATTTTCTAAACTGCAATATTAGAGCCGACAGTAAATTTTTCTTTCTTTCTTTTTTTTTAATTCAAAGAGGTACAAGTTGAAAGTAGTCAATAATGCATAAATCATGTAAAATATCCAGTATTATAAATGCTTTTTCTTTTCTTTTTTTTAGCAGTTTTGTTAAAAACTACTTGAAGTTATATTTTTTTATGCACATTTTATTGATGTAATCAATAAGATAAAAAAAACTTCAAATTAATTTAAGTTCGTAGCAATGTAAACTTTTTTTAAAATCTTGATATTTTTTACTTTGTCTTATTCATTACGTATATATATATATATATTTATAGATAAATGGTAGAAAAGGTTATGCTCCAAAGAATTTCATTAGAGAAACAAAGTCTCTGGCAAAAGCTGTAGTTCCTGCTAATGTAGAAGTGAGTAGATTTTTATTTCAATTCCTTCAAATTTATTATAAAATTAGCAGCTTTACATTGCATGTAATTTAAATTCCTATTTCATAATCATTCCATATTTTGCCTGTTTTTTTATTCTTAAGTTAACACAATTAATACAAATTGTTATATTGCAACCACCTTTTTATTATAAGTTTTGTTTCATTTCTATAATTTTTTTTAAAAATTTAGATTAAAATATATCTAAATTATAAACACAATATTAACTATTTTATTCAGTGTTCTTTTTTTAAAGCTAAGAATCAATAAATTGAAAAGTTTACGTATAAGGAAGGCATGATTGTCAAAATATGAGTCAAGTTTGGCTCGGTTTATTACTTTATGTATGCAGGGGTCTGTCTAGGTTTTTTTAAAAGGTACCTATTTTGTGAAAATTTAGAAATAATTTGTGAAAATTAAAAAATCAACACATGTACACAATATCATTTTAATTAGTATTTAACCAAGTACTCAGCACACTTAGCATACTGAGTTGTATACTGAGATAAAAGAACAGATTTTTAATATTAACATACTGAGACAAGTTTTGACATTGTACTCGGTTAATACTGAGTAGTTGTAAAAATTAAATATTTATAAGTATAAATAAAGACGAAGATTTTTAGCAATGAAAAAAAGAAATATGGATTCAAACATAAATTTATAGCATGCAATCATTTACTACTGCTAACTAATATAAAAAGAGAATTGTACCAAAGTTTTAAAAGGCATGGAGGAAAATTTAAAAAAAAGTATTTTGTGAAACTACCGTTTTTCTTAAAGTTGAATTTGTGAAAGTGCCGTTTGATCGAACGGAGAATTTGTGAAGGTACCGCTAAACGGTAGTAAATTTACGCTGGACAGACCCCTGGTATGTAAGATTTTGAAAGTTATACCAAATAGTTTTATTGATAAATTTAAATTCTAAGTAGATATTTTTTGCAGTTTCTTAACTTTTTTCTATGTGGGTAATTATGATTGTTTGAATTGAGCTTCAAGAAATTCAATTGTTGATTCAATAGTTTAATTTTCTAAAAATTGTTAATTTCAGTGGAAGGAACTCCAAATCTTTTTTAAATTTCATTTAAGCTGTCAACGTTAGCTTTTGTGTTGATTTGCCAAAATTTACTCTCGTTTTACAGCAATTTGTTTAGAGGTGTAATCTGTTTTATTTATAAGAAATGTTTATTATATTTTTTTTAAGTAGTATTTGTATTGATTTTTTGACTATGAGAAATGTGTTTGGTTAGAATAGAGCCCTGTGGCAGAATTTTTTTTTTGGCTTTTTGCGACAAACCTCTCTAACACTAATATCTTTCTACAATATGCTTTTAATAATAACAAAATATACATGTTACTAATTGAATTTAAAGTAACAAAAACGTGTTTACAAATAAAAATTCCCATATTGTTAGAAATATGTCAGGATATTTAAAAGCCTTGTGGAATTCAGTAATGAATAAATGAGCATGCACTAGCATTACAAATTTGAAAAAACGATGAAATCGTCACATTAAAAGTAAATAATTGATTTGAGTTTCACGTATAATTAAATTGTATAAAAAACATCGGGATTTTTAAATTATTTTTTTTAAATGCGAAAATTTGTAACAATAGCTGTCAAAAGAGCGATTGAAATACCACATGGATTAATGAGAAAATGAGCTCGGCAAAAGAATGATTTCTGGAGGAAAAAAAAGTCTTTCAATATTTCTGCAGAAAAGAAATTTTTTCTTCATTATTCTAGGCTTTTTATTCTTCTCAAATACGAATAGAAATCTCACAGACATTTCTTTCCCCTCCAATGTGTGAAAAAGGAATCTTTCACATATAATTTTTGAGAAAAAAATTTCATCAGAAGAGAAAACCAAAATTCTTCACTTCCTAAAAGAAAATTCTTCCTGCAAGAAATCTGTAACATTCTGCCTCGATATTGCCGCAATTCTGCCACGGGGGAATGCAGAATCTGAATTTCTGCCTTTATTTTATGTTTCATTTATAAAATTTTTTTTTAGTTTTATTAATATTTTTATAGTGAAATGAATTTTTTTATTATTTCAGTTTTTGCATACACCTTCTAGAAGTTTTGTTCATCATGAGACTAGTCATTTACACATGTCATCCAATATTCCTTCTGTTGAAACACCAAACTTCATCCATACCACAGTGCCTAACACTTTAAATCCCCAACAAAGTATGCAAGGTGTTCAGCATTCTGAAGTGCATTTGGAAAGTTCCCGTAAGTAGTTCATGGCAGATTTTTTCCCCTCATATTTAATTTACATTCTTTTAGCTTGTAAGTCATATAATATGTTTTCTGTTTTCTTATAGCTCATCATCGATGTGAGTACAATTTGTTTCTTAGAAATTTTTATTTAAACTGAATGAAAAAAAAAATAAAGCTGTAACTTCATTTTACATTGAAAATTTTTTTAGATTTTTTTTGCAAATATAACAAATAATAAAGCATATTTTTGTGTATGTTTATAGCTCATCAACAATGTAAGTAAAAGTTTTTGTTTCTTTGGGAATTTTTTTTCTGTATTAAATGTAAATAACACAATTATGTTATTCAATACAGATCCCTTGTTTTCCTGATAAATTGTATAAACTCACTCAAAGAACTTGTTCAAATTCTTCCTTATTTTTGTATGTTTTTTTTTTTAAAAAATTTAATTACTTACTCTGAATAAATGTCTATCTTTTTATGATAATAAATTTTTGGAATTGAAATGATTGTGGTAAACAAGTGGATTATATATTTATATTTCTTACTTTGAGATTAAAATAGTTTTAGATTTTCTATTAAGAGACATTTTTGACTGTGAGTATATGACCTGTAAGGAATTGTAGAGGAATTTCTGATGTTTAATGATTTAAAAAATTTGTCTTTTATTAGACATGTTAAAGTTATGGTATTGCAGATCATTGCTGTTGTTATTGTAGCATGAATTTCAATTCACGCTTTTCCATGTGATATTTAAATCTAGGTCGTACCTCTAAAGTTTTAACTTTAAAATGTTTTCGTAACTTTGTTTATTGTGGTAATTTTGGCATGAGGCTTTAATTTATGGGAATACAATATATTAATTTATATCACTGTAACCTGTCTATATCTAAGTTAAATTAAAAATTGATGATCAAATAAAAATGTGCAATGCAATATTATAATTATCAGTGACCCAGTTATTTTTACTAGAATTTATTTTAAATTAACGTTGCCTATGAAGTATTTCGGCAAGTAGTAATCAAGGGAGTTATGATAAGCAAAATAAAATTTTTTTAGTGCTTTTATTTATGCAAAAATTTTCTGCTATCATCAAAAAATTCATTCATTATTTATTCTTTAAAAAAACTGTAAAAGACTATCAATGCTAAGAATTATAGTAACTTTTATAGCTAATATTCTTAATTTTTTCTTAAAACTAAACAAATTTTATGTTATATTGTTCAGATTTAATTTAAGCTTTAATTTTATCAAACATATTTTGCTATACTGACTAGTGTTCAGTGTAAATAAATGACGAATGATTTCATTTCATATATAAATTATAAGAAGTAATCTGATGAATTTCATGAATTTATATTTTAAGATTGATGACAGGATGACATTGGTTTTTATTTTTATAGACTTTATTTTTATAATCTATTTCAAATTTAGCTGCATATTTATTTCAAATAATTTTTTTTAATTCCTCAGCAGTCCATGTTAAAATAATGTAATACAAAGTTTCATTTTTATTTGAAAAAAGTACTGAGTTGATATGAATTAAAATAATTTTATGAACATGGCCATAGGTTTAAATTGATTTTATAATTTTGCTAACGGACTGTAAAGTTAAAGTACTTCTATAACAAAATTATAGCAATATTGACAAAAGTAAAGCAACATAGATTATAAAGAGGTGACAATAATGTGAACTTTGCTTAATATAAGATAATCTGCTTATATAATATAAAATAATGATAAGTATATTCAAAATATATTATAAAATATATTTTTTTCTTTTTAATTTCAGGGCATGATGATAACAGTCATTTTCATGCTTCATCTGACTTATATATTGCCAAAAATGCTGATTCTAGAAATCATTTTTCTCAAAGTGGAAGCATTAATTACCAAACTTCTCATGTTGATTTTTCTAGTCATTCCCATTTCGGATCTGAAAATACCATGGCATCAAACTTTGTACCAAATGCTGAAATCTTGAGCAATTCTCACGGCAGTGTTCAATCTTATCAAACAACGCAATCCACTGAACCTCATTGGCAAAATCCTTCTTCACAGTATTATTCTCAACCAAACTTAGCTCATGAAACAATTAATAGCAACATGAGGCAAAATTTTGATTCCCAAAGTAATAATTTGTTTCATTCTCAAGGTTTTGACCCACAAAGTAATGTTTTACATCATTCTCAATCTCCTCACACAACTCCTCAACAAACGACTCATAACCAAATGTTTACACAGAGTCATACTCAATCTAATATTCCTCATATGACTCAAAATCAAATGGTTACACAGAGTCATACTCAATCTAATATTCCTCCTATGACTCAAAATCAAATGGTTACACAGAGTAATACTCGATCTAATGTTCCTCCTATGACTCAAAATCAAATGGTTACACAGAGTAATACTCAATCTAATGTTCCTCCTATGACTCAAAATCAAATGTCTACTCAAAGTCATATTCAATCTAATGTTCCTCCTATGAATAATTTTGATGAAGGATATGATGAGACGATGGCTTTGCTTCAAAATCAGGGATATAACACTGCTGGAGAATTTACGAATCAGTTTGCCAGTCAACATCATTCAGAGAAGCAAACTACTTCCTTTCAAAGTGTACCTTCTGAAAATTTAGGTTGGAATCAAGATTTTCATAATAAACAACCTTTTATGCAGTCAGAACATACTCCTGAACTGGTAAGCAGTGATCATAATAACCTGAATAATCCCTCTTCTGTTTTAAACATGGACCACCTTCAGCAAATGGTAGATTCTCTTTTTACCGAGGATATTCCAATTACTCCTTCACAACCTATTGCTACTCAGGAAACTTCAACATTTCCATTTGAAGAGAGAATGGCTGCTAAGGTTGATAGAATCAGGAAACTAGCCAAGACGTTTGAGAGTACATTTGAGGAACATAGTAAAGTTGAGGATGTAAATGAGATGGAAGATGAAGATGATGAAGAAGACTATGTTGATTATGAAGCTATATATTCATCAAAATCTATGAAAATGTCTTTGTTGGATAAAACTGAGAAAGATTTGGATTTAGCTATGAAGACTGAGCAATCTAATACCGTAAGTGAACACTTAGTCACAAAAAGTGATATAAGTCATACAGTGGAAAGTGCGTTATCAGAGAGAGAGTCCAATGTTCAAGAAACTTCTACAAGTAGTACAGCTAATGTGCCAAAAGAGAGTGGAAATCAGGATTTATTTGAGGATTCTGTTTCAAAATCTGATCTACATGAAAAGAAAATTGAATCCAATGAAAATGTCTTTGAAAAGAAAGTTGGAGCTATTTTGGAAACTACTAAAGAGTTAAATAATATTAGTTCCAATAAAGATGAACATTCAAATGATGATTCTTCAAATAGTTCCATATCAGAAGAATCAGATGATACAGAAGTCTTATCTGAAGACAAAGAAATTGATTCTGATATTGATGCTGAAATATCAGATGATAAGGATTTAGTTTTTAATGAGAATGAAAATGTACTTGATATAAATAGAGATACTGCTGAAAATGTTAATGGTTCTGAATCTTTTGATTTATCTAGTGATAGTTCTAAGTTAGATAATTTGTTAAATGTTTCAGAATTTAAAGAAACTGAAAGTAATCTTTTAAATGCATATCAAACTCGACATTTAAAAGATGTTGAAAGTGATGCTGATAGTTTTTCATCAACTGAAGAAACGGAGCAATCTGGAAGTAATTTTGAATTTGATATATACATAGCTGTAGAAAATACTTTTGTTGCTATCAGGACATTTATTGATGCCCTACTACCTTGGGTGAGTTCAGTTAAACAGTTTTTTTTTTGTTATAAGAAAATTGTAAACTTAAACAAAAGTAAATGATCCTTGTTATTTCTTAGAACCCTTTGGAATGTATATCTCAACATTCTCTTATATTCTCAAACATTCATTATTCATGCACCTCTTATTGTTAGTGCTAGCTTTTTTTCTGATTTTCGTGAAATTTAACTTCGTGTGCTGGCTTTGCTGGAAGAAAACTGGACAAAATGAGGGGGGGGGGAAATTGACCATTAAAATTGTCTAACAATCAATAGATGAATAATTTAAATTTAAGGCAAACAAAATATTGCATAGTACAAAAAAGTGCCAAGGTTAATAAAAAGTAATAAAATACAAAAAGGTTTTTTTTTAAACCTATATTACTTATTTATATTATAATAATTTATTTTGATTTACGTTTTTCTCATTTTCCTGAATTAATAAGTACTTTTATATCTATATCAATTGTGTGTACTTATATTATTTCCAGGTTACTGAAAATTCAAATTTTTATTAGTAATTTTCATTATTTTTGTTTATAATTAATTTTTTGTTTAAAAAACTGATTTATGTAAAAATGTTGGGAGTACAAATTAATATGGTCCGTTTTCAAAAGATGGCTCTGGCTGTTATGAATGTTTCATAGTGGCAGCTGGTTTTGGTGGTTTCAGAGAGGTTAGACATCTGTCAATAATATACACAGTGTTTTCTCTACAGCGCGAGAATCTCGCCTATATTTTTCTTTTCTCGCAATAAAAAATTATAAACGCGAGAAGTTCGCGCACTCTATTGACCAATTTCAAAATGCTTGAATTTTGGAAAAAATTTCGTCTTTTGCCATTTTGAATAAAATCCGTTTCACTTTCTTCCTTGATCTTTCATTATTTTGAACATCGATCCTTGTTATCTAGTTTCCCTATTTACCAGTATGGTTCAAAATCGGTGCGAACTGCAGAACACCCCCCCCCCCGAACTACGGAACCCCTTTCAGAACACATTTCTCTGCAACCACGTGTTCACCGTAGGTAAGGTTTCTTCTTGTAAGACGTTTAAATTTTTTGTGCATGAATGTAAGATGGACAAATACCTTGTTAAGGCGACATCTTCTACTCCGTAGTGGACAAATGAAAATGAAACAAATGTCGGTAGAAATGGTCAAAACGAAACAAATACGGATATTTTTCAGTCAAATAAATATAATAGCTGATGAAAAAGAAGATATATAACATTTTCCATATGATGATGCAGCAAAAATATTCAATTAGAAGATGTTAAAAATGTATTATAATTGAAGAAATAATATTTTTCCAGGTCTATTCGTGTTTTTTTAATTTTTAGAAATCTCACTTAACTTTTTCAAATCTCCCCCTGTTTTTGAGAAAGGGTGAGAAATTCTCTCCCATTTTTTTCTGTAATGAAAACACTGATACAAATTATATGGCTTTGAGTTTCATACAAAAACCCTGTTTTTTACTTTGTTGAATATGTCAAATTTTGTGGAGGATTTATGATTCTCTGCTTTAATTGGAAGAAAAGTACAACTGAAGCGCATGGAATGCTTGTAGAAATTTATGGTGACAATGCTCCAACTGATAAATCCTGTAAGGAATGGTTCGACGTTTCAAGAATGATGATTTCAGCCTTGAAGAGAAGCCTCGTTCTGGACAGCCAAAAAAATTCTAAGACTAAGAATTGGAGGAGTTCCGCGATGAAGATCTGAGACAAACACAAGAGGAGCTTGCAGAATCATTGGGAGTTACGCAACCAGCCGTTTCCGTATGATTGAAATCCATGTGTATGATTCACAAGCAAGACAATTGGGCTCAACACCAAAGCCGAATATTCATGGGTCGAAGCTCATGCTCTGTATCTGGTGGGACCAAAAGTGTGTTGTATACTATGAGCTGCTACAACCTGGCGATTCCATTATGGGCGATCGGTATAGGTTACAATTGATTCATTTGAGCCGTGAATTACGAGAAAAACAACCGGAATTTGAGCAAAGATGCTCCATCCATCGTATTCGCCGGACATTGCTTCTTCTGATTACTGGTTGATCTGACGGATGCAGCACGATTTGGCAGGTCACCGGTTCACTTCTTTCGCAGAAATCGAAAATTTGCTCCTAACTTGGATCGCCTCAAAAGACGAGAAATTTTTTCGAGGTGGAATTTGAAAATTGCCTGAGAGGTGGGAAATAGTAGAAGCCAGCGATGGACAATACTTTGATTAATCTGCTCATTCATTTTATTCTGAAATAAATGCATTTTTCACCACAAAAAACGGACCGAACTAATTTGTACACCCGATAAATTAGGAATAAGTTTTTCTCCTTAAATTTATGTTATTAGTAAATCCTTAACAAAATACAGTGAAGCTGTCAAAATGTGAAAAAAATAGGAATAACATTTATTTTTAAAAATTACAAATATTATTTTTTAAAATAAAACTTTTATGTTTCAATACAATTTTCAGCTCAAATATTAAAAAGCTTTAAAAGTGTTAGCCCCTTAATGAAATTAATACAAATTTATAAAACCTTTAATCGATTTAAAAATGAGAACTTAGTAATTTGTGTATTTACTTTACGGTTAAATATTTTTTGTTTACTTTATAAATTATAATTAACGTATAATTTCATGATTAAGTATACATTTTGTTTTAAATATATTTATTGAAAAATACCTTTTAACATTCTATGAAGGAACTGTTTCCAGTAGTCATACTTAATAGCACTTGGTTATGAAAATTAGTATGCTATTTACAATTATGAATATAATGTGTGATTTGTAGTATACAATAATATATAATTTGAATTTCAATTCTGATTTTTTCAGAGTTCTTTATATAATTATAAATCGAAGTTCTATTAGTCAATCATTGTTAACATGTCAATCATTGCTTCTTTCTTAAAAAATTGTCCAAAAAAAATAACTGCTGTTCATTAATTTATTTTTCTTTTAAATGTTTTGCTATATTTACAGATTCCAGAACCACTTTATACCATATTAATGGATCTTGAAAAAGAAGGAATTTCTCCAAAAGTGACAGTGTTTACAGCTCTAAGTGCTATTCCATGCATAATTTTAATAGTTTCACTTGTTTTTATAAAGGTATGTCATTTTAAACTTCAAGTTTTATTTTTAATCTACTTTTTTATTTTCTTTTAAGTTTTTGAATTTTTATTCATTTATCATGACTTTTACATTTATTAACTGGCTTTGACTAGCTGATAGAATACAATTGCTGTCTTAGATAAGGTATTTCTTAGGTAAGGTATTCGTAAGGTACAGTAGAGCTCCGATTATCCGAACTGCTCGGGACTGAACGTGGTTTGTATAATGATAAGTTCGGATAATTGGAAAGTTGTTTAAAATCTAGTTCAAATGATTATTATTTATGCACGAACTTTCCTTCTAACTTTTTCCAGGCTTTGGACTGGAAGTACTATCTAAAATAGCTCTGGCATGTTTAAAAGTATTTTTTTAAAAATATTTTTTATTGATTTATTTTTTTTAACGTTTTTTTTTTCATTTTGAATTTTTTTATCATATTTCAGCTTTTTATATTTTTTTTTGTCAATTACTGATTTTGTCACATTTTTCTTAATTTCCCATTGCAAAAGAAATCCAGCAAAGACTTTTGTTTCAAACAAGATGCTCTTTTTAGAGCAGCCATATCCCTTATTCTTTTTAAATAAATCAACTGAACTGGATCAACATCATTTTGACTCTCTAGACTGTCAAAATGAAGTTCACATTCTTGGAAGATAATTTTCAGTGGAAGAGGGCTAAAGGGGTATGTAGGTTTAACTGTATAACAATACATATATGTATGGCTACTATAAGAAAACTGCTGAAAAAGGTTGTAAATTAAATATGGTCATCAAATGTAGTGGATATTATTTATTCTTCTAAATTTAGAAAAATTGTCAATAAGTTAAAAAGCATTCTAAACTTAAAAAAAAAAGAAAAATGAATTCGGACATAGTGCGGATAATTGGACGTTCGAATAATAAGGGTTCGGATAATCGTGCTCTACTGTTTTAGGTTTTACTAAAATTGATGAGCTTTAGATTTTAAGAATTCTTTTTGTAATGGTGATTTATTGTTTGATAATTAAAATAGCTGACTGAATAATATTGCTTCAAACATTGTAATAGTGTATGAAGCTTATGCAATAATTTTTTAGTGTATTAGGATTTGATTATGAGATTATTAATAAACAAGAAATTACTTTACTGTAGTGTTTTTTTAAGTCTAAATACCTACAATCATTGGTTTATTCTTTTATCAATTTGTAATTATGTTCACTCTTTGTGAATAAGTTTATGAAATCAAAATTATATAAAACCAATTACATAGTGATTCTTGTTGTTTTGCTATAGGCAGCAAATAGGGAAATCTAAAGCTTTTTATTGTTTTTCCAAATCTTCCGACGGCAATAAATATTTATTTCTGTATAAGTAATTGAACTGTTTTTAATGCATAGTTAAATTAATTTTCATAAAATGGTATACTAATCTCTGTACAAAAAAATAAAATAAGGTATAGTAACTTGATTTTAAAACTATTTATGATTATTAATGATTTATTTTGAATACATTTATGATTATGAAAATATTTAGGATTATATGATTTGAAAATATTTATGATTATAAATATTAATGATTCTTTCTTCAGATGAAGTAATTTACTAGTAAATTATTAATCATAGCTACATTATTTTGTTCTTTCTGAAATTATGTTCTATGATATTCATATGTTTTAAAACTATTCTTAGATAATAACCATTGGATTATAAAATTATTTTTCATGCAACTTATTATACCTTTATTAAAGATATGTATTTTACCAAACTCAAATGATTTAGTCAAATAGCATTATTCTGTTGCATTTTTATAATGTTTATGCTTATAGAGAAATTCCCAAACTAATTTCTGTAAAAGGTTTCCAGGAGTTCCATCATAAATCTTTTAAAAGATATGCACAAAATTTTTTTATTGCTGAATATTTAAATCAACTTAATAATTTTAAATTTCCCATTATTTGTAGCAAATCTACAAATTAATTTTATTCTCTGTTTAACTTGTTAAACTTGTTTTTATCTAAATTTATTTTGCTTACATAAATGAAGGAGATGAACTTGAAGGAAATTGCTATTTTACTAAAATAAAACAAATTAAAGATAACTGAACATGCTCGCGTGTATAGAATATGTAAGAAAATGATTATCAATTCATAAAATTTTTTGCTACCTTTTTACAAAACATTTTGATTTGACTAACTATTATTTATTTTGAAGGAAAAGCTTTTTTAAAGACATGTTTTTTAACTATTCTAATATTTTATCCATTCTATTTCGGAATTATGTTTTGATATAAATAATGTGAAATGAAATTTCTTTACATACGTTTTGTGGTAAATGAAAAAGTACACATTATAAAATTATTTTCGTTACGATGCTACAGGTCGTCAATTTGCTTAAAATTTTTTTTTTAACAATCTGGGGGTTGTGCAGGAAATATCTATGATAAGGAGTTCCTGGAACTAAAAAGTTTCGAAACTGTTGAAATTTAGTACCTAATTGGAACACTTAAGAATGTGAAAAAAAAAACCCCAAATGAAAACCTAATTTTTCTAATATTTTTACTTAATTAGCATTGGTATTGTTCGTTAACATCTGTAAATGGATGATTTTTCTGCAATAATACTGCTTACAGAAAAGCAAGGAATGTTCATATTTGATTTCACGAGCTATGTTCTTTAGTTTGACCTTAAAAGTGTGAGTAGCTTTATCAAAATCAGAAATTATTTTATGATTTCAACAAGCATGAGAAATGAAAACAAGAAAATTTCATATTTTAAGATCTTATGTTATGTGAAGTGAATATATTTAATTTTGAGCTCTATTAAAAATTATATTTACAAGACTTTGTGCCCTTACAATATTTTTTGTCCTGTTAAGTTGTTAAAATTTAATTTTTTACTAAAAAACTTTTTTCATGTAAATTTTTCTAATTGTGTATATTAGAAGTTTCTATATGAAATTTAGTGTGATTTAATTTAAATTCATTTGTATCGAAGAATATGATGATGATAGTCATTATGATTTCAAAAGTGTTAGCTGTTTTGCCTTATCCCAATTATCTTTACATATTTTGTATTGTAACTACTTTAGATAAAAATAAAACCCTAAGATTATATTTTATGTTTTGATTTTAAATTATTTTTCTTTTCTTTACTGAGTAGAATGTTTAAAATATTGAAATTGGCAATGTTTCATGCTAAGTTTTTTTAATACGTAATTAACATATTGAGTTACTCATAACTGAAAATTTCACCTATATTTATTATGACTGAAATTAAAGCTTTTTAAATTTCTGTTTTTTATTTTGTAGGGGAAATCGAAGGAAAATAAATTAATTGGTATGTTTTTTAATTTGATTAATTTGTTCCCTTTAATTTGCTTTTTTCTAATTCTAGTTATGTATCAGTTCTATTTCTGTAACAAGTTCCAGTTATGTGTCAGTTTTATTTAATTTTTTTTTAAACTGGTTTTATGTTATTAAATTTAAACTTCTCAAATTATTTATATTAAACACTTATGGATGTTTTCAAACTGTAAAAAAGCTAATTACTTTTTGTCCATGAATCTCTTATAGAATAAAGTATAAATTTGAATACCTTAAAAAGTATAAATTTATCTTTTAATTTATTTCTGAGGTATATTTTATTAATAGTAAATATTTTTTTGTAACTATTGTAAAATTTTTTTCCATAAAATATTTACAAATTTCTATATAATGATTTAAAACTTTCACTAATAATTTTTTTTTTTGCGTTTCATCAATTAGATTATGACTCACTAGTGTTTCTAAAGAGAATAAATTCAAAAATAAATTTTAACATATTTGCTGCATAAGTTATAACAAATTTCAAAGTAACAAAATTGCATTAAGATACTCAATAACTAAATTTCTGATAATTCAATTGGTTCACTCATCACAATCAATACTTTTTTGATTTATAAATTTTTTCAATTACCTTAATTTCCTGCATATAATCTGCTGATTACCCGTTAAAAAAATATGCAAAAATTTACCGGAGATGTGAACAAAAACCATATTGGTAATATATAATTACCCGGGAAACACTTACAAAATCGGGTTCTTGTTTGAGTTTCCAAACTCAAATATGTAATTTTTCGAATCCAATGTGAATTATCCTTAAAAATTATGTGTCTGCTCGCCCATTGCCTATTGGCTTATATGTGACTTAGATTTTACTGGCAGGAGGGGGAATTGGGATTCATTTTTATTTCTCATGTGCTAAATGAAATGCTGTATACAGGGTGCAGGTTATATCCTGAAATTTTTGTTATGTTGTTGAAATTAACATCTGCAGGTTATACAGAGCTACAGATAATACACAGGGAATTAGGGTAAGAGTAATCAAACCAAGTAATATTTCAATGAAGTGTTAATAATATCTGATTTCTGGAAAAATATCAGTTTATATCCTAAACCGGATTTGAAAGGAGCTGTTACAGAATTGAAGGAGCAAAATTTTTATGCTTTTGTTTTAAAGCAAGTATGATAAGAAATTGATTGCTAACTTTAAGTAGTATGTTTTTTTTTTCCGATTTTAATGAGAAAGCTTCAATGTGCAACTTTTTTCGAACTTTTTATCTTGCCTAAAATTTAACTTACAGTTTTGAATTGGTTTACAGGAATTAAACATAAACACAGTCATTATTTAACTGTAAAAGTTTTTGTGAAGCAATGCTTAAAATGTTTAATATTTAATTTTCTTTTGAGCTAAAATTTGAAGGAAAAAAATACTAAAACATCTGGTGTGCGAGATAAGTCATAAAATTACTTGATATAACTTTTAATAGGCAGTCGAATGTGTACTTTTTGAAATTATATTAGTTTAAGAGAATTGAAGTGTAAAATATTCTTTCAATAAAAATTTTACTTTTATTTTTTGGATCTTTATAAAAGTAATAATTTTGACTAAAAAAATTATTTTATGTTTATCAATATTCATGTGCTACTTTTAATTTAAGCAGCATGCTATTATAGCACAGTTACCAAGTTTTAACTTAATATATTTATTAATAAGTCAAATAAACTTCCACAAAATTGAGAAAACTGATTTAAAGACAAAACTTTCTGTAAATAATTTTTTATAAAATACTTGAGTCTGCAACGAATGCAGCTTAGAAAGTGAGTGAGCCATTTTGTGTGAGAGGGTTTCAATATTTTTGTAGAAACTAAAAATTTTTTTTGATTATAATACTTGGAATAAAATTGCTCAAAATAAAACTGGTTACTTTAATTTTAAGAAAAAAAATTGAAAATTTTGTTTGAAAAAACCCTTTTGATTCTTTTAAAGTTGTGGTTGTCACTAATTCTTAGTGTAAACTAGCACTGCAATTGTTTGAGCCTTTTTTTCTTGCAGATAACTAATAAGTCACATAATGGATTTATAAAATTTAAAGCAAATTTGTTTACTAACTTTTGGAAAAATGAGTTGAAATTTGCAAATTTATTTTGTAAAGTATATTCTGTACTTACAGTGGTACCTATATAAATTTTTATATTTGCAGCTAGACTTACAGTTTTGGAAAGAAATTTTTATAATTTAACTGCCGAGAAGATAATTCTAGAAGAAAAATTAGAAAAAGCTGAATTAGAGGTGAATGAGTAAATTTTTCTATTTTTGTGAAAGTTCAATAAGTAAATAAAAAAAAAATGTACACAAGCGTGCAAAAGTTTTTGGTCAACGTATGAAAGGCATTTTAACCTTTCTATGCGTTTTTTTCTTTTTTGTAGAAATGATTTCGACTTTGTTTAGTCAGGCCAACATATATATTACACTTTATTTCAGAATTTTTGCTATTTAATGGAAAATGTAATCTTTGGATTAAATTTAAATTTTTGCACTCAGTTCAGTTGAATATTTCTTTTTTTTTTATATAATTCGAGTCTTGTAAGAACTAATTCTTCAAAAATAAATGTCAATAATAAATTAAAGTTAAAATCACGAAATAAATCCGTCAATAAATATGCAAAACTTATGCTTATTTGTTAAAATTGTATCTTTCAATTGTATTTTCATCCAATTCTTAGATGTAAAAAAAATTGCTTCACGAAAAACAAATACCCAACTGATATGAAAATTGCATTTGATTTAAAGTGACTTTCAAAGCGCTAACTTTGCTTTCTGATTGATAAGCATATAATGTTTAAGAATTAAATTATACATTATTTATTACATTTCCAATCAACCGTTTATAATATTGAGTTTGACCAAAGACGCGAGTGTAAATGTTTAAATTGGATAACTAATTTTTTTTAGTGTAAATAAATTTTATGGTTGGTCAATATGATTTCATACAACTTTTCAGTTTAATCTAATTTTTACTTTTTGTAACAAACTTTTTATTACATAAAAATATTTATCTAACATTTTTATTGTGAAATGGATTGATGTCCGTAACTTTGTAAAAAAACATGAAATTTTTTGACAAAATGTGCAAAAATCTCTACACACATCCTTAGATCGCTTGCTGTAGCTAAAAGAGTTTATTACAAGAAATATATTTTTAAAAAGCATGCCATATGATGTCAAATTTTTTTTTGAGATAAAAGGATGTAATACATCTGAGAATTGATAGGATTAAATTTTTTTTATAAGAAAAAATTTAAGGGTCAGCAATACAAATTTTAAATGTTACTCTTGTACACTGAAAACAAATTGCACAGAAAAAATTGTGTGGCATAGTGCCTCATTTATGTACAGGTGAGAGTGTTATGGATATTGCTAGTAGTACTGGGGTTATGGTAAAGACAGAAGTTGTAACATAAATTTAAAAATTCTACTTTTTTCTTAATTCCAGCAAAATGTGTTCTATTTTTAAAAAGTATTTAATTCTTTTGGTAATATAACAAAGAAAGGCAATGGTTGGAAAGCCATAAACTATTCTATTCGGCAGTGATAGATTATCAACCACGTATCTCCAATTTATTTTAATTATTTTTAATTTTGTTTTTGCATTTGCTTGTAATCTATGATTTTTATTTTATTGATGTTTATTATTGCTATTATAACAATCTTTAAAAACCCATTACATTTCTTTAGCTCCAAATTTCAAGAGGTGTTATTGAAGAAGAAAAAATATTATCATTTAAATTAAAGACAGAAATTGAGAGTCTGAAACAGCAGCTTGAGGTAATTTATTATAATTTCAAACAAAAAAATTGAGTTGAAAAATATAATTGTCATGTATTTAACTTTATACATTTTATTTGGTGTTGAATTTTAAACATTAGGAAACTACTTTGGAATTGGAAAAAAATGTTGATGAAGTAGAAACTGTGAGAAAAAGGGAGCATGAATATGTTGAGCTGATTCATGATCATGAAAAAGAACATTTAAAGTTATTAGAACAGGTAAAAAAATTGTTATGTAGAGAAATCATTAAAAAATGACATATTTTAGATGAGATGTTTTAATTTATGCTTTGTTATTGATCATAATTTTGAGCAAATTTTAATTTTTGTTTTCCTTAGAAAGGGGAAGTTGAAAATAGAGCACTGGAATTTGAAGAAACATTAGTTATGCTCAGAGAGTCATTGCAAGAAGTTAGTAAGAAAGAAATCTGTTTAATTCTTAAACAATATACCATATTTTTTCGATGTAAAAATATTACAAAATAGAATTTTGATTTGGTTTAACTATTTAGGGTTTTATCTCTCATGCATTCTTAAGTTATGTAAATCAAATGTTTAACATTTATCTTTTGTGTATTTTATAATGAAGCCTTTATATTAGTAGACTATTCAATTAGTATCTTAGTAATCACATTTTATTAGCAGAAAATTTAGCACAATTTAATGTTGCTTTTTCAAAAATTAAAAAAAAAAAAAAATATATGTCACAACATGACTAAAAATTAAAGACACTTTTTATCTTTTTCATTTTTTTTTCATTATTGTCAATCCTTACATTATGTTTTAATGTATAGCAAATCATTAGAACTGTATTATTTAAAAATATGTTTGTGATGTGCATTATTTCTTCATAGTTTTTTCGCTTTTCTCTTGATTAGTACTCTTTTAATGTTGATTTTAGATGCTCTTAACTTTAATTGTATTATTTTCTTATTTGTTCATTTGAATTTATTCAATCAAAGAAATATGTTAGAAAAGGTTTTATTTAATTTATATTTATATATTAGTTATTTTTAATTGATATTTAGTTTAGTCTCACATATCTAAAGTTTTTTTCATATCTTTTTATGACTTTTGTTTTTTAAATTTTTTAGAAAGAAGTGGAATTACAAAATTTGCTTGCAGAAAAATCAGAATATCGTCAAGCCAACGAAATTTATGAAGAGAAAGTTAGCCTGCTCCAAAAAAATTGCAACCAGCTTTTACAAGAAGCTGAAGTCTGGAATTTAAGGTTTAAATTTTATTATAATGTAATGTAGTTTCTGAAAATTATATTAATCTATGTTCTTTGAAATTGTCTGTGAGTTATTGAAAATATGCATGGTATTAATTGTTACCTGTAAACTTAGGTAATCAAAAAAAAAAGTTAGTGCAATGTCTTTCAATGAGAAATAATGCTATAACATTTCATGCGAATGCATTTTATTTAACAAAATAATTTCCATTACCTTATCAATATATAAGCTTTTAACTCTCACATTTGTAAAAGTTTTTGTTTCTAAGGCCAAAACATTCTAATTGTGGCTAGTATGACTTCGTCAAAATAGTTACATTTGAAAAATAATTATTTACCGCCCCAAAACCGGTAATGGCCTGATTGTAAAGAGGATGTAGTAAATGATATTTGTTGTACAAAAAATTTTGATTTAATATTTTTTTTGGTTTATGTAAAAGTCAAAATATCACTAATTTGATTGTCTTTAACAAATTTTTTTTTTGGTTGTCTGTTTAATTTATCAAAAATAGATACATTATATCTTTATCATTCATCAGTATTATATCTTTATCATTCATGGACTGATTGTAAAGAAGATGTTGTAAATGATATTTGTTGTACAACAAATTTTGGTTTAATATTTTTTTGGTTCATGTAAAAGTCAAAATATCACAAAATAAGTAAATATCATTCATTTGGTTGTCTGCTTATTTTAATAAAAATATATACATTATATCTTTATCATTCATGTTGTTTATTTCTATCCCAAATAGAGTAAATGAGTTAAATGAAAAGCTAAGTCTGGAAACACAAAAAAATGAAGAGGCAGAGAAATCACTGCAAGAGAAAATCACTGAAATTGAAGTAAGCGTATTATATCAATACTCTTGCTTTAGAATTAAATGAACAAATAAAAATATCAAGAAATACAGTAATTTATACGAAAACTGTTTTTTTTTTCGTTAAAAAAATTTGAAGTATGTTTATCTGATTAAATAACAGTTGCTTGTGCAAAAATGAAAACATTAAAAGTAATTTCTAACAACATGTGAAAAACTAAAAAGTTTCAAATTGTTAAATTATTTCCTAAGTTCCATTTTATAATCATAAAATACCCTTTTCTTTGTATTTGTTTGAAAAATTTGCTATTTGCAGCAAAAGTCAGAATTGGGCTAGAAATGATTGAGTTTTAAAACTTTTTTTAGATTGGTTTTCTGTTTAAGATATAGCTGAAACTTCTTATGTGTTATTTAATGTGTTCAATTGTCGTCACTGGATGTAATACTAAAATTGTCCTTACTAATTAGTTGATATATTCATATTAGTTACATAATGGGAAAAAAATCAAAACTGAAACTTATTGTGTTTTTTAAATTTTTTGATAATCCACTGTAACATCTAAATTGGTTTACCTTATTTTTGTTATAGTCTTTATCTGAAGCAGTTCAGCTTTTCAAAACTTTTGAAGAAATAGGTGGGGATAGTGAAGAATGCAAAAGTGAGTCACTAATTTTATTTTATTTCACATTTTCCATTTCTATTTTTTGTTGTAGGAAACAAAAATGTGATGTATATGGTAAATAACTGAATGTTAGTTACATAATTTTTCTCTTTTAGCTAGCGAAGAGAAACTGAAATACTTAAAAAATTCTACTCATGTAAGTTGAATCCTTTCTTGCTTAATTTGTTATATTTGTTGCCTCTTTCTATTATGTTTAACTACTATATTTGTTTCCTGAAGTTATGAAACTAAAGTACATTTCAAAATCAAGAGTTATATTTGTTATAACTATAGATACTGTTTTTTGACAAATTTTCCCATTGTTTTTAATGAAGATGTTTTGTATAAATATTGATTTCATTGTGTCTACAAATATTTTTCTTTGCATCCTTCCATTAAACTATCTTATTAAATTCCTTTAAAATTGCAATTTTATAATTTAATAATAAATTTTGTTTCTTTTAAAGCTTATATAACTATTTTAAAAGATCTTAAAAATTGTTTAGTTAACTAAAATTTTAAATTTTTTTTTTTACTTAATAAAATAATTATTTATTTATATTTTGTATTTTTTTCTTATATTAATATAAGAAGGTTTAGTAATATGTATTTATTTTCATAATGTGAATTTTTATTTAAATCTATAAATTATGTTTTTAATGTTATCAATTTGTTTGTTTTTGAGTACTTCTCTTTAAATCATGATTTGGTTGGGACAGCTCATGAGTATGCAAATGATAAAAAGTAAACTTTTTTCGATTGTTAAAATCTTTAAATTAATTATATTGTTTCAATTTTCGTTGAGATCAAGAACTCGAGATAGTTTTTCTAATATATTAGAACTTTTTTAGATAAAAAAAACATTTTTCTGCTATAATCCTCTTAACTGTTCTAGAATTCTTAAATTTGGGAGTGTTTTGAAGAATTTTAATACCAATTGTTAATTTATTTGAAATTAATATATTTTTTTAGTCAAAAAATCAGGACTCAGCATGAGTCACTTTTATCACTTAATGTCACAATCTTAAAAAAAGTTTACTTTTATTTACTATTTTAAAGGCTTATCTTACTTTTTTTATTTCCATTTTGCTATTTTTTTTTTTTTTTTAGTTGGGAAAAATGAATGAATGTTTAGTATGTATTTTTTTAATGGCAGTTAATTAAGATGTGATTTAGTTATATTTTATTTCTATAGCAAAAAATGTTTCTTAATCAATTTTTCTTTAATTTGTATATTTTTAAGGTTATTAAGATATTAACACTTACTGTTTCTAATTTAGTCACTATTTATCACTTTTTAACTTCACCACTTTATCTACAATGACCTGTGCTGAGCCCTGAGAAATTAACTTTAAACTAAAAAAAAAATAAGCTGCTAAAGTTTTATTTATTTTTTATTTTTATAATAAATAAAAATTGATCAAATGTGTGTTATGACAAATGTACAAAAAGTGGAAAGAAAAATGTTTGAAGATTCTTGAAGTAATTCTAAAGTAAATGACCTTTTATGGGGAAAGGAAACTAATTTTAAGTTTTGAAATGATAAATTTAACTCATTTAAAGTTTTGCTAAGATATGCAGTATGCAACTTAATAAATGTTTAAAACTTTAAAGCTTAAATTTTATAAATATGTATGTTTACTAAAAGTTGAATATTGGGTTACTTATTGATTTCATCTATTTTTATTTGCATCTGTCATCTTGATAAAGCTGGAGCTGCATATTTATTTAACACATGGCTCTTAAAAATTGACTAATAGTTATTTGAATCGCTGAGTTTAAAATTAAAAAATCATGATCTTTTATCTTCTCGTAGTTAATAAAAGTTTTTTTTTAGTTAAACCCTACTTTCTTTGTATAATATAATTGATAGAAAGTAAGTCATTAAGTTTGATTGCTAATCTCGTGATTACGGTATGTCTTTACGTTATCTTGTTGTCTCACATTCAATCATTTTTTTAATTTCTGTTCAGTAGTCGCCACAAATTTGTTTTCTCTCACCTTCTATCACTTTATGCTTTTATTCTTTCTTAATTTAGACTGCTCAACTAACAAGGAAGTGTAATTTACAAAATTTGTGGCTAAAATGTATCTATATGTACAAAATTCTAAAATGATGCAAACTTTAAATATGTAAGGTATGTAAATATGTAAGATAGACCAAAAAGAAAAAAAAAAACAATTTTACAGTCAAACCTGATATCATGAACTCTTAAGAATGAGACCCAAATTTCGTAATATCAAAAATTCAGGTTACAGTAAAATTGTTTTAAGTTTTGAAAATTGTATAAAATATATTTACTTCTAAAAACAGTTACTTCAAACAATGTCAGTATCTTTGCTTCCTAATTTGATGTTACAATTTGTTAAAATCTCTTTCATAATTTTTCGCTTCTAATATATTTCTTTATGCTATAAACTATTTTATTATTTCTGATTTTTCCTAATTCAGAAACTGCAAAATTATTGCTTTCAGTAACTAAGCATCAATTTCTTTCAGATTTATTAAATTAGCAAGTTCTTTCTAATCTTATGGTCTAATATTCTCATCTGTACACAAATCTTCTCTAGAAATGGATGATTCAGACAATTTTTTTTTCAATCTGTTGTGCGATTTCTTTTTTATTAGGACTTCATGAAGAGTCAAGAATTATAGTTCAAGAAAGCATTTTAAATTCTTTAAAAATGAGGAAAAAATTATCTGAATAATTATAAATATTTCGTGAAATCAAGAGATAACAAGAAATGTATTTGATTAAAGGAAGTTTCTTCTTTTATCAGCATAGCAAATACAGGAGGAATTCAGTATTTTTCGTATCAGGGAAAAAGTTTGGCTATCGAAATTTGTGCTATTAAAAATTTGTGTCGTCAAAGTTTGTGATATTAAGGTACAACTGTATTTGTAGATTTTTTTTGATTTTTCTAATTTTATTACATGTAATTTTTTTATATCTTGCATTGTATATTTCGTAAACAATTGTTTAACCGCAAACAAAATATTTTTAGAATTTAATGAAATTACAAAAACAAGAGGAAGAAAACAGACTATTATCTGAGAGATTAACTGAAGCCAAAAATAGACTACTTGATATAGAAGGTAATTATTATTATTATTTTTTAAGTTTATGCCATAAGTATTATAGTTCTGAAATAATAATGCATAAATAAGTAACATTTTTAGTTAAAAATTAAAGTGTTGTAAATTTAATCAACATTTTAAAGTTCAAGAAATGATTGGTTCTACAGAAAGAAAAAGGTTAACTTTCAGTAAGAAATGTTAGTTGGTGTGAATTTTATTTTTTCATGATGATACTTATCCCTTTCACCTGAATGGGATCAGATCCATGAGTTTGTTCACCTTAAATACTTCCAAAATAGGGTCTCATTTAAAGGTTTACAGAAGGAGACGCTTCGAAGGAAACATATTACAAAGTGGCTTCCACTTTACAACGCTTGGGGCAAACTGGGAATGTCTTAGCATGATAGGAAAATCTGAGGGTTTCTAAATGTGCAGTAGACAGTTGAGTTAAAATGGTTCAGTGTAGTGTATCATTAACATGGTCACTATTATTTTCTGAAAAAAAGTGCACAGTTCATTCAATTAAAATATTTATATATATATTATTATTGTTAATGTAGTATGGCACCTAATTTTTCCTGTAATAGTTTATTTCTTTACTTGCGACCTTGTTGCTGTAGCACATAGAGAGTTACATATGTATGCGTCAATGTTTCATTCTGTAAATATGTTATATATGTTTGACACTAATTATTTGATTTTTAATTGTGTTTATAAGGAAATATAAATGTATCAGTATTCTTGTTTTAACAAATTTAATTTAAATAAATTTTGACAAGCTTCACATTTCAATAGTTTAACACATTTATAGCAGACCTGCAATTTATCTTAATGCATTTACAAGTGTTGGCTAAAAGTGAATTGAATGTCTGCTTACATCACTTCAATTGATATTTCCATATTGCTTGGGAAACACTTCTTTAAAGACGGTAAAAGTTGGATGGTATGATGTGTATTGATTAAATTAGGTGTAGTTTAGGAGATTATACATTAACTCTTGTGTTATTAAACTTCACATTTAACTCAATCCAATCTTACTTTTTAGTTAATAACTATCATCTTAATATCATTATTTTCTTTATTGATATGCCCAAAGTTATTAAAAATTTAAATGGAAATTTTTCCATTTATTAATGTTATACAAAGATGCATGTGGTTGCTGTAAAAAAAGTTTTGATAGTATTACATGTTTCATTTTACTGCTACCACAAAATTATGGTTTAATTGTATTTGGTACAATTAGTGTTTAATTTGAAATTATTTTAAAGTAAAACTGTGAACAAAGCAATTATACAATCCTTATTTTTAAAGAATTTTTATTATATTTATATAAATTTATAACAAGTTGTGTTTCCCATTTTGATAAATTTTTGCATGAAGTACATATGGAATATTATTTTGCAGTTTCTATATTGGATGTCAAATCTGAAAACGATAAATTGAAGGTTAATTATAATCAAGCACTTCAAGATAAAGCTGAAGCACAAACAAAGCTGGAAGTTTTGACTAATTATTTTAAAGATAAAGAGATTCAATTGCAGAAGTAACTATAATTTATAAAGTTTTATAATTATGTAAATATTTGTGTTATTAGTTAGTACACTACACAAGTTTTTAAAATGTTCATTTTATTACTTCCAAGCTTAGATAACTCTAATTTGGATAATGTCTGAAATTTTTTGTTCAGTTTTCCATAAAATAAGGTAAATAAATTGTTTCTGAAACAGTAAAAATGCAAAGGTATATTCTTTCTGCATTTATTGAAAAGTCATCCAAAGCCTGTCTATAAGCTTGTAATTTAATCACCCTTGAAAAAGGACCTGGACAGACCATTTCAGCTGGAGAATTAATTTCACTGAGGGTTGAAAGGCCAGTTTTCCTGAAAGTGCGGCTTTTCTTTGCGGCTATTTTATATTTTAGTGTCACGTGTGCTTCTTGTGAATTAATTAATGCAGTTGTAGCATTTTTTTGGCTTGCGATTTAAGTGTTGTTTCATGCCCTCTCTGCTGTGTGAAAAGTCATTAATGTTAGATAAAAAAGTTTTGGTTATAAAGATTGTTTAAAAATAAAACTTAAGTAAGATAATGATAAAATTCCATGAAATTTGGAATGCTATTTAAAATATTTAAATAACAAATACAAAATGTTCAACTACTAAAATGGCACTGATAAAATAGAAAGAGAATGAAACACATGCTGTGACTTTAAGATTTCATACAAAAAGCAAACAAAAATATTAGCCCTTTTTTAAGTGATGGATTTAGATAAACAATGTTTGACGCAATTAGAAAAAGGTAGCAATAATATAATATTTTGTTGAGAATATATATCATCTGCTTTTGAAAAGCAATATCCATTCTTGTTAATAAATACTTTAAAAATTAACAGTTCATTCAGTGGTTGTTTTCTATTTATGTATGAAAAGTACAATATTCTTAATTTCTATCAAAGTATCTTTTCTTCTACAAATTCGAATTTCAATTCTTCAAATGCAATAACTCAAAAATTATAAAGAGTTTAGTATATAAAGAAATTTTTTTTTGACTATGGCTTTTTTATTTTTTAAATTCATGATATTTTAATGTTAACTCATGAGTTCACCTCCATTAGGATACTGCCTGGATTTTTCCACGCTCCGAAAACATGTTTTCCCTTTTTCTATAAAGAAACTGTGTTTGACTTGCTTTTATATGTTTTGAATATTTATATGTTTTAGTTTATATGAATTTATATGTTTTAGTTTATATGAATTTATATGTTGCTAGTTTCCAAACTTAAACTATCGAACTATTTTTTTTTCCTGTTTATCAGTTGTTTTAGTTTTGTTTTTAACTGTTTTCCCCATATAATTTATTATTGATTAAAACCAGTTTTGTTTTTCTTTCTTGCCAATCTATTTGCTAAAATTTGTTATAACATACAAAATAGAATAACTATGTTACCTTGGGTTATATTTTATTCGAAATTAAGCTTATAAAATTAATAACTTTACTTGCACAGAAAAGTATCAAAATATATTTTTTCGAATGATTAATTGCAGTTAAATGAAAAACATACAATATTAATTTTTAGCTTGAGTAATGTTAGTGTAGCATTCATGGTTTAAAAAAGCTGTACATGCTGTAGACAATTTAATGCAGATTATCAAATGAAACATTTATAATTAATGCTTCTAGAAAGATGCAATTTACTATACTCTTATTCATCAATAGACAGACAAAATGATGCTTCATGTAAATCTTTCTTTAGGCAACTTGGAGTACAGGAAGCTGTTCGGCAAAGAACTGAGGAAGATGCTACTTCAGCTGAACGAAGGATATGTTTGATTGAACAAGAAAATGCAAGTTATAAGTATGTTTACATTTGTATATCTTTCACTTCCATGTTGTTTGATTTTTATGAAAGAATTAAAACTTAAATTTTGTGTTATAAATAAGGTACCAAGTTGCTAGTATGAAACAAGAAATTGAAGAGACTGAACGAAATCTAAAGAGTCAAGTAAGCATGTTTATTTATTAATCATTCTCTCTATAATAAATTTTAGTCTTTGACTTCTAGATTTTATTATGCCAACTATTATGATTTATCCATAATTATTAAATTTCAATATTAAGATTGCGATCGTATTAGTGAGTAATAAAAATTATGGTTCTTTAGAATTTCCATGGTATGTTTAAAAAGAAATTCCCCCCTTAACTGTCAAGGCTTATGAAATTTTATTGTTACAACTAATCTACAATAATTTTTACTGCTTCTTAAACAATTCTAAAAACAATATATGACAAACAAAAACAATATAAAAAAAAGCAAAGAACTCTTATCTTTTCCCTTTCCAACAAGCTATTCTGAAACTTAATGTTCTCTCCTATAAAAAGTCTTACTTTTTTTAAAAAAATTAATTGTAAATTCATGCATAATTTTGTTATCATATACTTAAATAGAATTAAATTGTAAATATACCATTAAATTGCACTAATTTAAATTTTGTAATTGCTAACTGTATATATTTCTGTGTTATTCTAAGTTCTGATTCGTGAATGTTGATAGCTAGTTTGGAAAGCACCTCTGTTATTATCATATTATTTTTATGAAGCATCTAAAACATTATGTAATTGTAAATATTGCAGCTTTGTTAGGTTGACCAAGCTGCATTTACATTAGGTTTCAGATGCTTAATGAAATTAATTATTGTATCCTGATCAAACGTTTTGTATTCCTGATCAAACTATAGCAAGTAATACATGATGAACACCAGTTCCTGTTTCCTTTCAGCCATTTCAGTAAACTACTGTCTTAAGTTCAAATAAAATCAAGCCTTGACTCCTAATGAATGATCCTTTCTAGTGTTGTTGATGCTTAATTAAATTAAAATAACACCTGAACTGTGGCATAAATGTGTAGGAGAAAATATTTTTTGACAACACCATATATTTACAAAAAAAAGAGAAAAAATCATACATTTTAAAACTTTTCATGTAAAAAATGACAGTCAATAAAAGAACTTAATTTTGCCACTGTTCCATTGATTTAACAGATCTCTTCATTTCAATCATGGTTACAAGGAAATAGTTCATGTGCATGAATAAAAATGGTGCGCTTGTCAGTTTTCCAATATCACCGATTACTGTTAAGTGATATAAAATTTTTCCACTTATTTATAATTAATGTCAATATATTTTCTTACAGATTTCTTTGCATGAAAAGAAAGCTCATGAAAATTGGGTAAGAAATTTTGTATGTGATTTGTAAAATTAAAATTATATCATGAATGCTTCAATTTTTATATCTAAGTGGTCTTAAAGAATTTTCTTAACTTATTTATTAAGAATTTATTTGTAATTTAAAACATAAAGCACTATTTTTTATCTGTTACATTTAGTTTTAAAATTAGCTGATGATTATTTGAGATTAAAAAACATTTTAAAATTTTTTAACACAGTTAGCAGCAAGAACAGCAGAAAGAAAATTGGAAGACACAAAACAGGAAGTAACACAGTTAAGACAAAGGTATATACTTAGTATAAATTTCTGGTTATATTTTCATGTTAGCCAGTTTACTATCATTCTATGGAATAGGTTTAATGTGACCCCACTAATTATAAACTTTTAAATATTTTTTATAGATTAACCTTGCTTGAACGAGAACAAGAGAATTGGTCCAATTCTACCAGAGATGAAATAATAAGACCTGTACCAAAAAGTAAGGTTTTGTTTTAAATTTATTTTATTCTGTTTTTAATTCTGTCTCTATTTTGTAAATTTAAATATTTTGAAAATCTTTTTTTTCTTGTCTTCAAGTATTTATAGTTATATACTTGAAGGAATATATATAGTTTAAATGTCATATTCTAGAAAATATTCTTTATCTACTGAAATTGCAAGAGTAAGATAACTGTCAAATGCTTTCCTGATTATCCCAAATTATCTTTTATACATTGCAATCAATTATTATCCTGCAAAAACGTTGACATGATTTGTTTGATTTTGTTTTTTATTTGGTGAAGGAAAATATTTTGCTTTGTCTAGCATTTTGTTAAGTTTATGTTTGATAGCTGTCAAAGTTGTATGAAAATTGAGGAAGAGAAGTGAAGTTACTTATCAATGATTAGAGTAGATGGTATTACAGAAATAATTGAGTTTATCCAACTGTTCGTTAACCCAATCACTGGGGATACATTGACATTTTATTATATGCATGCATATTGGGTCTTCTACAATTTGACTCTTGTACAGTATGTTCAGAGAGCTAGAAGAAAAAAATGCTAGCTTTTTGGTTTTAAACCTACAATGAAGCAGAGCAGTGTATGCTACTAGTTAAAAACAAACTGTCCTTTTTTTTCCTTCTTATTTGCGGCTGGTTTTATAATGGGATAAATGCTTGAGCAGTTGTGGTTCATACGTTTGACTTGCAATTTAAGAAATTATATGAAGTGGCCTCTTATTCATTATTTAGTGATAAAAAATTAATTTGGTCATCAATGAGGATTATTTTATGTTGGATGAGTTATTAATATTTTTATAAATATTTTTGCAGGAATTAGCAACATGAATGACGATTCTGTGAATACGCAAGACTCAAACAGTTCGTTAGAACTCAGATCAAATCTATTTCCACCACCACCACCTATGATGCTACCCCCTGATAGGCCACTGCCACCTTTACCTCCATTACCACCCTTTTTACGACCATTTGATCCACCACCTCCATTTGAGTCATTACCTCCATTTCAACCTCAACCTTGGAATATGCCACCTCCTGATGCTGTCTCAAATTCGGACTTTAGAATGACTCCTTCAGATTATGGTAGAGGTCGTGAATCCACGCCGCCGAGAGGACGAAATTCTGCTGTTGTGGATGGAGACTTAGGACCGAGGCAATCTAGTCCTATTACAGATTTGAAGAACTCTAGAAATTCAACTCCACCACATTTGTTACCCGATTTTCACGATATTCCTCCTCACCCATCTAGACCTTTCTATCCTCCTCCAATGGGGCCACGCACAAGATATCCTATGCCCCCTAGATTTCCACCAACAAATTTTAGAAGAGAATATCCTGGTCAAAGAAGGATAGGTTAGTAACATTCTTCAAAATAATGATTTTTCACTTAACCATTTTTATTTTTTTCTTACATTTATTTTCATCATTTTTGTCATATTTTTATAGATGTATAGAAATAATCACACACCTCAGATAAGTTTTTAAATGTAAATGTGTTGTAAAACTTTTTATTTCATAAATTGATATAGTTTAAGATCAGATGATAGCAATTTTAATATTTCAGTGTAGCTTATTAGGGGATTATTCCCTAATGATTTTTTTAAAGTTTTAGCAGTAAAACTGAGGTTTTTAGTTTTACTTTTTATTTTCAGTTTTTTACTTATATTACTTTTATTTAAATTTTATGTTACTAACATTCAATACTTTCAAGATAACTTGGAACATTTAGTAAAGCTATGTTTTTGAATTGTTAATCTATTACTGTTATGATATATCAATCCTCTTGTTAAAAGTTTAAAAATCTTTCTATATAGTTATTATTATGTAGTATTAAATTTGATACTTCCTCTTTACAGAGCAGTATAAAGAAAAAAACATTATTAGTTAATAAATTTGCTTAAAGCTTAAAGACAAATTTGTCAAAAGATCGTCTTCTGTCTTATTGCATGGCATTGATGGACAGCACTTTGCACAAATATGTGTGTCAAAACTTCAGACATTGGAACTTCTTCATTATTCTCTATATTTACTAGACCCAGCACACACTGTCTACTACTTCTTTCTTTAGACAACTTTTTATTCCAAAAATGATGCAAAACTGGCCTTCCAAGATTTTATTGATTTGCGACCGGCACAGTTTTATCCCACTGGTGACTTACATATTGCAGAGAAAATATGGGTACATACTTTGATAAATGAAATTATTCATTATATCCATAAGCTACTAACCAACTTAATATTTTTTTTTTTCAAATTTCATATTTGAAGACTTAATAAAACTTTTGTTTAAAAAAAAAACTTTCAATTTAAATTTACTTTTTGGTTTAGAAGAATAAATAGCAATTCAATCAAAAATTGTTTTTCTGTTAACTAGTTTTATGATTGTGTTTATTGTTACATTTTTCTGCAGCAATCATTTATAAAATTAATTTGTGATATTCTTAGAAATATTTATAAATACACCACAGGCTATTGAAATTGCTACACTTATAAGTGCAGCAATTTTAATGACTATTAGTGAAGACTTTATTTCTTCTGTAATCCGGAGATAATTTCAAATGGTTACAATTAACAATAAGTTAAGAAATAATTAATTAATGTAATGTTTGAGTGCAGGTTAGATATTTTTTAAAGGCATAACAACATTTTGAAAGTTATGCCTATAAAAATTTTGTTCAAAATATTGAGAAGAGAAAGATCTCTAAGTTTTTTTTTTTAATGTTTCAACTATCGGTTTAAAGCTTTAAACTGCTTTGTAATCTACAGCTTTTGCTTCTGGGTGCGTGCAATGTACACTACTTGGGTTACACTGCTACCATTGATTTAAAATCTGCATGCCACAATACAAAATGTGCTTTTTGTTACAAATCCACATCCTTTGTTGACATACACTTTTTGATTCTAAAATGGCGGTTAGAGAAAAAAAATTATACTTCTTCACATTTCAATGGAAGAATATTTTTGTACAATTAAAAATGAATTTGCTTGAAGTTTCAAAATTTATTTTTTTGGATGATGTAACTTATTTATTTAATTTCATTTTAGGTTTTTGTTAATTTAAATTTTATTTTGCACACCTGTTAAAACTTTCAAATCTCATTGAATATTTAAGTAGTAATTTATTTTCAGATAATCAAGAAGAAAATAGTTCAACCTATGGATCGCAAAATGCACCCGTGCCTCCAGATGATTGGCATAATTCAAACACTAGAGTTTAATATGAAGCGAAATCTGTGATTTAGTATTTATTTAAGATGTAAATAAAATTAGATATGAATTTTAAGAAGCAGGACATTTTAAATTAAGATTATTTGAATCAATGGTCATATGTCAATCTAGAAGATTAGTTTCCTGCTTTAAAGTTTTTGAAAAAAAGAATTAAGTTTGCATCTTGGGATTGTATGTACTTAATTATTTTAATAACTGTTTTGGTGAAGTTTTGAATTAAATGAGACAATTTGATATGAATTTTATGTTTTGAAAAACATATATATTGTATAATACTGAACTTGTCGTGTTAATGTTGTATTCATGAAGAAAAAGAATAATTGGAATAGTATTTAATAGTTCTTTTCCTTCATATTATTTTATAATCAGTGATTATGTATTGTATATATAGAAGATTGCAAAATCGAAACTGATGTTACTTTGATTTGAAATAAATCTTTTTCAATTCCTTTTAGTCTTATATTGATATATATATATTCTAAAGCAGGGGTCTCCTACTTTTTGTGCCTTACAACACATTCTAGAATACCAGTTGGACTCACTGTAACTAATGTTACATGTTTTAGATATCATGAAGATTTTTCTATTTGATTTCGCATCAACCTAGTCTTCATGAAATGTCAACTTCTCTAGTTAATCATTAAATCTTAAGGAAAGCAAGAGGCATTTTTCACAGGTATGTCTTATTATATCCATATTTGATATGATTTAAATACTTCCTTGGGTTATAATTATCTATTTTAAACATAAATTTTTTTACTTTGCTTATTAGAACTATCATGAGGAGGTAGATAGAATTGAATAAAAGTAATTTTTTACAAACTAACTCTCTTTCGAGTAATGAAATCAGTGATAAATTTCCTCAACAATATGTTCTAAAAATTATAAAATAACTTACATGAACACTTAAAATTTACTAAAATATGAGGAGAGGATTTATAAAATCTTTTGCAGTTAAATGAGTTTTTAAAGATCAGCAGAATCTAACTAGATGTCACACATCAATACAAATGTAATAAATTACATCTGACAATAATAAAGATCATTAGGGCACTTCAGATAAATATTAAACTGAAAGGTGAGCCAAGTATTATTAAATAAATATCAAACTTTTTTGTTATGAACGGGTTCATTTAGTAGTGATGAAATTTTGCTAACCTCAACACAATATTCCAAATAAAATATATATAGTGCAAGTAGAAATTCTGTGACAAAACAGTTAATCCCTAGGCAACAAGGATATACAGGGGTTGGACAAAATAATGGGAACTTATATACTAACTCACATTTTTCATATCTCTAAAGAAATACTTGGATAATTATTTAAAACTTGATATATTTTCAAGGCATTCAAATCTGACTTTAAAAAAAATGTTTTCTGCGCAGTACGGAAGGATAATTTCAAAGTTTTAACAAACATTTCTGCTGCTATAGTAAGAAAACGCAAAGCTAGGAATTTATTATTTTTCTTTCACACATATCTATGATTATTTAAACTAGTTTAACAAAATTTTGTGCAGTCATATCCTATAAGTTACAAGCTTATCACCATATTTCTTGGTATAGAGTGTTCAAAAACATTTTTCATTACTAGCTATAAAATAATTTAAGTATTTCTTAAGAAAAATGAATTGGTTTAGAAGTGTTTCCATAAATTATTTTGTTCATTATTGTAAGTAAAATATGCATACATACTTTCACTCGCATAAAGAAAAATGCAGTAAAGGTGGTGAGAAGTAAGATTTATTTGTAGTATTTACAAGCTAGCTGAATAATCTCTTTATTTTATGATTTTAATGCACTGATAACAGCTGAAAATAGAATCTATTCTATAAGTTGTACTTTTATTCGACATCTTCCACTTGCAGTTGTCTGCTTTCTAGAGTAGTCATTAATCTCTGTAAAATAAAAGTTGAACATTTATAGTTATGAGGTGGCTAATTCAGTACATTAAAAACAAAATTAAGCTCAATGAATAATTAAATAGCAGAAGCTACCCATAACACACTTTAAACTTGATTGTTTTATTGAAAATTTTCATTATTTTGAGTTTAAACATGCTTCAATGGTGTGATAATTGCATTCCTCATATAGATTTAACAATGTTCCGAGATATGATTGTTGCAACAGCAACAATTACCCTTTAGCTTTTTTTCCCCTAGGAAATTAAAATTTGGTGCAGATTCTACATTCTGCTAATAATAATGAATACATTTGAATTTGAAAAAGTTGTTAACTATTTTGAATGAAAAGTTCTTAATCTAGAAAATAAAATGCAAGCCTTCCACTACATTTTTATATTATTAATACAGATACAATAAATTATGTATACCATTGTATAAGAAATACTAAGAACTTCATTGCCCCATCTATTGTTTTAGCATATCTACTTGCTATTACATACAATTAATTATTTGGATACTATGTGAGGAATAAAGAGCATATTTGTTAAAAATATTTCAAAAGGTTATAAAACCTATCTAGTCTTCAATATTGATTTAATTGTTTACTAATTAAATTAGCCGACTCTTTTTGGTGAATGGTCTCCCACCTCCTCTTTCTAACATCAGACCCAATTAGAATAATTCATCATTGAAATTAAATAAGCTTTAAACTACTGAAAGTAAAACACCCATTTTATTAACACATTACTTATAATAGAGGGGAAGGAGAAAGTGGCTACACCCATTATTATCCTAAACCAGAAATAAGTTACCTAGTTTTAATTTCAATTATTTCAAGGCAACAGTCAGCCAATTAACACAATACATATGAACAAATAAAATTTTAGAACCTTTGATCAAGCTGATATGAATAGCACAAGATCAAAAGAATGATATGCTGCATCATTTCCCATGATTAATAAACTAAAACAAAAATTCTATTACACTATCCATCCATCACAAACCTGAATTGAATTCATTAAATTTTACCCTCAATTTGTAATAAAATAATTTTTGTAAACATTTATATTTTTAGGGGAAAAAATTACGAAAACTAGTGTAAATATTTCAAAATTCATCTATAAATAGACCAAGTGAAAAATTAAATTTTATAGGATTTTTCGCTCCTGGAAATTCATTTACTTTGTATTATAACTGGCAACACTATGGCATACAGCATTAAGTAGCGTGGCATAAGAAAAACCACTAAAAATTATGTATATAATGATAGTTGACTTGATACAGCAATAATTTTTAAAAGTAAGATAAAAACAAATATTCATTAAGTAGAAAGAAAGTTTTCTACATGGGAAATTAAATTAACATTGGGTTGATATGTAATGCCAAGGTCATAACAAGGTTATCGAGATTATACTATATATAAGACAGCACTTGTAATAAAATCAATGTGTTTAACAAACCTTGCTGACTACTGGAAGCCTCTCCATCAGCATATTGAAAATTTGCGGGGGTAGTTGTGTTTGTAACACTTCAATCAGATGGGTTGGTTCTCCACAAACAGCCAGAGCTGTGCTAAGATGTTCAATACCATTTTCAATATCTCCTAAATAAATAATTAAACAATTATGATATTTAGATCAGAATCTTACAGAAGGCAGACTGAGAAGAAAATAAAAACATTAGTACCAAAAACAAATTTCTATTTGTTAATATTCAAAGTTGAGTTTTCACTCATCCTTTTATATGCTAGAACTCTGAAGTTATTTGTTTACTACCCTATTAATATTTATTTTCTTTTATTGTGTTGCATGCAACTTAAAATTAATGAATGATACGTAACACAAATCTTGCATTCCTAAAACCACCTAAATTGGTGATTTTATGAAAAAATAAGTTTACCAAATTAAGACGCAACATCGATTTCTGTACTTTAAATGCTGAGACATGCCACTGCAGTTTCGTAAAAAAAAAAGAAGCTGATATTGAACTTAAATCTCTGAAATGATTATTATGGAATTTTTTTTAGTTACCATTACGTGCCTCTTGCAGCAAAGCGGTTCCAATCTCTCTAAATCAGACGCCATTAAAAAAACAAACACTGCCACCATCTTTTAAAGCATGCAATTCCCCCCCTACACATAACTAAAAATATTATTAAGGTATTCGACTGCAAATGGATCAATCATTCTCCGGTCACTTTCCTTAACCTTTGCAAAGAAAAGAGAGAACATGATATTGTTAATTTAAAATACTTAGGACAGTAGCTTTTTTCTTTAGATCTTTTCGTGTGGACAACACAGGTATGAGACACCACAAATTAAAATGATGCACCTGTAATTCCCCAACCTCACTGAATTTTTTTTTCTAATCAATTTTTCCTCTGTACTTAACACAGTTGGGTTAAATAAAGCGAATAGAAATCTTATCTATGAGGTGAGGTGTTCATATAAATCGATTGTGAATGTAACAACTTAATAGAGCCTGCCACCATACAGCCAAGTTCTTTTTCTATGTAGGTTTACTTTCAAGGCATTATTGCTATGTTTTTTATCAGGTGATAAAGAGGTGTAAGTGGTTGCAAGCCTATTGATTGAAGTATTGACAAGAATATTGAATGTCATTCAAAAGAAAGATTGAAAAATTGACTAAATTATTGAAATGGTTGCAAATAATAATGTTTATAGTGAAGAAATTGATACTAAATTGTTTCTTTCTGAAAAAGTTAGTTTTTTCAAAAAGTTAAAACTTTATGTGATGCTCAAACTTGTGTTGAGAAACTGAGACATATTTATGTATCTAAAGATAAGAAAATGAAAATGCATGCAAAAAAAAAAAAAATTGGCGAGTCCCAGATGCGTGCCTAAAATAAAAACATGTATATATATTAAAGAAATATCAATGCAAATAGTTATTATAGTATTAAGCATTTCCATATCACAATCATTCAAAAAAACAATTTATGGTGTTAAACTTTGCCATCAGTGTACCCTTAATATAAATGGATATCTTTTCAGTCCTAAAAGTGTCTGTTCAACCAAGGTTCCACTGTTTAATAAAAATTACCATTCAAATAAAATATAAATTAAAAAATACATTTCTTTTATAAATGCATATTCATTTAAGCATCGACCAACTTATATGGTGATCAAAGCGCTGATCTTATGCCAGAGAAGTTTCGAGTTCCGGGCATGGGTGTAATATTTTTTTTTTTACACACTTATATGGTGTCCAGGGAAAGAAAAAAAGATAAATAGTACATGACTTTTTTGTTGTCATTTTTTAAGCTTTCAACTGGAGTAATTTCTTAGGAGAATCTGAAGATATAATATTGTTTTTATAAAATTATAATTTGATTAACATATTTAATCAGAACTAAATATTTATAATTGTAATATAACTAATTTTAAATGCAACTAAATATTTAAAACTAATTACCAAACGTCTCCCTGTTACTAATTTGTTCAAATATTCTGCTGCAGTGAATTGTTATTTGAATTAAAATCAGTTTAAATAAAATTTTTAGAACAAATAATCTATTATTAGGCTTGTAACGAACATTCGGTCGGTCGAATGCGGGGCAAAGTATTTTACAAGTTTTTTTTAAAAAAAATAGATTTCATAAAGAATAATCTATAATCGTAATATTTACTATTAAGGGCAATAGTTTTTACACATATTTGTTAACTTTAATTACTACGCACACATTTGGCAAATTACCTTATACTGAACTAGCTTTGTACTGCTGATTTTTAAAAAAAACATTTTGTTCAGACAAGTCAATTTCATCAATTTGTCTATACTATTTTCCTATAGTGCAACATTTTAACTAAGAGTTTCTGATAATTTATTATTTTTTTGTTGCTAATTTTCTTCCTATATGGCAAGACATAACCAGTAACATAGACAATTGATATCCAATGTTAAAGTTATATTTAATGCTAGAACTAAGAATTTTTTTTTGTTTCTCTTTTGCCTTTTTATTAACTTTTCTTTCTTTTAATCAGCGTTTTTATCATGATAGCATTTTTCATTTATCTTTAATATTTCTTATATATAACTATTAGATATTTCCCTTTACCCCATACCAATAATATAAGCAAAGTTTTGATTGATTTTCAGTAAGGACTCAATTTATTTATACATAAAAAATAATGCTATTTGGCTGAATATTGGATATTCAGCCAAATCAACCCTATCTATAATATAAAATTTAATTTCCTCTCTAATAACAGTAAACTAGTTAGTAGATGACATCTAATTCTTCCAGAATTAAATTTTAAGATAGGAAAATTCATCTGAGCTTTTTTCTTCTTATTTACAATATCATTTATGAGTTCTAAAAATTCTGAAATTAAAATGTGAGATACTCTGATCCTTTTTGTATAATATGTGAGTCCCCCATATTATGAAATCTAGTTCTCTATTATTAAACTCTGCTTAAAAAAGCTGAATTCCAGATTTGCAGGATATTTATCACCTGTATACCTTAAATCGGAGCAGTATTTAATTATAGTTGATTACGCTGCACATTCTAATTTAACAAGATTCTGGTTAATTTTATTAACGATAGTGGGTAAATCTTCAAATGATTTATAATTGAAAAATATAATGCTTGCATTTATAAAAAGCCTATGTTTAACTCTCCTGTTTTCTGCATTAATTTTTCCTATTACAAAGAATTGTCCATATGCAGTAACTAGAACTTCTTTTACAAAAACATCCAAATGTTATTGATTTTAGTGATGCTTGTGATTAATTGTGGTACACAAGTTTTAATATGGCCCTCAAAATGGATTAGTACCAAAACAGGACATATTTTGTAGAAAGTGACATATGTACTTTTTTGACTACAAGTCAATAACTTTTGAAGGAAAGAAAATAAACTATTTCTGCTTACCTTGTGCTAAGAGTTCTTCACCCAGTTGCACTTCTTGGATGAAAAATTTCTGAACTTGTTCGAAATCTCTTAATTCTGGGATCTACGAAAATAAATAAGGGGAAATATATAACATCGATACAAGCGGGACTCCTAGTGGACATTTTTTAAACATTTTGAGTAAATGCTACAACACATACTATACTACAATAATGGAAGAAACATTTTCAGTTTGAAAGTTTTTTTTTGTAAAAAAATTCTCAATACTTAGAGAATTAATTTATAACTTTAGGGGTGTTTACGTCATGCGATTTCTCACGCTTATCAATGAAGTTTAAAAATTCATTAATTTGAGGGACTAATAAATTAGGAATGAAAAAGAATACTTTTGAACAATTTATGTCAGAAAATCAATAAATTTACATCTATTACTTTTATTATATGCATAAAATTTTGCAAATTAACTTGACAAAAAGTTTGAAACAATCCTGAGCCATAAACTATTGAAGGATGGATCCATGGACACGGATCAGTTTGAACTATCGAATTTTACATCTACCGCAAGAGTCTCTGATAAAAATAAAATTACATTTGTGGGATCGAAAATATAACTTTTGAACAGCAAATTGGTCATTTTAAAATCTGCAATTATATTCCTAGAAAATTGATTGTTCTGAACATACACAAATTAGGAATATTAAGACCAGGGTTCGTGATTTTTTTAAAAAAAAAATAAAAAAAAAATCGGATTTTTTTGATTTAAATCCGATTTTTTTGATTTAAATCAGATTTTTTTGATTTTCATTTAAATACACTATAAGAGCTTTAATTTATGATCAACAAAACTTTATAAATGTTTAATCAAAATTAAATTAATATTAAAACTATATTATAACAATATTTTAGAAGCTCTAACTTACTAAAATAATTTTTCATTATAATGCATAGCGACCATTTTGATACAAAGGCATGATTAAAATTAAAAGACAAGATAAAATAAATAATTTAAAGAATACTACTTTAACTAATAACACAAAGTTTCAATTAGCACAGCATAATTTTAATTTGAAATTGTGATCTCTTTTTTTTCTCATGATTTATAAAATGGCAAAATAAATGCACCAGATTGTGTTTATAAATGTTGTTATTCATCAAAAAATAAATATTCAATCTATATATTTTTATGTTAAAATATTCATTTTTAATCCTTTATCAAAATACATAAGTTAAGCTAAAAAACATTTTTAAAAAAATCTATGTACTCATTGGAATTTTTTTTCACAAAAGAAAATCTGATAATTTCAAAGATACCGTAAACATATTATAAGAAGAAAAATAAAAACCAGTTAATAACCCTACTGCTTCAAATAGACTTTGATAGGGAAGAATGACACTATATCAGGAAAAAAATATTTCAACTCAGCTTTTTTTTTTTTCCTTCTATTTTTGGCATATTAAGGTAATTTCTTTTTAATATAACCTCAAGCTTTAGAAATATAGAAATTTCCATCAATAAACTATAATGTAGATTTGAATTTCATGCTTTTTTAATCAAAAGGTAGAATTTTAATTAACATTTGCTTTTTGAAAAAAAGGCATGTTTATTTACTTTCTACAGCTATGCAAGTCTATATTAAGACAGCATTAAATATTTACTTTAATCTGTACTTTCAATGTTAAGAATCAAAAGATTTTTAAACATGTAATTTTAAATGTGTTTAACACACTCCAAGAAAGAAAGTAATTTCGTTAACTAAAATTAATTAATGCAGCAATTTATTTAAAATAAATTTTAAAACTAAGAAGAGAAAATAATAAAAGTATCAATAATTTAAAGCACTGTTTTTTAACTTTTAAAATCAATATAATATATATATAAAAATCAGAAGATTTAAATCAATGATTTTTTTAAAAAAATCATTTGATTTTAATCATGATTTAAATCGTGATTTAAATCAACGGACCCTGATTAAGACAAAATTGTTTATGTAAGGACAACTATGAACCTTGTATAAGTGAATCAAGAAAAATGTAAATGTAAGCGGTGTCCTATGAATAATAAAAAAAAGTTGCACTATCTTAAGTAAATTTGATAAATTACCTATAATACTAAAAATTTACAAGGTTAAATTAAAACAAGGGGGATTGAACATCTAATTCCTTTGAGTAGTATATAGTCACCATACTTCTGAAATTTAAATGAAATGTTATGTTTATTCAGAAAAAATGCTCTAACTTTGACTAAAAAAATGCTTATTGCTCTAACTTTGTTTTTTATTAATTAAGTTGCACAAGTCACAAAATTAACTTTATTATAAAATTTTGATCATTAAAACAAAACTCATCCAGGTTTTACAGAAGAGAAAGATATGAAAATACAAATAACGTAGCTAACATAGTGACATTTTTTTAAAGAAATTTTCTGACACCATTGTTTGATATAGCTGGGATTTTTCTTTTCTTTTGAAGAGGACAAATTACTTTAGAGGAGTGAAAAACAATTAAATTTTAAATTACAAAAGTAGATTTTTTTTAAAGATATTTTTAACTATTCACTAGTCAATTTCTTTTATAATTTTTATCCTGCTTAGGTTAAAAACCCTTTTCCTTTTTTACATTCAGTTGTTTACAAGGATTTGTTATAATAGAGTTTTCATCTAATGAGAAACAGAAAAAAAAAACTTAGTTTCGAAAAGGCACAATATATATTTAAAAAAAATTAAATGTGAAAACAAGTGATAGTAACAAAAGATAAACAAGTGTGAAATATGCTTCTACAGACGCTAAAAATATCTCTGTACAATACAACAAAACATGCACACTTATGTTTTTGTAAAACACCTTTTTAAAAATTATTTGGGTGTTTTTTTTTATTTTGTGAACATTACACTCAAGAATTATTGATTTAATTATGCGGTGGACATTCACTTTCTGAAATGCTTCTTCTGCTATTCTAGACTGAAAGAAAGTTTTAAATATGCATAACAAAAATAAAATCCCATATATAGGAATAAATGAAAAAAACAGTCTTGTACACTAAAATTGTAATGCATATAAAGAACGAAATTCCAGATTCATAACTTCAAGGACATTTTGATATGGTTAAGGAAAGGATATTTTGGACCCCAATTTTTGCACATATTCTGGAAGAATTAAGACAAAATATTTGTATCATAACACAATATTGTAAAGACTTTCATGTTTTTAAATGAAATTAGACAGGAGGGCTAACAATAAAAACAAAGTATCCACATTATGCCAATTATTAACTCTTTAACTGAACAATTATCTCACTCTGAGTTATCTTGGTCTCTTAAAATTTCAATCATAAAGAGAAAAAAAAACAAAAAACACTAGTAAGAAAATTGCATCTAAACAAATTAAGATAATTTAATTTGTAAGCAAGTTTACATAAGCATAATTACCTGTGATTTGTTTCTTTTAGATTGTTCCTTCATCAAAAGAGCTTTAGCACGTCCTGAAATGATAAAAACTAACTTAAACATGAATTTATTTATGAAGCAATAAAATGGAAAAGTCTAAAAACAGCCTCAATTATTAAGTAAAATAATTTAGTAAATGATTGAAATTACATCCCAGATAAACAAAGTTTTAAAAATAGAAAATATACAATCACTTCCAATATTGTTGTCTCAGGGTGTGTTGCCAAATCTTTCAACAAAAAATATTTTTAAGCACTATATACATTAACAAAATGCAAAATAATTTTTGCAGACTTTAGATGATCATGAGAAAATAACTAGTTTCTGACAAAGAACTCTTTTCTTGATTATATTAGACGTTATAAAATGACCGAGAGATTCAGTTCGATATCAGAAGGTGGAAAATGAAGTCTGAAATTGAGAATGTCTTTCAAAATGCAGCAGAGTTTCACATAAATAGGCAATAATCTCACCGAACCCAGCTCAGTAGACGAACGTGCAGACTCATAAGTATTTTATATGCTATGGACCAACGGTGTACGCGGAAATGAATTGCGAAAACGTTGAATGAACAATGTGAAAAGCACACTTTCGCATAATACACGGTGAAAATCGACATGGGAAGGAAAACTCTCATTTTTGAAAAAGGGAAAATGAAGCACTTTTTAAAAACACTCAATGAAAAAAGTACCTTTAAGGGCTTTTAAATAATGAAAATCAAAAATAAGCCCTTTTTAAAAACGCTACGCACCATGTGTCTTACTTAAATAAACCATTCTGGCTCACTTTTTGTTCTGCAGGTCTTACTAAATTTTAAAGGTCACACCGTAAGGTTAAAGCAGGTATTTAGCGATCATGGGTACATGTGCACTAAACCACACTTTTCTGTTTCGACAAACAATGTATAACATAAAAATTCAGAGCATGAAGCAAGATTTGATAAAAATTACCTACCAAATTTGATAAAAAAAAAAAAACAAGTTTTCAGTTAAAAACAACAATTGAAAGATATAGGGAGCTAAGTAGCAATTATACAAATGTAAAAGAAAAAATTAAATGAATATGTTTATCTCATAAGTTTTTATCAAGACTTAGAATTGTTTCAGATATAATAAAGAACAGAATACATTTTCATAAGCCGTAAAATAACAGTAACAGCTTTTTAAGTCAACATATTCTAAAATATAAATGTTGAGAAAGTTTAAAATATAACTGCCTCATAAATAAATTTTGAGAAATAATTATGATATATACCTAGTAGTACTAATTATACAGTTCAGAGACATGTTATATCATTCAATTAACAAAAATGTAGATAGTAGTGAAATCTTGTAAACCTGTAGGCAAATTAAGACAAAGTTAACATCATAGGTTTTATTTTACTAAGTGATATAGACATGCCTACTATTTTATGAAAAGTCGCTCCAATGTTTATCAAGCAAGGCCTTAATATTTGTTAAAATTTTTTCGATTACGTACTTAATAACAAAGATCTAAAACAATGTTTGGAATATTTAGATGCATACATTTTAAAAACTAATTTTCTTCATTAAAAAAGTGATTTATTTTAACACTACAAAATTCACGTTTTACTAATGATTTCAAGAATAGTATAAAAAAGGGAAGAATGGTTCATACTACATTAAATTATAGCATAATACTAACTCCTCCTAATTTGCATAATACTTAACATGGATTTCAACAAAATAAATTTATCTTACTATCTCTTAAATTTCTTTTGAAGTTGGGATCATTCCTCCTTTTCCGATCAAAATATAAACAGTATCCAATGAAAAGAGTGCCGCAAACACCAGCAGCGACAAAAGCAGTTTTTGAGAGCATTGTTATTGTAAATATTTAAAAAAAATGGATTAACTAGCAATAGGTAATTACAAATTATTTAAGAAATAGACGATAAAAAAACATAACATAACACCAGGACCAGGGAGATAGAAAAGAGAGTTGAAGTTTAAGTAAATTAAATATTTATCGAAATATAATTGTTGCCAATTTTTTAAATAATATCTAATTGCATACTTTCACTAGTCAAGTTTAAGGAGCGTTCTCACTGTAAAAAATTCTCTGCGCGCGTGAATTATTCTTTTATTTTTAACTTCGTACTTTTATTTTTAACATTCACACTGCATGAAAATGTTTAGAAACTACGTGTAAGACGAACCGTTTGGATTACGTGAATCGTATGGATGGTCAATGAGAAAGCTCTATAAGGTACAATTCACATTGCATATAATTATCCTGCTAGGCATAATTCTCATCGAATGCGGTTGCCGCATCTCCGATATCGCTGAATGCAGTTGAAAATCTGATTGGTGAAATATATTTTCCCAGGAAAAGTTCCCTAATCTATAGATGACAATTGGAGGTTTGGTAAATGCATTCGGCGAGAATGCTCCTCTAGATGTGCGCGTCTTGCATGCATGTGTAATCGCATGCAATGAGAATGCTAGATTAACTTCTCCTCTCCTGCATGAGCGAATTTCACCAACGTGCAATAACACATATGAACAGAGCCTAACAAAGGCATGGGCATGCGGGGCAGTTGCCCCTGGCCCCACATAAGAGGGGGCCCCAAATCGAATAGAAAGTTTATTTTAGGTTTCCTTCATTAACGAACTTTTTTTTGAACAAAATATCAGTACAGTGTAAAATCCGCCAGTTTTATGCTAGTTTCTTCATTAATTTATTGTATGAACACAAAAAATTCATTTTTCGTAAATCCATGACTTTCTAGCTCGGAATATAGGTAAATTTCGCAATTACGGGGGACAAATTTGGCCAATTTAGACTGTATTTTTACGTGTCGCAAAATAGAATATGCTTACAAAAATATAGGCTTCTGATTGACTTAATTGAGCCATCGTAATTGCAAAAATTTAGCTGAATTTCACCCTAATGTAAGCAAGGATATAATTTTTTTGCAGCTGGATGACAAAGTTAACAAATAAAAAATTGCATTCGGCATGACGGACATAAAATTGTCAGAAAATTAGTAAAATGGACAGAACGATATTTCGTCTGACTATTGGAGGATGGGGGACTTAATAGCTTTTTAAAGATTTTTATCAATTTCCTTGCTATATCTGTATAATGAGGTGAAAATTTAAATACCTCCATAAAGTTCGGTTCCTCATTACAGAAGTAGTGAAGCAGAGGGGTTCTCCCAAAGAAGTTTTTGCCTCATGCCCCAATTAGGCATAGTCGGGTACTGCATATGAAACGAAACCTGAGTACGCCTTCTAGGGGCAAAGTTAACCCTCTGCATTTTCATTGCATGCGATTCGCATAGACGATCGTACTTCAAAGCAATGGGGTTGGGATACTAGCAACTAGAAAGTGATGTAGAGTGGGTATATCGATAATGATTTCTTGTTGAAGTGTGGCATTTGTTTACGTTAGCAACTGTTCTTTCCATTCTATTTCGAGTAAGCGAAGCCCATCAAGTATCAATTCTCTTTAAGTGTAACAATCTATATTCTTCCGCAAAAATTATTTAACAAATATTCCATTTCGTTCACTTTATATTTCTTACTTAACGCAAAGACAGGTACGAAGTCATGTAGAACATAAATAAACTAATTAGGCATCAAAATTGCGAAGTGCTAAAAAAAAAAAAAAAAAAAAAAAAAAAAAAAAAAAAAAAAAAAAACACGGGTTACAATAAATACATAATCAAATAATTAATCTAAGTTAAGTTAAAGATTTAGACGAGAAAGAAAATATACTTCAACAAATTCGATGTGTAATACGTCACTGTATTAATTAACTTCACGTTAATTAACATTCTTACTTTTGTGGAGAAACTTAGCTCAACGGCGATGACGTCATAGGTCACATGTGTGGATATCCGTGATCTTCCTCTTGAAGTGCAAGTACCCAATTCACGCCTGCGCGATTAGTTCGTCTTGCATTAGAGAGATTTTGTAGTAGGTTTGACTTACGTTAACTGCAACTCTAACCTTATTTACGACACTTTAGCAACAGTGTGATTTGAGGGGAAATTTTTGCGCATTCGCTGTGAAGTTCAAATAGCGTTATCGTTTGCTTTAAGGGAAACCGTAATGCTTTACAAAACTTCTCTATTATTAAAATTTTTTTTCTGAAATATGTCTGTTTCTAAATTGTGAACTTAAAGGCAATTATTTTGCTACAAATACTATTTTATTTTACTTTTGGATGAAAAAGAGAACAAATAAACTACTTACCCACTTAATATGAAAATTGTTCGGTTCTTAATTTTTATTCATTTAGTTTAACAATAGCCTTATATTTGGAGGTTTAATGCCTATTTTCTCAGATAAAACTGGTTTTTAAAAACATTTACTGATGCAAAATAATTGAAAACTTCTTTAAAGCATTCAGTGGATGAAACTTGTCTTTAATATGACAAGGTCACCAATTATGCGATTAAAAATCGAATTTCTTTAATTTTTGAATTTGATATAACTTGATAAATAATGCATTAAGAATTTTTGTAGCCTACTTTTTTAGGTAAAGTAGTATCAGAAAAAGCTGGTTAGTGGTTATCTGGTTCTGGGTATCTGGAAAATTATGAAAATATCCACATGATGAATTATGTCTTATATGAAAAGCTAAATTTCTAGATTCCAATTTTTAAATTAATATAAAAGTTCCAGAAAAATAGAACTTTAAATATACGACTCTTTTAAAATTCAATTTCTTAGGATCTACTCAACTGATTTCGCACAAATTTTGCGTTTTGCCTTATAAATTTTCCGCCTTTAAAACAACGTTAAAAAACTAATACCTTGTAATTCAATTTTTTTTTTTGCTCTTATTAAATAAAATAATAAATAATAATTAAAAATTATTTTTTGCATGAAATTATCTTTGGATAAAAGAATTTTTATAATTATGTGCAAAATGTTTTCAATTCACTTAAAAAGTTCACGAGGTACGTGAAAAGTAAAAATTAACATTAAGGGTCCAAACTTTGAACCGCTCTCTTGACCAAACTATTTGGACCATATTCCTCAGATCGCGGCTACCCCCTATATTTTGGGAATCAGAAATCCAAATCCATCAAAAAATTGTATGCTTATTCAGAGAAAGTACAGTTTTGCGTCTGACTTCGTAACCTAAAAATATCACATGTACTTATTAACTAGCATATTTGAGGTCATAATTTCAAGCCATTAAGATTGAGTCCTAGAACGTGAATTTCCAATCATTAGATCAAAAGTTATTCAGGGTGATTCGTTTTTTTTGGCGTACTGTGCATGCATAAATTATTAGCTTGAAACAAGAGTTTTTTTTCGAGTTAATTTTGATTACTGTACGAAATAAAATAAAAAAAGAAAAAAAAAACACTATTTTAAATAATGATGTTTTAATGATGTGAGATCTACATATGCAAAGATTTTCATCAATAATTTTCCCTTTTTCATCAGCCGGTAATCTAAAATATTGCCAAATTTTATTTTTAGAACATTTTGTTGCCAACTGGTGATACAGAGGGGCTTTTTTCGATAATTCGTTATCAAATATTCATGTTGAAACAAGAATTTTCCTTGCTTTGGTCTAAATATTTTGGAAGATACATCTATCCATACACCTATTTTACCTCACACCCCAAGTGAAATGGCGTCAAAGCAATGCAGAGCTCAACACAGCTTAGTTGCCAATCGTCGCTTAGTCGTACAATTTTGCCACATCTCTTTAACTAGTTTCTAAAATACCAATGATACAGAATCAGAACAATGTTACCGAAATAGCTGGAACAATATGGAGCCGCAAAGCGATGACTTCATGAAAACGGAAGACAATGTGGAACGACGAGGCGGTGAGTTCGTGTGAGGTTATCAGCTGGTTGTCTCAGACGGCTATTTCTAAATAAAATATACACTTCGCGTGCAGGTCGTCGGGCTACCGAAGCGGGGGTGCCATCCCCTCTGCAGAGGATCAAAATGGTGATGGCATGTCTTCGGATCATCCTCAGGGATGTTTCCCAGACCGTCGCCAATAGCCCATTGTGCAGCTCTAGTGCGACGTAAATGAACAAATCAATCAATCAATCTAAATAAAATATTTAAAAATAATAAATTATTATTAAAAATTATTTTTCATATGAGATTATCTTTAGATAAATGGATTTTATAATTCTGTTCAAAATACTTTGAATTAGCCTAAATTTTTTTTCTTAGTTATGGCGACATGCGTAGAAAGTGAAATAAAGATTAAGCGGCCCAAACTTTCGACCGCTCTTCTTTTTAAACTATTCGGTTCATGTTTTTATTATTACGGCTGTTGAGGGTTAAAATTCAAATTCATATTTTGAAGGACAGAAATCTAAATTCATCGAAAAAAAGGCATGTTTATTCAATGAAAATATATTTTATTGCAACTTAAAAAAAATCGCTGCATTAATTAATAAGCTTATTTAAGTTTAGGACTTCGAACAATTGCGATTGAGTCCTAGTACGTAAATTTTCGATAATAAGGTGCTCCTTTTTTAATTTATTACACTGCACAAAATATATGTTGCCATCTACACACTCTTGGTTTAAGAAAATATAGCGCGAGTTCAAAGGTGATGATTTTTTTCCAGGTAAGTAGAAAACTAATTTCTTGCTTAAAATTTAAGTAAAATTACGTATTTTTGTCTCTCCCGAATTTCGAGCATGACAAAAAAATTAAAGCTTTACAGACATAATACTTCAAATAAATTAAAGATTTATTTTATACTTAGTAATTTAGGTTAATTTATACTTAGTACTATATTGATGTGAAATATAAATTATTTCATATTTTCAAGTAAAATTTTACGCATTCTAAATAATCCGACATCAATAGAGAACATTTATAACTAATAGGTTAGGTTGTGCAGAGTTTAAATGTGTTTTTGAGAGTTTACTTTTTTTTAATATTTTGTTCTGCTACTCTTAAACAGTAAAACTTAAACAGGTATGCAGAGAAATGTATACATAACGTATGATGGAATGAAAAAAAAATGAAATCAAAA